CACAGGCAGGACGGGGCTGTGAGGAGGCTGAAAAGAGACCTAGTTTCCCAGTTCTCCTTGAATCCCAAGTATTTCTTCTTTGGGTATTCTATACATTTGGCGTCCATGTAAGGTTTTGAGGAGACAGTGCTGGTTAAAAAACAAAAGGGTCTGAACTATTGCTGTATATCTCATGGATCAGTTTTGAGGAAGGAGGCCAGCTCATAGTAGGCTGCAAGCTGCAGTTCTTGTGACCAGAGGTGGGGCCCGTTTGACCCGTAAATTTGTATCCGGTAAGGGCTGATCTCTAGCTTTATTGGTGTTCTGTTACCCACCTGTGTTGGGTCGATAGTAACTGACTTTATTTTTAAAGTATTACAAGTTAAACTTCACTAAAACCACATCAGAAAACTAGGATGTCACAAAGGATTGGTTATGATAAAAGGGAAACATGGACCAATTATTTTAATACATCTGAGTGTCTGTTGTACTCAGGACTCACTATTGCTGGAAATTAAAACAACTTCAAAACAACACCATGCAGCATAGATTTCTCATTATGTAAGCCATTGTTGGAAAAAGGTTTGGATGACCTTGAGCTAAGATCTTTCCTTTTGCATGTCCATTCCATTTGTAGCTTTATTTACTTCGGATGTCTGAGTTGGAAGGAGAGCTCAGAGACATCTCATAAGCCAGGGGTGCAGATCAGAATTACTTGTAAAACAAAGTATTTGTGAACATTCATACAGTGAAATGCGTTACAGCAATAGAAAGAATGAAGGTCTTTATGAACTCATGAAAATGATTGTTAAGATGTGTTAAGATCTTATGTAATGAGAGCAAAATATTGGACAGTTACATATCCACCATGGTTCCATTTATGTAGGGGGCAAAGTGTGGTTAGGCATTCGTAAAGCAGACTCCGGAAACTACTAACTTTGGTTGCCTTCTGGGAAGAGAACTGAGTAGAGGCTGGGGACAGGGGTGAGAAGGAGATTTTCCCCGCTTTATTCTATGGTACTTCGAGAAACTCTGGGATCATGCATATAATATATATTCCCCAAAACAAAACCAGAACAACCTCCCCTGTCCCTGGCTGGCTTTTCCCCTTCTGCTGGTAAGTGCAGGTGTATAGGAGAATGCTGCCAGGTGGTCTTGGGGGTGGTCTTATCATACATCTCAGCTCCTCAGAGTAGCTCACTCCCTGTGAGAAAGCATCACAGGAAACACTGGCTTCTCCCTTTTTTGCCATTGATGATTGTGATATAGAGAAATTTTTAATTTTTCTGTGCTTTCAGATTCCTTATCTGTAAAAAATCAGTGTTAGTTGGGTAAACCTGAAAACCTCCCGATTCTTAGATTTTCTAACTTTCGTGCCTTGGACCTTGGCGGAAGCAGGTAGGAAGCAGTCAGCTGGCTCTTGCTGTCTTCTGACCCATTCTGATGATTAAGGAGCATGAATGTATTTTTAAAAATTAAGAAAGTGTAAGAGGGGAATGTTTTTAAAATTTGAGGTAGAAAAGGTCTTCGGAAAGATGAAACAAGTTGGGAAGGCCAAAAGAAAATGTTTGTACCATGACGGTCACACACATGGCCAGCAGAACCCCATGGCCTTGGTCACCTTCTCCCTCACTCTTCCTCTGCCTCCTCGCTTTGCCTTAGGGCTTCTCTTTAGTTTCTCTCCACTGAATGCTCTTGTCTTTTCAAGGCTTGGGCTCAAAAGTCATCTTAGAATATAATGTGTTACCCAAACTGGAACAGTCTTGAGAGGGAAATGGAGCATGGTTAATAACTGCACGGGGACAGTAGTTGTAAATTGGGTGTCTCAGAGAATTGGGACATGTGGTCGTCCTCACTTTTTACCTGCCAGACATGTCTCCCTTCCCCTTCTCCAATCCTGTCTTATTTATAACACTTTATCATAGTGCTTGTGGTTACCTAGTGTCTGTGTCTCCTCAAAAGAAGATGCCTGTGTTGGTCCCATTCTGTGCCCGAGTCTAGAGCTGTTGACATACAGAGCGTACAGCTCAGTGGATGTTTGCTGCATATATACATGACGTTTCTACCTTTAGCCTTACATTCTTGTGAAGATATGATAGACATACATGAGAAATCAAGTGGTAGTGGTGTATACAAATTACACTTTTATAAAACAAAATGTTCTCATTTATAAGAACTTTTTTGTGTCATGTTGTAAGTAAAATTTTTCATTAGCTAAACTTTTAAAAAAATACTCATTTTTGACTGTGTCAGGTCTTGGTTGTGGCGTGCTCTCTCTGCAGTTGCAGCAGGTGGGCTCTCTATTTGAGGCATGTGGTCTTAGTTGCCCTGCAGCATGTAGGATCTTAGTTTCCTGTTTAGGGATCAAACCTGCTTCTCCTGCATTACAAGGAGGATTCTTTTTTTTTTTTACAAGGAGGATTCTTAACCACTGGACCACCAAGAAAGTCCTTCATTAGTTAAACTTCTTACAGTTTTCTAAGCTCTTGTATATTTAGGATGGCTTCTTGAGAAGCTGCCTCAAACATTCATCTTGGATATGTCTATCGAATAACCAAATGAATTCCTACAAGCCGAGTTGCAGAGTTGCTGTGGTAGAGAATGTGCATATTTTCAGGGCTGATACTGCACAAATTGCTATTTTTCTTTAGAAAGCAATCTGTACCCAGTTTACCAACACATGTTGTGAAACAGTACATTTTCCTCCAAACCAACACTAGGCATTATTTTTTTAAAATATTTTGCCAATTTGTTTTACTTTTCTTGTCATTATTCATGTGGACTTCATTAATTTTATTTCTTTTGTTAGTCCCATAATTCTATCATGTTTTCATGTTTTATATTTCTGTTGTGATCATTTTTTCCTGTATATATATCTCAGTGTATCTAAGCAGCCACTAATCTACTTTCTGTCACTATAGATTTTGCTGTTATGGACTTTCATATGAAAGGAATCACAGTCATTTATGATTGGTGTCTTATACTTAGCATTGTGTTTCAGTTTGTTCAGGCTATAGCGTGTATCATGCTTTGTTTTTTTGTGGCAGAATAATAATCCCTTTTGTGAATATACACGATTTTATCTATCAGTTCCTCATTAGTTGATGGACATGACATTTAGAGTATTCCAAGGTTTATGTAGTTATTTTGGGACTTAAGTTGAGATCTTGTGATACTAAGATGTAAAAACCTACTCTACTTGTATTAAACAAAGAGGACTCACTGTGAGACTACGTAGGCAGTTGAACAGGAATCCGGGGAGAAGGAAAGCAGCACAGTACCTCCTCCTGGGAGCTGATTCTGGAGCACAGTGTCAGAGGCAGTTCCTGGTGTGTCTCAGGAGCACCCCTGCTCTCTGCATCCTGTTCTGGCCCATGTCTAGGCTGCTCCTCTCTAACTGACGCATCCTTTGGCTCATCTTCACTGCCACTCTGACCACTTTGCAATAACTGACCTTCTCAGTTCAGATACCTGGAGGGGAATCTGATTGGTACAACCCTGCCCCCATAGAGTAGTTCACTTGACATTAACATTGGGTTGAAGCCACACTTTGACAAGGCCAGGGTCTTTGGAAGGAGTGCAGGGACCTGGCATGACCCACCTCTGTAGCTCTGTTGGTCAATCTGAAGATGACCTAATTCCCTAGGCCAGTGATCATCACACTTGTTGGTCTCAAGACTCCTTTTACAGCTGTAAAGATTACTTGCGACTCCAAAGAGCTTTTGCTTATGTGGATTATATATGTTGACATTTATCATATTAGCTATTAAAATGGGGAAATTCAAAAGATATTTATTTAAAAATAATATAAGCCCAAATGTTAATGTATTTTCCAAAATAAAACAAAGTTTGAGAAGAGTGACATTTACATTTTTGCAGACTTCTTCAGTATCTGAAAAGAAGATCACTTGATTCTCATTTCTTCTGTGTTTTAGTCCTGTGATACGTTGTTTTGATGGAAGCTTATGAAAAACAGCTAGCCTCATATAGATATGTATTTGGAAAAGGGAAGGGTATTTTAATAGCCTTTTAAGATAACTGTGGGTATTCTTTGATATCATACCCAAACCAGACAAGTGGTAAGGTTTTGAAGGTTAGTTACTGTGTAGAGTTTGAAACCGTATCAGTAAACCTTTCATATTATGTCACATTAAACATTTATTGGTTTGTCTTGAAACTTACTGTGGTAAAGTGTTCTGACTTTAAATGCATAATCTTGTAATTCTATATTGGTCATTTGGAAAATATTGATTCATTGAGTTACGCAGATCTTTGAATTTCATTGTGTAATATCAAAACCTCAACACTTGTTAATATCACCACCAATCTTGGTGGAAAAGTCTTTAAATGTGGGGAAGCTGTCAGGCTAATGGTGGCAGATACAGGTTTTTTGGAAATCCTAATTTTAAAAAAATTGGCAGTAGTTTTCTTGAAGTGATAGGCTCTCTTTTTTCTTCCTTGAAAGCTTTTCTATCCCTAGTGTCTTCTTAGGCTGTCATTTTGGGGCCGAATTATTGAATAAAGACAATATTTCCTCTGCACAAACACTTAACCTTATAACTATTCCTGAATCCTTTTAATAATTGACTTTTTACAGTTTTACAGCCATAGATTTTGTTTTTGTAATGTTTAATATTTGTGTCTCAGATAATTATTGAAAGAAAGGTATTTACTGAGCTGCTGCTGTGTGCTGGCTCCTGAGCTAAGATTTTATGTGTTCACTTTATGTAGCTACTGGTTTTATTTGTGATATGTTAAAGAACCTTCTTTTCAGTAAAGAGGAAAAGACCCAAGTCCTGTAACTTCTGTTAAGCTGAGTAAGTATTAATAAATGGGAGAAAGCTTTTACTGATAATAGTGGTTTTGTTTATGTAGCTGTGGTTGTAATTTATTAGAATCACCCTTGGTGCGTTAGTTCTTATCACTTCTGTTTTTTTCCCATCCTGTACAGGTGATTTCCTAGAAGCATGATTGTTTGTTGCACTTGATCTCACAACCTGGTGAGGACATCCTTACTGATAATGTCAAGTTCAGGTTATCCTCCCAACCAAGGAGCATTCAGCACAGAACAAAGTCGGTATCCTCCCCACTCTGTTCAGTACACCTTTCCCAGCACCCGTCACCAGCAGGTAAGGAATAGATATTATGCAAATTGCATATGTATTCTATGTTTCTCTCTATTTTTCCTATGTAATATATTTGTTGATCAGAAACCAAACACAATTATATGTATGTGTGTGTGTATATATATATATATATATATATATTTAGTGGCAGGAACCATTCTCAAAGGTTAAGGATTAATTATATTTATCTTCTTACTGTGGCTGTATGCCAGATTTAGGAGTTGGCCATGTCTCTGCTTCTGATGGTGGGAGTTGTTGATAGAGTGTCAATGACCTAGAGTTTCTAAGTTAAGACCTATGTTTATGCGCCAGGTTCTGGTTGAGCATTAAGCTGGATGGAAGACTTGGTGTCGAGTGAGAGCCAGGTCTCGAGTTTAGATTTTCTGTATGTGTGTTTATGTAGCTACTGGTATTATTTGTGACCTAGTAAAGAACCTACCTTTTTGAGAGATTTGATGGTAGGAAGATGAGTTTGTGTGATTGTTTTACCTTGTGAAAAAGAGATGAAATTAACCAGCTTGGAGCAGGCCAGCGCCATGGGTGTAAACTTTGAAAAAAGATGGGAAGAGATGAAATGGTCATTAGTTTCATGTTTTTTGTAGATGCCCTTTTTGGTTGAAGAAGTCACTGTCTACTCTTCACTAAGGTTCTTTTTTTGTTTTCACTGAGGTTCTTAACCGTGATTAGGTGTTGACTTTTGGTTGTGTGTCTTTTCTGTCTCAATGCTGTTCATTTGATTACTGATTTCCTAGCTTATTGTTGCTGCTGGTGTTTTTAAAACAACTTTGGGTTTAGTTTATATATAATAACATTTCATTGTATGTGTACATTTTGACAGCTTCATACACTTATAAGACTACCACCAAAAAAAAAAAAAAAGACTACCACCAAAATGAAGAGAGCATTTCTGCCACCCCCGGAAGTTCCCTTATTCCCTGTCCAACTCAGGCCCCCTCCCCCACCTCCTATAGACTTCAGCTCCCAGGATACCCATCTGCTTCTCGTCACAACAGATTCCCTTTGTCTTGAATTTCATGTGAACACATTTGTCAGTGGTTTCTTTTCTGTCTCATATTTTTTAAATATATCTGTGTTTTGGCACATCTTGGTAATGTCTTTTTATTGCTGGATATGGATATACCACAATTTGTGTATGTATCCAGTCACTTAGTTTTCAGTGTACAGGTCATGAACCTTTTTTGTCACATTTATTCCTAAATATTTAGTATTTTTGATGGATTGTAACTGGTACTGCTTTTGAATTTGTTTTCAGTTCACTGCTGCTATGTATATTAATCTTGTATCCTGCAAAATTACTTGTTACTTCCTGCTTTTTTATGAATGCCCCAGGATTAACTGTGTAGATGAGACTGTAACCTGAGAATAAAGACAGCTTTGCTCTTCTGTTTCCACACTAGTTGTCTGTTCTCCTTCTTACTTATTGCACTGGCTTGAACCCCCCCGCAACCCCCCTCCCCGCCCCAGTCCCAAGTTGAGTAGAAGGTGAGAGTGGATGTTCTTGCCTGGTTTCTGATCTTAAGAGGAGAGCATTCAGCCTGTTAGGAGTGTTAGCTTGGGAAATGTTCCCTCCCCCTGTATTTTCTTTTTTAAAAAAAGCTAAAAATAATTTTATCTGTTTATTTTTGGCTGTGCTGGGCCTTTGATGCTGCTAGTTGTGGCAAGTGGGAGCTATTTTCTAGTTGTGGTGAACAGGCTTCTCATTGCAGTAGGTTCTTTGGTTGTGGAAGCATGGGCTCTAGGGCGCGAGGTCTCAGTAGTTGTGGTTCCCAGACTCTAGAGCACAGGCTCAATAGTTGTGGTACATGGGCTTCAGTTGCTCTGGGGCATGTGGGATCTTCCCAGACCAGGGATCGAACCTGTGTCTCCTACATATTGGCAGATGGTTTCCTTGCCACTGAGCCACCAGGGAAACCCTATCCTCCATTTGTGAACTTTTCTCTTCCGGGGTATCTACTAAATGTCTTGTGTATTCAGTGAGGTTTCTTGTCTCTGGCTGGAGGAAATTCAAATGAGCTCTGGCCCTGGGTAGGGCTTCCCTGGTGGCTTGTTGGTAAAGAATCTACCTGCAATGTAGGAGACCTTGGTTTGATCCCTGAGTTGGGAAGATCCCCTGGAGAAGGGAACAGCTACCCACTCCAGTATTCTGGCCTGGAGAATTCCATGGACAGAGGAGCCTGGGAGGCTACAGTCCATGGGGTTGCAAAGAGTCAGACAGGACTGAGTGACTTTCACTTTCACTGGCCCTATGGGAGCTCTGGGAATTGCTTGTTTTATCATTCCAATAGTTCTTTCTTCGGAAGTTGTTCTTGGTCCAGCCTTTTAAAGATAGGACTGTGCTATCAGCCAAGCACTTAAGGGAACCCAAATTCATATTTCAGGAAATCATTCTCTAACTCCCTTGGTGATTTGGTTCCAGATTTGTTTTCCTCTGAACTTGGAGTATATATTTGTCTGTTTCGTTCTATTCAGTGTTGCTGATGAGAAGTCTTTTTTTATTATGATCCTTTACTTCGTAGGAAACCAAGTTTTTCTGTCTTATGACTGATAGTTTTCTATCGTTGGTTTTCTAAAATTCTGATATGTCCTGTATGGTTTAATGTTTAAAATATGTTCAACTTTTCTCTTAGGCCCTTTGAAACCTGAGGAGAGGACTGAGTCCTCTCTAACTTCTGAGAAATGCTGCTTTTTTTATTTCTTAGAATATTGCCTCTCACCTGTGGATGGATATTGAATGTTAGAGCCTTTACTGTAGCTGAGATTTCTAACTTTTCTCCTGTAATTCCTATATATTTGTGCTCTACTGTGTTCTGAGAGAATTCCTCAGTGCTGTCTTCTCTTGTATTTGCCCTTTACATGTGTCTGTTCAAAAAATAGGAAGATCAATATAAAAACACCCACCTAGAATGATGGAAACTGTTTCTCTTAACTAGCATGCTGATACTCTGGACCTGTTTCTTCACTTGTGACTGTACATGGATTTAACTAGATGGCGTCTGTGACCCTTCCAGCTTATCCATTTTAAATTTAAGATATGAATGCTTTTTAGGATTTCATATTGCACACATGGGTTTGAGATCCTATTAAGTAAATAGTACAGATTAGGAGTTACTGTGATTTGTTATTAGAAGAATAAATCAAACACAGGTTGAACGCGAAATTTCATTTTTAATTCTTTTGAATGATACACAATTAATGTTGATTGTTTTAGGTTATGGGAGAGAATTAGATCAGTGAAGCATTGAAATCACCATTGCTGCTGCTTCGCATGCTTATTGGACCATAGCTGCCTTTGTACATTTGCCCTTGGTTTGGTTGCATGATGCTTTTTCTTGTTGGCTAATAATTAATGTGTGACTATTTTACTACCAGGAATTTGCGGTCCCTGATTACCGTTCTTCTCATCTTGAAGTCAGTCAGGCATCACAGCTCTTGCAGCAGCAGCAGCAGCAGCAGCTTCGCAGGAGGCCTTCCCTACTTTCAGAGTTTCACCCGGGTTCTGACAGGTAACAGGTTCTCTTTTGTGTTTCCACCCAGGACTGAACTTGGGGAGTATGTGGAAACCACACGTGTGTCATTTATCTTATTACTTTCAATTCAGTGTTATATTTAGTCTTAATAGTCTTACTAACCAAGCTGTGATCAGTCATTTACAGTTGTATTTTGAGCGCTTTAATATTTGTTGACCTTTTGGAGTAGTTGTCCATAATAGTTCATAGACTCTTAAAACCTTGTTTCTGGAGTTCAGAGTCACTGCTGTGCAGAGGGCAGTCCGATAGACCTAGATTTGAATCCTGGTCAGCTCTTGGGGCCTTGGTCACATTGTATAAGCTGGTGTTCTCAATTCACCCTACATATTAGGAGCACCTGGGGAGATTTAAGAGCTTGATACCCAATCTCATCTCAGAATAATTAAATTAGTCTCTGGGATTAGGCCCACATCTTTCTTATTTACAGCCAGGGTTGCCAGTCAGTGCTTTAGACTCCTCAGACCTTCGTTTTCTACCTGTAAAAATGAGGATAACAAGGCATTGTCTGCAAAGGATAGTGGGTATTTTGTCAGCTAATGTTGGTCTCGTCCATATCAGATACTCATTCTCTCCAGTGTCCTTACTGTCTCTGCTGTCTTTTACTCAATTCCGCGCCTCCTTGCCCCGTCTTTTTTTTCCCATTCTCACTCTTAATCTAAAGTATTTTGGAATATAATAACTGCCTTTAGTAAATCACCTTTCTTGAGTCCTTGTTTTAGCAGTTTTATAAAGAACCTGATTTCCTATTGTAAAAAGTATGTTTATTGTTTAGATTTTAAGATGATAAAAAGTTTGAAATTATTCAACCATGTTTAAAATCATTGTAAAATACATTTCTTGGTGAAGATTATGGAGAGAAATCACATCACTCTCCTCTGCTGTCTAGCAAATATATGAAGATAGTTTAAGAAAGGGCTAAAAATGCACCCTGCACATAAAGAAGGAAAGGATACAGCCACTGCCATAAACTTGGAAGAGTGGCATTCAAGGAAGGAATGAGAAGAATCTTTCTCAACTTGGCCTCCTAATTCCTGAGAACACTGTCAAAGAAGCAGTGTTGAAGAAAGAAAGGTTAGTACAGTCCTAAGATTTCTCATGATTGCCCCTGATTTGGGAAAATGCAAGTGGAAGTGGTGAACGGTTGACTTAGGAATCCTCATTATGCCGTCCCGCAGTAAGGACAGTTATAGATGCCACTTTGCAAAGTGCTGAGCCAGAACCCTCAGAACTGGTTTACATGGGTGACTGGTGGAGCCATGGCTAAGGACTACAGCTCCAGTTGAGTTTTCCCCTGACTCGTCCCATTTCTCTTGTTTCCTCAGGCTGTAGAGAATTACATAGAAAGCCATATCCAGTCCTCCATCTGTAGATAAACACGTAGCTAGGCAAGGTGGGGATGGGCAAGGAAACCCGCCCACCACCCCTGCCCCGCCATTCTGCACCACAGAGCGAATCTGTGTAAGGCTGCTCAGAGTCTGCCTGAGCAGGAGGGTAAAGGATGCCATGAACCAGGAAAGCATACTACTGGAAAGGAAGACTCAAGCAATGCACTGTTCCAAAAACAAAGACCCCTGTGTGTAAAGAAGATGAAAAACAACATGCCCCATGAATGCTGTGCACTTAACTTAAAATTTATAATGAAGTGTTTAAAAACAAAATAAGACAGCCGTATCAGATAAAGCGAAAGATTGGACATTCCTTTGCCCCCAAGGCCACATTTTAAATTCTGTATATAAAGTGAGAAGGAACAAGGGATAAGATAGGTGTGGCTGAAAGTCAGACCTTTGTTCTGGAAGAAAGGTCTGGAGATGATCAGAGTGAAGGCAGAAGAAAGGGACAGAGAGATCAAAGCAATTAGAAAGAGGTGGATAAATACGGAGGGCAAATTGAAATCATCCAGCATGTCATAAGAACGTGTTTCCTAGGTGGAGAACCTAGTAAGGGAAAGGAAATGATACTCATAATTTAAAAACAAACAAACAAACACCTTTTTTCCCCTTTAACATGAGGGAAGAAATCTGTAGGTTGATAGGACATATCTTGCTCCAGGAGAAATTTACAAAGGATGATCAATACTGAGACAAATCCTGGCTGAGTTATTATTAAAGTTTAAGGGTAAGTAAAAGAATCAGGCATCTAGCATGCAGAACAAGTCCTCAATAAGAGAAAAGAATCTGATAGCAATAGCTACAAAGTTCTGAGGAGAGGAAATTGAGATCCAAAAATATTATATCAGACATGTTTAAAAGCAATAGGCAGACATTTTTAGACGTGCAAACACTGAGTATTTAAAGCTTCTTGAAGAATTTCTCAGAGATGCAATCCAGTTGAATAAGGAATGGAAGCCATGGTCAAAGGGTTACAGCAGCCATAAACGTATTCAAGTGCAGGGTGCGTATGAGACATCTCAAGGAATCATGGAATCATGGTTCCTCAGCGGATGTTAGTACTAAATCTTGACGAAGTAAAATAATGTGTCCCAAATCAGAGATACAATAAGTATTGGGAGAATGTTTAAAGCTATGCATTTGAAAAATGTGCTTGGAGTGATTTGATGACTTCTTAAAAGGAATATAGGTTAAAAAAAATTCTTCTTCTCAGTGCTTTTCATAATTATTTTCCTTACCCTTTTCACTTTCACCCTTTTGAAAGAATTTTTAAGGAACTGATTTCTTGGAGTAAAGGAGTGTTTAACTGGAATGTAGTAATTCCTTCCATTTTTAAGCCTTATTTCATTTTTTTCTCATATATGTATCTGTATAAAAATAAACCAAATATTCTTTTTTTTTTAATATTCTGTATTTAAAAAATACTCTATGTGATTCTTCTGTTTTATTTTTGCCTGTATGTCCATACATCCATATGTAGAAATAAATGATGTCTGGTAATGAAACTCACCCCTGATTACAGCTGTTGCTATGTGGTGGGGTTTGGGGTGATTTGTTTACTTAGCTCTGTTAATATATTCCTGGAATTTTTTTGTTAGCCAATGTTTATTATTTTATAAACACAGCACTCACAAAAAGAGTTATTTCTGTGTGAATATCATTCATCATGTTTTCTAGATGTCATTGGAAAAATTAGCCCAGAAGGAAATGGCAATCCACTCCAGTATTCTTACCTAGAGAATCCCGTGGACAGGGAAGCCTGGTGGGCTACAGTCTATGGGGTCGCAAAGAGTCGGACACGACTGAGCGACTAACACACAACATCTAGAGTATTTGGATGTTTAATTAAGTAGGTACAGAACAACTGAGGTAGTTTCAGATACTATAAAAGATTCTCTGAAATTCAGATAATTGGTTTTCCCTTGAGCAACAAAAGAGGTCAACTCATATTTATACATTTTTAAATTTAAGTGAAATTAATTTTGTTTTGGACAAGAGTCTCCCTCAGCTGGGAATAAACACAATAAATTATAATTCTGATTGGTCTTCATGGGCCAGTATTTTAAATAACAATGAACTTTATATTACCCCTAAATGAAGGTTTATTACAATAAAAAATCCATTTGATAAATTTGCTTTAAAACTATTTAAAGATGGTACTAAGAGATGATGAAAGTCAGTAAAATGTAGGAAATTTTAAATTTAAGAGTCTGCAGAGGTATTTTAGTGTGAAATCTGGTGGGATTTTTATTTTTTTGGTTGTTTTGGAAGTACTACATTTTATTTTTCTATTCATCAGTTGATAGCTATTAGAGTTGTTTGCACTTCGTGACTTTTGTGAATAATATTACTGTGAACATCCAAGCACAGATTTTTCTGTGGCTGTGTATATACCCCTTTATACTCCACCTGCATGCTTTGTGACCCCATGGACTGGGGCCCGCCAGCCTCCTCTGTCCATGGGATTCTCCAGGCAAGAATCCTAGGGTGGATAGGGGATCTTCCCCACCCAGGGATCAAACCCCTGTCTCCGTCATCTCCTGCAGTGGCAGGCAGGTTCTTTACCACTAGCGCCACCTGGGAAGCCTCACATGCCCCTTTTCTTGGTCACATACTGGGAGTGGGGCTGCTGGATTAAGTGCTGGTCCCTTTTGTTTGCTATTTGGGAAACTACCAGAATGTGTACAAAGTGGCCACGCCATCATACAGTATTAGTTTTTAAAAGGCAAATACTTTGTTAAAGATGCACATTTCATGCTTAACTCCCAATATAAAATTGTATTTGTTTTCACCAAGATTTTCATAGTTCATTTAAATTTTTTCTGAAATTTTAAATGGTAAATTATGTATTTATTTATGCATGAGTAGTTTTGTTGTAAAAAGAATTGGCAAGCTGAAATGGGGAATAGTTTGATTTCTTGATGGAGTGAGAGTTTTCAGTACTCTGTTTTTCTTAATTGTCCTGTGCCCTGGCTTCCTGGAGTTCTCCAGCTGTGGGTACACCTCACCCTCTGGCTTTGGTCAGTCTCTCAGGCAGAGTGGCTGGAGGTAAAATGTGATCCTTGGAAGTTAGTTAGGTTTTGTGGATTGTGTCCTTAACAGGGGTGCCCAGTTGTGGGGACATAGCTAGGGGCCCCAGAGGGTTGCATTTCCTTATAGAAGTTCCACACAAAGTCTCCAAGCAGGCCAGCAGCAGCCCTGGTTCTCAGTGCTGCGTCCAGGGGCATGGCCTTTATCTGATTGACCCTGGCTGCTCTGTGGAGGGTGGATTTGGGGTGGGTAGACTGAAGCAGAAAGAATGTGTCAGAGAGAGAGCTGGGGAGAAAGAATGTGGGCATCAGGCAGGATACTGCAGCCTTATCAAATGCATGATTTTCATATATCTCCTCCCATTCTGTGGGTTGTCTTTTCATTTTCATGGTAGTGTTCTTTGATGTACTAAAATTTTTTATTTTGATGAAGTCCAGTCATCTACATTTTTCTTTTGTTGCCTTGCCTTTGGTGTGATATCCAGGAATTCACTACCAAGTCCAAGGTCAGGAGATTTTTCCCTATATTTTGTTTCTAAGAGTTTTTAAGTTCTGGATTTTTAATCCATATGTGTCCAACTTCATTGTTGTGTGTGTGGGAATTCCGTTCTTCAGGACCGTTTGTTGCAGAGATTGTCCTTGCCCTGTGGGAGGGTCTTGACAGCCTTAGTGAGGCTGACTGAGATGTGAGGGTTTATTTCTATGCTCTTAGCTGTATTCTGTTGGTCTGTAGGTCTGCCCTTCTGGCTGAACCATGCTCTTGATTATTGTATATTTGTAGTGAGTTTTGAAATTGCAAAGTGTGAGTTCTCCAACTTTATATATTTTTTCTACAGTTGTTTTGGCTGTTTGCAGTCCCTTGAGATTCCACATGAATTTTTTTTTCCTGCACCACCTGTCTTGTGGGATCATAGTTCCCTGACCAGGAGTGCAGCCCAGGCCCATGACAGTGAAAACAGAGTCAACGACTGGACCACTAGGGAATTCCCATCTCCATGAATTTTATGATGGGTTTCTTTTTTTAATGCCTCAAAAAAACTCTGTTAGGATTTTGCTGGAAATTATGTTGAATGTGTACTTAGCTTTGTGTAGTCTTGTTATCTTAACAATATTGTCTTTCAGTGCATGAAAATGGGATGTCTTACTATTTAAATTTTCCTTAATTTCTTTCAGCAATGTTTTGTGATTTTTCAGTGTGTAAGTCTTGGGCCTCCATGGTCTAATTCATTCCTGCTTTATTCTTTTGGATGCTATTATAAATGAAATTTTTTTTTTGGAATTGTTTTCTTAATTTCATTTCCAGATTATTCATTGTCAATGTATAGAAATACAGCTGATTTTTACATGTCGATTTTTTTATCTCATAATTTCACCCTATTCATTTATTAGCTGTAACATTTTTTGTGGTTTCTTGAGAGTTTTCCACATATGAGATCATGTCATTTGTGAATAGAAATACTTTACTTTTTCCTTTTCAATTTGGATGCTTCTTTTTCTTGCCTAATATTCTGATAAGAACTCCCAATATGATATTGAATACAAGTGACTAAAACTGTCATCCTTGTCTTATTCCTGAAACTTTGTATTGCAGTATTTTTTGTAATATCATTGTGAATTTTAAGGAGACAATGGGATCTTATGTCTTGAATGAGATTTCAAATTTTTGAAGTATTATAAAATTATCAACCTCACAGTATGTTTTATCGCCTATACTAAAAACAAAACCCCATGATTAACTTCAAAATGAAAGGTTGTTTTGTGAGATGTTCATTTAAACCTTGGCCACAAGTAAAATGTCACGTCTGGAAATACTTTGTAAATACTCTGTACGTTATATCATGTAAGGAAATTGAAACCAGATTCCAGACCTTCAAGATACTTAGGTACTTGGGGAAATTAGACAGAATGCATGTTTTGGGGGTCAGAATTATGTGTTCAAAGCAATATTGTATTCCCACTCAAGAGACTTGTTTTTAAGTCTTGATAATACCTCACAACTCAAGGCATTTATCTTTCCATGTGGCAGTTGCTGAAAGTTTTTTTTTTTTTCTGCTTGCTTTTACTATTGGTTGAAAAGGGTGGCTCTTCTCGTCTAGATTATATTAATTCAGTTGTTATGGCATGGGTTTAAAAATATTTATTTTATGGATATTCTTTAGCATCTTTTAAATTTTCTGCAAATTGAATCTTCTGTTGCATCTTTCGCTACTTTACTACCTCTACTCCTACCTCCCCTTTTCTAGTAGAAAAGAGGAAACTTTTCTATTAGAATCAGAACTTTAATAGGACTTAATAGTGAGGTATGTGTTCTCCTGGGGTGGGGGTGGTTTCACTTTGAAAGTAAGTGTAATTGCTCATTCATTCTAAGTCCAACCAGGGATATTAGCAGGATATTGTATATTACTTAAACATTTTCAAGTGATTCTTTTCTCTGTATGTGTCAGGCCTCAAGAAAGAAGAACTGGATATGAGCAGTTTCACCCAGGCCCTTCCCCAGGGGATCATGATTCACTGGATTCCAAGAGACCACGTCTGGAGCAGCTTTCTGATTCCCATTTCCAGCGGGTCAGCGCTGCGGTCTTACCTTTAGTGCACACGCTGCCAGAAGGGTTGAGGTCTTCTGCAGATGCTAAGAAGGTAAATATTTGTTTTCTTACCCTGTGGAGTTGTCGGTCTGAAATGTGTATTTAGCCACATTCAGGCACAGTGCCTAAAAGACCAGTTATTCCATTCACCAAAGGTTAGTGCTGTGGGAAAGTAAAAATTTTGTTTAAACAAAACTAAAAAGCCACAGACTTAATACTCTGGACTTTAAAGTCAATACTTTTGACTTTTTGGTAAATGAGAAACAATCTGAGGACTGCTGTAAAGAAAAATTGCTATTGAATGACTCTCAGGCATTTTGTACTGGCTTGCTGGGCTGTAAAATGTAGTCAGAGCCACTCAAGATTACCACAGTTCTGTTAAATTTAAATTGAATTTTAAATAATTCCCTTAAATTCAGTTGCAGTTTATTAATTTATTACATGGGAGAAGACATATTTTAGGTAAGGTTTAACTATGCTTATAACTTTTGTGAAGAAAAATTTTTATTCTGTTAGTGATAACTACTTTTAATATGAGCTATAATCTCATGATGGGCTTCCAAACAATAGCTCATTGGTAAAGAATCCTTCTAATACAGGAGACGCCAGTTCAACCTCTGGGTTGGGAAAAGATCCCCTGCTAAAGGAAATGGCAACCCACTCCAGGATTCTTGCCTGGGAAATGCTATGGGCAGAGGAGCCTCGTAGGCTATAGTTCATGAGGTTGCAAAAGAGTTGGACACGACTGAGTGGCTAAACAACAGCAATCAGTTCAGTTCAGTTCAGTCGTTCAGTTGTGTCCAACTCTTTGTGACCCAATGAACCGCAGCATGCCAGGCCTCCCTGTCCATCACCAACTCCCGGAGTCCACCCAAACCCATGTCCATTGAGTCGGTGATGCCATCCAACCATCTCATCCTCTGTTGTCCCCTTCTCCTCCTGCCCTCAATCTTTCCTGGCATTAGGGTCTTTTCAAGTGAGTCAGCTCTTCGCATCAGGTGGCCAAAGTATTGGAGTTTCAGCTTCAACATCAGTCCTTCCAATGATCTCATGATATTTCAAACAATATGTGTTTTGGGTTTATGAGAAGGTTCTATTAAGATCATACCTCTTTTCCTTTTTTGTTTATTGTTACTTGCCTTTCTTTGGTGATGTGCATGTTTCTGTATTATACTTTTATTTTGTTCCTCAGTTTATCATATTTAACTGTTTTGCTTGTCATTAGATCTTCAGATCAGGAATTACCTGGCACTTAGTAGGTATAGAATAAATATTTGTTTTAGAAAGAATAAACTAATTCTGTAAAATACTTTTTTAACAGAAAGTATTAACCCTTTTACTATCATATATTAATATCTCTTTATCTTTGCTTTTTTGTTCTTAAATCTTTTTCCAAAAAAGTTTGTTTATCTTTAGGGCTAGTGGCCCTTTCCACCCTGATATCAGATAACTAAATACCCACACATTTTCTTTGAGTTTTTATGGAGTGAACAGTGATTTAAATAAAAGACAGTAAATATGTTTGCACTTTCTTCTCAAATAGATCAACTGGAAAAAAAAAAAGGTAGGTGTATGTATATGTATACAGAGAGATAAAGCAAATATAGCAAAATGTTACAATTGGTGAAGCTAGATGAAGGGTAATTGAATCCATTATGCTAGTCTCTGAACTCTTATGTAAATTTGAAATTTTAAAAATAGTAAGTTGGGTGGGTAAAGCTCTTTGTGATGAGCTAGAAATGAACTAAGCTCCTAGAAATATTGAGACCCACTTCACCATGTGAAATATCTGTATTATAGTCTGTGGGTTTATAAGGAATGTTTGCAGCCTTTAATAAAGAAGGAAAGAGGTGAATAAAGGTCTTCTTGCAAGGCTGAATAAATGAACACAAATGTAATTTATAGCTATAAATTTTTTTTGGCAGAGAGAGAGCTTAAAACTTCATCCATTTATATTAGAGTACAGCTGATTTCCATTTTATAGTAGAGAAGATGGATGTTAAGAAAAACTAAGTGACCTAGGCATTGTTTCCTGAGTTGAAATGAAAACCCATGCATGACCTCTGATTCCTAGTCCTGCTTCTTTCCCCACTAAGCTGTAAGTCATGACTTTCCTTTTTTTTTAGAAGTTGGGACTTTGAAAGGGTTAGCATTTGTTAGTTTTTTTCTTCACTTAGAGAAGAGTGAAATTGGATAAGCTTGAAGGAAAAGTTTGTCTCACCAGTTTGTCGTTAATAATCGTGCATATTTTATTGTGCTTACTTTGTGCATTGTGTATGACTTTATTTTTGCTTAAATACATTCTGAGGTTCATTTTGTGTCATTAAGTTTACAGTTGTATTTTCGGTCATATTCCATGTATGGATATAAAATAACTTACTTGTCACACATGTAGGTTACCTGCTTGTTCATTAGAATAATGACATATTTTTCTTAGCTTGATTTTTTGTTTGTTTGTTTCTTTTTTGTGTGTGGCTTGTGGGATCTTAGTTCCCCAACCAGGAAATCAAATCTGTACCCTCAGCAGAAAGTGTGGAGGCCTAACCACTGGACCACCAGGGAATTCCCTAGGTTCATTTTTTTGGTTTACATTCTTATTTACTTCCTTAAGGTAAATTCCTGTTAGTGTATTTTAAGGTTTTCCTGGGTATATCCAGTTTGCCCTGAAAAGGTGGAAAACTAGTTTTTACTGCTGATAGCATGATATAAGGGCGCCCAGTTGCTGTGTGTCCATACTGAAACCACATATTTACTGTCTTTAAAAAGATCATTGTTAGTTTGATAAATTTTTAACTTGCATTTATTTGTTATTAAAATTTAACATTTTTTCATTTGTTTTTCCTTTTTTCCTGTTTTATGAATTGCTTTTCATATTTGTTGCCTAGTTTTCTGTTGATGTGTTTTTTATTTTATGTTAGAGTTCACGTTTTGCAAATGATTTTTCCTGTTTGCTTTGTAAATTTATTCCTATTTTGATAAAGAGAAAATTGTTCTTTATTTTGATTCATCAATCTTTTTTTAATGTCTTTTGCTATTGACTTTCCTGTACTCAGTATAATATGAATACCTTTTGTTTGAGGCTACTTGTGATTTGCTAATAAATCTCATATAAATATTATTATTTGGCTTTTGTTGTGATATGTGAAATAGAAATTTAACTTCCCCTCCTCCAAATAGCTAACAGAATGTCCCCCCACAAAATTATAAGCTCCTTGATGGCAAGCCTGTTTTGTTTACCTTTCTGCCTAGTGCCTGTCAGATGATAGGCACTGTAAACAGGAATTTGTTTTTTGTTAAATATTTAACTAGAGATGAAGTCAGTGGGAAATATTGATCTGTAATAGTAGTTGTTAGGGCACAGGTCAGACAGATCACCTGAGGAGCATTTTCAAAATCTGCTGAATCAAAATGTAATCTGTTGTGGTATTCTAAGTGTTCTGTAACACAAATGATCTCATATGCATATGTAAGAGAATGATGTTAATGTAACGTGGAAATCCATGATGAATGATCGTTCCTTGCACATGAATGTTTTAGAGCTCTCAAGATCAAGCTTTCATAATTAAGAATTAGCCTGCTAGATAGATGAAGACCTTAAAAAGATTTGAAAAGTCTGCATTTATCAGTAGTTTTCATTTAGTGCAGGTAGTAGCTAGCTTAGTTAATTCAATAACTACTCTGCTTTTCAGTGTTAAACTAACTAATGAAGATTGGAATGTTGAAAAGAAACTGTGAGACCTTTTTTCCTGTCCTTTTATGTTTTTAAAGGTTAATCTGCCTGCCAGTGCAGGAGACATGAGTTCGATCCCTGGGTCAGGAATATCTCCTGGAGAAGGAAATGGCAACCTACTCCTGTGTTCTTGCCTGGAGAATCCCATGGACAGAGGAGCCTGGTGGGCTACAGTCCATGGGGTTGCAAAGTGTCAGATACGACTTAGTGACTAAACAACAGCAAAGTCTTTATACCACGAATCAGATTTTTATTAACATTATGATGAAGTGTGCTATTTTGAACTGGAAGCAAATGACCTGAAGGATTAACAGAGGACGCATAAACTGCAGGGTTTACAGATATCAAAGGATTGCCTGTAGTCTGAATGCAAATGGTATTGGAGCTTTGACAGTATTATTTTGTTAGGATTGCTGTTGTTTTGTTAATACTCTGCTTACAAAGTTTACAGGTTTTAAGTAATAGCTATAATCCTGTTTTCCCCAGAAGCCTTAATTTAGCTATATTAGGTTACAGAATATCAGATTTTTCAGGAATATACATGTTATGTTTTAGTTAATCTCTGTTTCATGGTGTTTTGGAACAGCTATCTGGGTATATTTAAGTGCATTCTTGGTTAGAACTATTGATTTCTCACAGTTACTTAGTCATTGTTTAATACATTGAGGGCCCTCTGGTCTTATGAACTGTGATCATTCTAGACTTCTTACAGCCTAAAGAGAATCAGTGCCTTAATCTGAAATTCATATGCTTTGCAGTATTGCTCATAGCTTCACCTTGTACTGGAGATGAGTAGGCTGTGCGAGTGTGCATGCGTGTATTGGCAGGGTGGCAGGTTTTGGGTGGCGGCCTTCAGTCTACTGTAGTCTCTGCTCAGTATGGAGCTGGAATGAGGAGGTACATTTGACTGAAGAGATGTTATGTGCGCTGTGGAGCAGACAGGCTTAGTTGCTCTTTATTGAGGGTGATCAAAGCAACAAAAGTTCTAGGTCATTTCCCAGACTTCTATACATCAGTATTAACCCTTGGAAAGCCTGAAAACTTTTGATAGGAATGGCCATTTGTAGCTGTTTAGTTGGGTGGGCACACAGAGTGCGTGTGTTCAGACGTTACAACAAAATGGCTGAGGAATTGGCATCTTCCTTTGTTGTAATTGCATCATTATTTCTGCAGCAATTCATTGTATGTCTTAGTATTGTAGTAGAGGCTGGTTGGCCACTTAACCCTCTTCAGTGATATGTCTGAACTGTGACCGTCAGTGGTGTATGAGTGTGGGTGTGTGTGTGAGAGGGAGGGTGGGCAGGAAGAAGGGAGAAAATTGCTACTATAGGCCTACTGTGTAGAAAGGGAGCACACATGGCTCTGCTAAGTTTTAAAATTCACTTTTTTTCGGTTAAGAGAATCTTTTTTTTTTTTAATGAACCCATCGTGCCTTTTAAAAAAAATATTCCTATTTGTTTTATGTATTTGTTTGCCTGCACTGGGTCTTAGTTGCAGCACATGAGATCTTTTAGTTGCGGCATGTGGGGTCTAGCTCCCTGACCAGATATTGAACCTGGGCCCCCTGCATTGAGAGCCAGAGTCATAGCCACTGGACCACCAGGGAAGTCCCCATTAAGAGATTCTTGATGCTGACATTGATCTTTAGTGAGAAACCATTTGTTCTTGATTTTCTTCTTTAAAGGACCCAGCATTTGGAGTCAAACATGAAGCTCCTTCCTCTCCAATCTCTGGGCAACCATGTGGGGATGATCAAAATGCTTCACCTTCAAAACTTTCAAAGGAAGAGTTAATACAGAGTATGGATCGTGTAGATCGAGAAATTGCGAAAGTAGAGCAGCAGATCCTTAAACTGAAAAAAAAACAAGTAAGTGTTTGATTTTACTGCTTAGTACATTCTCGGAATGTTTGTCTCCCTAAAAAGAGTGTTGAACTTTCCATATTTTTAACTTTAGTTGATGTGCCATTTTAAATTCCACTAGCAGTGTCTGAGGGAACGTTTCCCTCTCTCTTCTTCACTGTTTTAAATAGCTATTCTAGTGCATGTGAAGTGGTATCTCATTGTGGTTTTAATTTTAATTTCCTTAGTGACCAGTGATGAACATCTCTTTATGTGTATGTTGGTCATTTATATATTTTCTTTAGAGAACTGTTTATTCAGATCCTTTGCCCATTTTTTTTTAAGCTGGTTGTCTTGTTATTGTTGAGTAAGAGTTCTTTATATATTCTGGATATTCATATATATGATGTGCAAATATTTTCTCTCATTCTGTGAGTTGTTTTTTCACTATCCTGATAGTGTTTGTTGATGTACAGAGCTGTTTTTTCCTGTGATTCACTCAGATTCTTACTGAGCATCTAAGGAGATATAAAAGTGATTAAAACATGGTCAAAGAGGTAAATCAAATGAAAGCAAAGTATTAAGATTCACTGAATCATAGCCATCAAACACAAGTGCTTTATGAAGCAGGAGTGAGATTGCTTCCAGCCTGGGGGTTGGTGGTGGGATAAATCAGGAGAAGGAGTTGAGATTAAAGTAGAAAACTTGGTCTGAATTGCTAGTGATACTCAGCTGGGACTCTATCTCCTTTTCCTGTCTCTCTGTCTTAATTTATGAGGACTGTTCATTGTGCTTTTTCCTAGACTTGCCTGCAGTTTTACTTTAACGTCTTCTCCAGAACTAGGTCCTTTTGGTGTTTTAGGAGGTTTGTGAGTTAGTGTGTTTCGAGGGCTTCCCAGATGGCTCAAGCGGTAAAGAATCCACCTGCAATGCAGGAGACAGGGGTTTGATCCCTGGGTCAAGAAGGTCCCCTGGAGAAGGAAATGGCAACCCACTCCAGTACTGTTGCCTGGAAAATCCCATGGACAGAGGAGTCTGGCAGGCTACTGTATATTTTGAAGGATTCTTGACTTTTGCTCCTGCTGTTTGATGGTTTTGAATGTATTCCATTCTGGTTTGATTTGGCGCCTTTTTGGCTGGAGTGTCTTGTATAGATTTCTTTACTGGAGCTTTTTCTTCAGCTCCCTTTTCATTAGCAAGTTTGCTTGTTTTCTGTGGAACCTTGCTACCACTTGCAGATATACTCCAGAGTTTCACATCCTCCTCTTCATCTTCTTATTCTGCATCTTCTAAGAGCTGTCCACTAATAAGTACAGGCCCTGAACCAGTGGACCACAGGTGGCATTCAGTCCCCCAGGGACGAATTAACGTGGCCAGGGCTGCTTCGTTGGGACCACCTTTGCTCCAGCAGTATGCGCTTCATCCTTTGCACTAGCCCTGAAACTGACCTCTGGAGAGAGGAAAAAGAGACAGAGTCCAAGCTGAGTATAACTGACCTATCTCAAGATAACTGCTCATCTTCATCATCATCCACTTTAAAGTCATCTTTGTTGACAACTGAAAGGTGGTTCCAGGGCCCCAGGGGCACACATGTAGGTGGGAGAGAGGGTGCGCAGAGGTTAGTGACTGCACTTGCAGAGGGTGGTGAGCAGGATGGAGTCACACAAGGGCAGAAAGCTTTCAATTTTAACTGTGATGAAGTCCAGTTTATTTTTTCTTTCATTACTTGTGCTTTTGGTGTCATATCTAAGAACCATAATCCTCGTTGCCTAATCCAAGGTCACAAGGATTTATACCTATGTTTTCTTCTCTGGGTTTTATAGTTTTTGCTCTTATATTTAGGTCAGCATTTTTGGTGAACAGAATTTCTGTAGTTTTTGGATGTGACTACCCTGGGATCATTAAAAGAGTTTATCATCTTTTAAGAAGTTTTATAGTTTCTCATCACATTATTCTTAATCCACCAGAAGTTGAATTTTTGTGTCTGCCTCAAAACAGAAGTCAATATTTTTTCCCCCATATTAATAAATAATTAAGAAATTCATCCTTTTCCAGCCGCACGTTCAGCTCTGTTATAAATCAGCTTTGGACTGATTGCTGGCCTTTGTGTTCTCTGTGGTATTGATGTAGAAATACAGTAGATATCTGGATTTTTGATTTGTCTCTTTTTCCTAGTAGTTCTCAGTTTAAAAGAAAATTGGGGTAAAATTGACACGCAACATTATATAGCATTATGATTTTATATTTATATATATTGCAAAATGATCTCCACAGTAAAGCTAGTTAACCATCTCTCACTGCATATGGTTACAGATTTTTTTTCTTTTGATGAGAATTTTTAGCATCTACTCTCTCAGCAATTTTCAACTATACAATAAATGGTTGTTAAGTATAGTCACCAAACTATGGTCAACTATAGTTTACATATGCATCCCTTACTTATTTTATAATTGGAAGTTTGTACCTTTTGACTCCTTTCACCCATTTGGTCCGTCTCCACCTACCCCTACAACCACTAGTCTATTTGAATCTATGAGCTTGTCTAGTGTCTGTCTGTGGTTTTGTCCCAGGGCTACTTCACTGTGGAGAACAAAATGTGATTTCCTGAAACCTGTTTCTTTCTTTCTCTACACCTACTTAATGGACATTCTAAAAGAAGGCCTTCTGAGCAAAGGAATAAAAGGGCATGGTTGGAGACCTCATTAACATGAGAATGATCTCAGAACCCCGAATACTATCATTTGCTTACACAGATAGCAGGTTGCATGAGTCCTTTCTGTTCCAAAGTGGAAGTGGACCTCAAAGCTTCCCTCTTGAAGGATTTTCATCCTTTCTTTGGTTGTGATCTGACTTACATGATGAGGAACCTGACTCTCAGTCTTAACTTGAAAATGTAGGTAATCTTTTTCCACTGGGCCTTTAGTAGACTTACCACCTTTACTTTAATGCCTTTTATATTATATCCATGTTGCTGTTTGTTGAGCATTTACTAGGTATCACATGGAGCTGTTTGTTGAGCATTTACTAGGTATCAGTTGGGGTGATGGAAGACAAAAAACAGTGAACCAAGCTCAGTCCCTACTTACTTCAGTAGGTAATACTCACTGACCATTTATAGTTGTGCTTGACATATACTGAGTCCTTTAATCCTCTCAGAAAGCTGTGTGATAGGTAGGATCAATATCCCCACTTCACATATGAGGGGTTTGTACACTTGCTCCCGATTGAGGTAAGAACTAGAAAGCGTCTTTGGATCAAACCACTTGTAAAGGGGGACCCTAGGGCTGAACCTGGGCAGAGTAGTTCAGATAGCCTCCTGCGTTGTGGCTGCACACACTAGCAGTTAATGTGCTTTTGACTTTGCCGCCTCCTCACTGTAGGATATAAAGTCTCATGGGGGAGTGGGGTAGAGGGTGGTGCTGTGCTGAGTTAAGGGTTAATTAACCCTTCAGTGTTCTACTGTGCTCTCTCTGCCAGACATTAGCAGGTACTGTGTGTCTATAATACAGAACAGCATTATTCCAGGGACACAGAGGGTCCTTGTGATAGAGGCAGATGCAATACCTTCATACGTTTAGATTCTCTTACTTAAGTTGTGGTTCAGGTGCCAAGTTTTGTCTGACTCTTTGCAACTCCATCGACTGCAGCACTCCAGGCTTCTTTGTCCTTCACTAGCTCCAAGAATTTGCCCAAATTCATGTCCATTGAGTCAGTGATGCTATCTAACCCTCTCATCCCCTGCCTGCTCTCCTCTCCTCCTGCCTTGTTTTTCCCTTTCCCAGCATAGAGTCTTTTCCAGTGAGTCAGCTCTTCTCATCAGGTGGCCAAAGTATTGGAGCTTCACCTTTAGCAACAGGCCTTCCAATGAATATTCAGGGTTGATTTCCTTTGGATTTGACTGGTTTGATCTCCTTCCCGTCCAAGGGACTCATGAGTCTTCTCCAGCGTCACAGTTCAAAAGCATCAGTTTGACACTCAGACTTCATTATGGTCCAGCTCTCACATCCATAATGACTACATAGCTTTGACTATACAGACCTTTGTCAGCAAAGTGATGTCTCTGCTTTTTAAATACGCTATCTAGGTTCTGTTATAGCTCTCCTTCCAGGGAGCAAGTGTCTTTTAATTTCATGGTGGCAGTCACTGTCCACAGTAATTTTGGAGCCCAGGAAAATAAAATCTATCACTGCTTCTACTGTTTCCCCATCTATTTGCCAAGAAGTGATGGGACCAGATGCCATGATGTTAGTTTTTTGAATGTTGAGTTTTAAGCCAACTTTTTTACTCTCCTCTTTTACTTTCATCAAGAGGCTCTTTAGTTCCTCTTCACTTTCTGCCGTTAGAATGGTATTTGCATATGTGAGGTTATTGCTGTTTCTCCCAGCAGTCTTGATTCCAGCTTGTGATTCATCCAGCCCAACATTTCACATGATGTACTTTGTATATAAGCTAAATAAACAAGGTGACAGTATATAACCTTGTCATACTCCTTTCCTATTATTGAATCAGTCATTTGTTCCATGTAAGGTTCTAACTGTTGCTTCTTGACCCACATATAGATTTCCCAGGAGGCAGGTAAGGTGGTCTGGTATTCCCATCTCTTAAAGAATTTACCACAGTTTGTTGTGATCCATTACAGTCAAAGGCTTTAGTGTAGTGAATGAAACAAAAGTAGATGTTTTTCTGGAATTCCTTAGCTTTCTCTGTGATCCAGGGAATGTTGGCAATTTGATCTCTGGTTCCTCTGCCTTTCCTAAACCAAGCTTGTACATCTGGAAGTTCTCATTTCACATCCTGTTGAAGCCTAGCTTGAAGGATTTTGAGCATAACCTTACTAGCATGTGAAATGAGCACAGTTGTCCAGTAGTTTGAACATTCTTTGACATTGCGCTTCTTCGGGGTTGGAATGAAAACTGACCTTTTCCAGTCCTGTGGCCACTGCTGAGTTTTCCGAATTTGCTGGCATATTGAGTGCAGCACTTTAACAGCATCATGCTTCAGGATTTTAAATAGCTCAGCTGGAATTCCATCATCTCCACTAGCTTTGTTTGTTGTAGTGCTTCCTAAGGCTCACTTGACTTCACACTCCAGGTTGTCTGGCTCTAGGTGAGTAACCACACTGTCGTGGTTATCCTGATCATTAAGACCTTTTTTGCGTAGTTCTGTGTACTCTTCCTGCTTCTTTTTAATCTCTTCTGCCTCTGTTAGTCCTTACTGTTTCTGTCCTTTATCATGCCCATCCTGGCATGAAATGTTCCCTTGATATTTTCAGTTTTCTTGAGGAGATCTCTAGTCTTTCCCATTCTATTGTTTTTCTCTATTTCTTTGCACTGTTCATTGAAGAAGGCCTTATCTCTCTCTGCTATTAGATTCCCTTATTATTTTGCTTTAAATTTATCAGAATTAGAATACAAAAGGGTTTATCTATCAAAAGATGACTTATGCTGTTTAGTTATTAGTCAAAATAAATCTGATTGGGTTCATTAGGACCTTTGGGTCCTTAGACCTTGTCAGTTAAGTGATTACCCTGTAGAGTCAGTGAAGCGTTGCTCAGAAGCATGTGTTGTCTCTGGTGAATAATTACTGGTGGGGCTGACGTGCAGCAGATGCCTGACTCTCCCTTTCTGGGTCTCTTAGCAACAGCTTGAAGAGGAGGCCGCGAAGCCTCCAGAGCCCGAGAAGCCTGTGTCCCCCCCTCCTGTGGAGCAGAAGCACCGCAGTGTTGTCCAGATTATTTATGATGAAAACCGGGTAAGTTCAAGCCACTCCTTGGTGGCTCAGGGCTTGAAGACCACTGGGCTGTACCTTCTCCAGTTGTTTCTGTTCTGTGGTAATGTTAACTGTATTAAAACCTGCTTTCTGCTTTAATTTTGAATGTTCTTGAATTTTGAAGCTTGGTGTTTTTCTTTACATACTGAAGGAAAGTTGATAGTTGTGTCTTAAATTATTTAGTATTTCATATTCATGTTATATGGTATAAATACTTATTTTTGACAGTATAATTTTATCAGCCAAATCTCCTGTTGTATGGTGTTAAGAAGTATGTAGCACATAATACAGCCATTCTGTGGTTTTTCACTTTATGAGGGACATTTGATGCCACTGTTGTAGTAGAGAATGGGTCATTGGATGTGGGAATGACTTGCATTATCTGCTTCAGAACTGAGGGTTGGGGTTTAGTTTGAATTTTAGTTATAAAGTATGAAGCCACTGACCTTTAGGTAGACTTTGCCTTTATAGGTCTGTTAAAACAATTTCTTCTTTCATGCTTATAATTAAAAGTGTCTGTGAATTTAGGAAAGCTGGACCTCAGTTCTATGAATAACTTTGTGATGTTGAAGTTGGTTTTTGACCAGAATCCAGCCCAGGAACTAGCAGTTAAAGGGAAATCAGCTTCCCCCTAACGTGAAGAGAACCTTGAGACAGAGCTGCTTATCATGGGTCTTCCAGAAGCCCCCATTCAAGGAGGAATTCCATGCATTATGTACTGTGCTAGAGAATTGGCTTGTCAGTTAAAGGCGACAATCTGCAGAAATTAGGGATTGTTGTTTCAGTTGTTTGCCCTGTTATGAGTGAAGTCACCAGAATCAGTGCATCTTATACAGGCAGCCTACAGCTACATTATCCCAGATCCTAAAGGAAATGGCTTTGAGAAAAGCAGCTGTGAGCTAGTCATTATGTAAGGGTTTACACAAGTGGTCTTGGAGTCAGGTGTGCATGGATGTGTGTGTATAGATGGATAACTGAGTCATCAGACACCCAATACTCAAGATGACGGTAATTGTCACCAGGAGGCAGAAATACAAGTTAGTACCAGTTTCTTGACTGGGTTCAAAATCAGTCCAACTTATTGGACAGAACAGCCTCTGTGAAGGTGAGTCCAGTGAGGGTGAAAGGCAGTGGGTGGAATAAGTGATGAGGACCCCTCAGGCCTGGAGGGTAGGGATGTGCCCATGGCCAACCAGTGCTCCCTTGTTTAGGAGAACCTGGGAAAATGGATTTTATAGAAAGTCTCCTGCTTTTATAAAACAAACTGGAGAACAATAAAGCACTTCTGTGGGCTGATTGGCTTCAGGTCAATTTGTGACTCAAGGGTAAAGTAAATAAGGATCAGAGCTGGTGATGATGGAAAAGGATTTTATAAAACACTGAATTCTTAGTATGAGTTACTTTTCAAGTATGTTGAATCCAGTGATATTTATTAATTGAATTGCTTAATTAGCCTTCTCTTACAGGCTTAATAAACAGTTCCAGTGTTAGTGGGTTGTGCGGTTGCCTGACTAGGATGTGACAGAGAATTTGGTTTGTGTTTAATTCATATATGTGTGCTCTTTTTTGTTAGTGTGGTACGTTTTCCTTGATGCCCATCAGCAGAGCCAAAAGTTCCTTTTGGACCTCTTCTTGCCATTTCATCATTTATACACTCAACCTGTTACACATTCTGTGTACAAGAGAAGAACCTAGCTTGAAATCTGTGTTAATATTAGACTTACAGTGAAGATTGTTTTTAACTCAGTAACCATAGAAATCATCTTTTAAAACAAATTCCTTTTGTATTGCTGTTGCTAGTTGTCTGCTGTGGTAGTGCTTGTGCAGTAGGTCCTAGATGGTAGCGGGGGTCCCCAGGGGTCAGGGTGGAGGTCCTCTGGGGCGGAAGTGGAGCATGCAGCCTTCCTCACTCCTGACCCTTACCCAAACCTTTCTTCTCGCCAGCTGCCTTTTGTCAGACCGTCACCCCGTATGTGCTTCTTTTCATGAATGACCTTACCCATTTTGACACAGAAGGCAGAGAGCAGTGGTGGGCAACAAGGGTTGTCCCCCTCTTGTTTGTCAGCAGCACATGCTGGTTGCAGTTAAGCCTAACATGTCTTGAGAGACTGGGACCATGATCTGAGAGGCAACTTCTTTCTTTTATTTAGGACATTAGTGGGAAGCAGAAAACTGCTCACACTGTTGGTTAGCTTTAAAACTGTCTTACTGAGAGAAAAAGTGCTCTGCATCATAGTTAAACTTGAGGCCAAGATTCATTTAGTCTCTAAACAGACTCTTCTGGACTATTTTTAATAGTTTAATTTGCTGTCATCCTTCCCAGTTGTAGATCCCAAAAATATTTGTCAGTGCTCTAATTTCAGTATTCTAATATATATTGAAAGAGGGATGTGGAGTGTAGTTTTCAGAAACCTTAATGTTTTGGTTGCAAGTTACTATGGCACTGGTTTCATTAGGAGAGAGAGATTGACAGTAGCGAATGTACTCAGTGCCAAAAACCCCTGGTCACTGAGGCCATTGTCCTGGAAACTGTCGATTTCTCTCTTTTTGCTACTCTGCAGATTTGGTTAATCAATGAGGAGCCTCAGTCCTGCCTCCTGAGTGTTCTGGTCAGTTGCTTCTTTCTTCCTCCTTTGGCACTAGCTTATTTTAAGCCATCACCTTGCATAGGTACTGAGTTTCTTTCCTTCAGTCTTTTTTTTCTTTCTAATCTATCCTTCATATTTGAGATCCCCAGTGTGATTTCCAAATAGCACTTTTTGCTGATTCCCCCCTTTCTCCCAAGTAGCCCAGCCTTTTCATCAGGGCTCACATGCCTGCAGGCCTGGACTCCTTTGTTAGCACTACCAGAACAGGTGTGAGTGTCCCCTCGATGACAGTGCTTTTTACCCTGTGATGTTGCCTCAGTGACAGGCGTCCCTGTGTTGCCTGTCTTGTCTGTCGGGTGTAATCACTTCAGGACCCACCACAAGGATCATTTCCTCTGTGAAGCCTTCCAAGACTCCTTATCCTCCTACACCAGGAAGTCAGTCTTATTCATTGTTTCCTTAGGGTCTAGCAGGTGCTTGGCACATGGAACATATTCAGTGTATGTTTGAGGCATTAATTACTTCTATCTGTTGATTTAGAACAAAGTTATATTATGTAAATGTGAAGGTTTTAAATTAAATATTTGTGCCAAACAATTGATAGTTTAATCTGTTCCTAGCAGTTAAGCCAACGTTAAGTCAAATATTTAATAAAATTTTGCAAAACTTAAATCTTGGGATATGCAAACACCTTCTAAATATCAGCTTTAAAATTAGTCCTGAAGAGGTAAGTGCCTTTAATTAATAGGATACCAGTAAATATTTGTCATAACATAATTTCCCCCTTGTGTACCAGTATTATTTTTACGGTTCCACTTGGCCTGCCTGTTCTTGGTGTAGACTCTGTGTATAGTGGTAGAAGGCCTCGAGAAGGCAGATTGAAAAACTGGCAAGTGTAGATTATCTAGAGAGAATTCATTGAAGGTGCTAGATATTTCCAAATTTATCACCTGTGATTATGTTATTCGTGTGTTATTTAATACACGCCTTAAAGTTAGTAAATTTGAATTTTCTGGTATGTTCATTTGGCTTTTTGAGAACAGTTGTTCTCAACTGCAGACTTTTTTGATTGTTATAACTTATAGGGGGGTGGAGTGCTGGTGGCATCTAATGGATTGAGGCTGGGGTACTGCTGAGTAGCCCATAATCCCCAGGGCAGCCCCCATAAGAAAGAAATATCTGGCCCAAAATGTTAATAGTACCAAGGGCGACAAGTCTGCCTTAAAATTGTCAATAGAAATAGAGTTCACTCTGCACATTTTATGGGTTGTTACAGTTTTGTATTTGACATTTTTGATAGGTTTATTTCTTATCTCAATAACATTTTTGAGTTTCTTGGAGTTCAAAAAGTACATTACACTACTTTGAGCTTTCTACACTGGTTAAACATACTTCTTTTCACGTAATATATGCTAAGTAAATCTTTGACCAATTGACTGATAAATGAACAGGAGAGTGTTTATTTTAAGGGAACATCTTGCTTTACACTTGGGGATCCTGCTTGATTTCATTCCCATGATGTCTCACATCAGAAGTCCTGGTGAGTTCCCAGCCCCAGTGTGTGGACAGTGGGAGTCTGTAGTGGACAGGGAACCCTCGTGACCAATGAGCACGTGCTGGGCAGGGAGAGCTGAGAACCTTGACACTGTTGCCGGATGCAGAATTCCAGCTTAAACAGCTTGAGTGTCGAATTTTGTTGTATTTAATTTGTCTATTAAAGGTAGATTTCTCTTAGATAGCACTTTGATCTAGATGATTTAACTTTTGAAAAAGACTTGTGGTGGTGGTGGTTTAGTCACTAAGTTGTGTCTGACTCTTGAGACCTCATGGACCTGCAAGGCTCCTTTGTCCATGGGATTCTCCAGGTAAGAACACTGGAATGGGTTGCCATTTCCTTCTCCAGGGGATCTTCCTGACCCAGGAATTGAACTGGGGTCTCCTGCAAGACAGGGAGATTCTTTACCGACTGAGCTATGAGGGAAGAAGCCCAAAAAGGCATGTAAAAGTATATATAATTCAACATTTATTTGCTAATGAGTACTTTGAGTAATTCAAACTAGTTGTTTTCTCTGTTATTACCAAGGTTTTCTTAAAATTAGAGAATATGCTCATTATAAGCTTTTCTTCAAAGAGATCAGTTTGGCCTACCGTGGTAAAGATTGGCAACTTTATGGTATTTTGTGTTTTTAAGTCGTTTTTAAAGATATTAAGAGTTGAAGTTTTAAATATGTTTGAGGGATTCATTTCTAATAGTGAATCTCTGCTTCCTCTCTCTGGAATCTTATTAGTAATATCTATTTGCTTTTAAGAACTTAGCAATTCTTTGGGTTTTGCTTTCAAAACACATGTTCAGATTTGACTGATTTGGTAAAGGAGTTATGAAAACAAAATTAGTATTTTAGCCTGTCATATGAAAGAAGAATATAAGGATAAGTTTGACTATAGATTGGTCTTTAGGTAAATATTATTGAATTAGAAGTAATTTTGCATTTAGGTAAAGTAATTTTTAGTTATATAATATAATATTTTTATCTGTAGAAAAAAGCGGAAGAAGCTCATAAAATATTTGAAGGTCTTGGCCCGAAAGTTGAACTGGTGAGTAAAAAATTTTTTGTGTGTCTAGTGCTCTTTTGGTAGCAGTTTTTCTTGGGATAAGGTGGAGTATGGTTGCTTGATTCAGGATGAGAGTAATGTGGCCGGGTCAGTAAGGGTGATAAGCTTGAAATAACGTGCACAAACTTGGGAACTTTGCAGAGGCGTTTTCCTGATCATGTTTTTGCCTGAGCAGCTGTTAAATCACTGAGGTAGAAGGAGGAAGAAGTAATAGCAGAAATGGAAAACTCTTTGAATCATCTTGTTAGGGTAATAATGGCATTTAATCCTCCTCTGTCTTTCAGAGTTAAAAAATCTGAGTGAAGTGACTATGGGGTACAGTGGATTTCATTGTTAGCAGAGGGGGTGGACAGAGTTACTCAGATAGGCCAGCTAAGTCTGGAGGTTGTGGCTGGGTGTTTGTGTGTAGACCCATTAGCAGTACTTTACCTGAGCTTCCATTGATGTGTAGGGAGTGTGTCTTTGTCTCTTAGTAGACAAGTGTACAACATTTTATGTATAAATGTTTGGTTTATTTTATAGCCACTCTATAACCAGCCATCAGACACCAAGGTGTACCATGAGAACATCAAGACGTAAGTATTGATCATCTTTGGAGTTCTTCAGTTAAAGACCGTATATTCTATAAAGAGACCTTTTTTACGTTATCTGCTGACGTAGTACTATAATGTAGTGTAGGTGTGTTTTAGATTTGTGTAATTTGCTGTCGTTTTACTATATGTTATCTTCCTCTGGCTTTTTGGGGGTTGGGGTAACAGCTTTGAGTTTCCGAGGCCAAAAAATAAAATAAATGATTGCATAAAACTAGCTGGTTTTATGATCTGCTAGTAAAAAAAAGGTGGATACTTAACATTGAAATGGCTTACCTTGAGGCTTGAATTTTTTGCCTCCTGTTTTGTCTTTTTTTCAGTGGAGTACCTGCAAGGCGCATGATGAAGTAAGATAATGAAGCTTTTTCATTTAAGACTAGTGATGACACCGTCCCCCACCAAGCCACATCTGCCATTGCAAAGTAGAAGTGCCACGGATCATTTTATCATTATTCAAATCCTATTCTAGGGAAATCCCTTCCATGACTCTTGCTAATGACGGTATTTGTAGACCCTTCTGCCGTTTCATGCCCTGGTGCCTCGGAAGCGCTCAGCCCTCACGTGGGTGCGGAGACTGCTCCACAATGTAGCTGGCTTAGCCTTGCTCCTCCCAGACACCAGGCCTTTCTGGATGCACATTTTGGAATAAGAAAATAAGTGAAAAGAAAACCTAATTTCTTGATCTGATTGAAGTAAGAGAGGAAGCTAGATAGGTATCTTTTTTAAAAATTACCATATTTTAAGAGAATTTTAGATGAATTATTATTAGTTTGTAACAAAAATGTGATATTTCTTCTTTATTATATGTTTTATTAACTATAACCAGAACATTATACTTATTTACTAGTATAGTTACTAATGAGCACATTGATATTTATATATATATATAATATAATTTTTAAAAACTTTTTTCTTACTGAGAGTATATGCAATAGTTGGCTACTTTGCAGAATTGGTGGCAAATATAATTTGCATGGTAGTATGCATGACAGAAACTGAAATTTGAATGATTTTAACTTTTGTTAAGTAAGTTGTTTATAATAGTCATATACCTAGAATTTTTCTGTGAGATGCTGCTGTGGTCTTGACAACCCTTAGAACTAGGTTAGGCAAAACATATAAAAAAATATACCTTGTTTTGGAACTGTTTAGCTGTTCTAACATTTTTAAAAAGGAGAATAGCAGATAAAATCTAGTTGGCTACTTTTAATAATTTTTTTTTCCCACAAAGCTTTCATTATGTTTGTGTTCTGTCTTTTCCCTGATAGTTGCTGCAGAGTAGCCCTGTCTGATTTATTTCATATTAGCTATCTTCCTGCTGTAGTGCTTAGCACACTGTCCTGAGAAAGAGTTCTTCATGTAAATTCTTAGGAACCATTGTTAATTATATTTATTGATTGTCCTTTGCTGTTGAGTAGCACATAATTACAGCGAGAGCAAACTGCATACATGGCAATGCTTCCACTGCACACCGCCTTGTGAAGTACCATCTACTCAGCTACGTGTGCTATGTTCAGTAGCTGTTCTGTCATCACTATCATTTGCTTTGTATGAAATAGCAAATGTTCCTTTCAGTAATTCTCTTTCATCTCTTGGCTCCTTTTCCATATAGCCAGCTCCTGACTGTTCATGCTTATTTGAGTGGAGCCAGTGTCAGTGTTAGTCCGGAGTGGCAGATAACCCAAAAAATTACTTCTACTTGCCTTGGCTATGTATTTATATTTGAATAATCAACTTGAAATCCTTTCTGGAAGTAGGTGGGGTATAAATATTTATATTTGAACCTGCATGCCATTGTTTTTGAAGGTTACAGTGCTTCATATTTGAAAAGTGAAACTGTTAAGTTATAAGGGAGGACTTGCTGTCCTGTCACGTCGCCCCCCGTGACTTCTGAGAGTGGACTGTGTTGTTTCTGTGCCTGAAGAAAGCCTCTGTTTAAGGCAGAGTCAGCTCTCTGTGTTGGTACACTCTGAGGAGGCAGGGCAGCGTGGACCTGTATTAGGAGGAAACTGCAAAAGCTTGGCCTCCTCTCTACCTCCCTCCTCCCAAGAGTGAACCAGAGTGTTTACCTCACTAGGATTCTTAAGAAGAATTAGTAACTGTTACAACTTGAAAATAATATTTGCCTTATGAATGTAATAGTTGAAAATGAACTCTTTGTGTTAAAGCCTTACTATAGAATGGGAGGAAATTTAGTCCTAATTATTGGAGGAGTCTTGTTTTGCAGGGTGAAAAAATTAGGATTAACTTTGATTATATTGTATATTCTTAAGTGATCTTTGCTTGTTTTTCAGTGTCTCTGAAAACAAAGTGAATGCACTATTAAATTGTACTTTTTCTTAATGTCATACAAGCGTATTTTTCTCTTCTAGAAACCAGGTGATGAGGAAAAAACTCATTTTATTTTTTAAAAGAAGAAATCATGCAAGAAAACAAAGGGTGAGGTCCTATCCTTGTTCACTGAAATTTGTTCAGCTTTCCCGTCCGTGCTTCTTCAGGCATTCGCTTTCCCATTGTTAGTGAGAACAGTTCTTGACCACACTTGAGAACAGGTGCTGATTTGTACCTATAAATGTGACTTAGACATCAGTCTGAGTCTAGTAACATTTTGATATCACAAATCACATTTAATATCATTATCAAATTTCCTTGGTCATCTGTGTATAGCATTTTCATCTAGCCAAAATAAAGAAAATGGTGAGTAGTTTAAAAACATATGAAAGAGAAGTAAGATGATCTCATTTAGTCTCTTAACCTCAGACAAATTGGGTAAGTTATGATCATGCTGATGAGGCATCACTGTTCTTTCTTATTAGAAACTGGGTCAGCTAAAGTTCAGCTTTTTCAAATTCATGGTGTTCTTTGTATTTATTATGACTTGCAGTCTAAAAATTTTGTGGTTATAATCTTCATGGAAATTAAGTTACAGAAAATATGATGCCACTGTTCTTTTATAGTGTGTTTGTAATAATTATAGACTTTTAATTCATTTGAATGGTTTCTTACTGAATAAATGATATATTTTGATTCACATCAGAAATGAACTTGTACCTTGTATTTAAGGACCTGTTAGTTTAATGAATTATAAGGGTCACCAGCTTTTATTTGGTATATAATTCCTAATGTTCTTGCCAATCTGGGCCTTCAGATACTTTCTTAAATTATCAGTCTTGAATTTTTTTTTTTGGCCAAGAGCATACACATTCAAATAAATTAGCTAAAGTATTTTTTTTCTATCCAGTAATTTTGTTTTAATTGTGGTAATTGCTAAATTTGCTATCCAAAGAGACAAACAGAGGTCCAGACTTTGTTCTTATACTTCACCCAGTATTTAGTTATGAACTTTGTATGTTCACTGACTTGCTTAGTAAATACTTATTGGCAGTTTCCCCTTTTCCGAGAGTGAACCAAGGTGTTTTATCTCACCAGGATTCATAAGGAGAATCAGTAACTGTGTAGTTATAACTTAAAAGTAATGTTTGCCTTATAATTGAATGTGATAATTGAAAATGAACTCATGTATTATTCTACAAAGGGAGGAGATAGCCATGTGGCTTTAGCCCTCGGGGAGTCTAAGGAGGAACAGTACAGATGAGGCCATGGGCGATTACTGTATTGTGGTCATCCGGTGGTTCAGGACATCCAGATGACTCTGAGAGCGTGTAAGGGACAGGTGGCACAGAGGTGGTCCTGAGGGGTGTTTCACAGGAAAACCAGCCGTCTGCCAACTTGTACAACGTCGGGAAGGGCTGGAAAGTGGAGGGAGCCTGGCAGGGCAGAGGAGCCAGGCCAGGTCGTGCATGGCCTGAGGGTCAGGAGGGGGCTTGAGGTCGGATGCTGAGGTCATCTGTGAAGTGTTTGAGCAGAGGAAAGGAATGTGCATCTAGTTACACCTCAGGGTGCATGGGAGCCGTATAGGAAGGAGGCAAGGGGGTGACTTGAGAGTAGAGCCGAATGAAGGTAGATTCAGGCCCAAGAGGTGGACGGGTGTCGAGACAGAGGGAGTATGGGGGACAGCGCTTTCCCTCTCGTCCCTTCCTGGGCAGTCATGAGCCCTTTCACACCTTCTTTTGTTTTGCACCCACGGTCCTGTGCCCACAGTACAGGGTTCTTTCTTCTCTGTTTAAAGAATGAGATTACACATTATTCATTTCTCTAAAAGCATTCATTCTCGATTTCATGTAGTTTACTGGATTTCTTTTATCATAGAGTACAACTAGTTTCTGCCTTTTCCAGACTGTAAAAATGTTCATTATATGGCATTATTTATAGTAAGAAAAAATTGCAAGTAACCAGAACTTCCAACAGTAGGAGGGTGGTCTAAGTGTGAGTGTTTTCTTTGACGATGGAAAGGTGACAACAAAATGTTAATCTGCTTGCCTTTGGGATTACAAACTATTTACATGTTTCTATTTATCATTTTCCATTTTTTTGACAACGAAGACTTGTTATCAGAGTGGCTCAGCATGTAATTTGTTGATTTGTGTAGTCTTAATGTTGACTAAGAAATCCAGTCACGATAGGTTGTGTCTGTGGATCTTTCATAGAAAACAGCTCCCTGTCTTTCTCTTCTTTCAGATCAAGGACACCTTTTCATTCACAGTTGAGTCATAGGCCAAATGTCCTTCTGACTTAGCCTTAAGAAATAACCTGTGCTTTTAAGTATTAGGTTTATCAGAATCACAGAGTTTAGTTTAATTATTAATTTGCTACGGGTATTTAATAGGAACAAAAAATCTGCCAACGTTATGATCAGCTCATGGAGGCATGGGAGAAAAAAGTGGACAGAATAGAAAATAACCCTCGGAGGAAAGCTAAAGAAAGCAAAACAAGAGAGTACTATGAAAAGCAATTTCCAGAGATTCGAAAACAGAGAGAACAGCAAGAACGGTTTCAGCGGTAAGTGGTTTGATATTTTTCTTTGAATCATATTTATGATCTTTCACAATATTTATTGTCACCTGAATCTAACCATTAAGAAAGTTCGTAGGGAACTTTTGTTATGTTTTTCCTTTTTTTAAAATAAATCCAATATAGTTGATTTACAGTGTTGTACCAGTCTCTGCTGTACAGCAGTGACTCAGTTTCACACATACGTACCTTCTTTTTTAAATATTCTTTTCTGTTATGATTTATCCCAGGATACTGAATGTAGTTCCCTATGCTATACAGTGGGACCTTGTTGCTTATCCATCCTATATATAATAGCTTGCATCTGCTAATCCCAAACTCCCAATCTATCCCTCCCCCACCCCTTGGCAATTACAAATCTCTTCTCTACATCTATGAGTCTAAGAACTTTTAGTTTGAATATAAAACTTCGTTATCAACTAGCAATGTTTATGTCTTGGTGAATCTAGTAACTTTTTATATTTAGTCATGCTGTTGAATCTAAATTTAAATGAATATGTTGAAATTCTTCAGTTCTTGAAAATGCTCATTCCTTTTGAAAGGACAGTAGGATAAGACAGTTTTTCATGGTTCTTCGCTATCTTTCAGCATAATCAAAAGTCTTACTAAATTGTTTGCTAATTAAGAAATTCTTTGTTACTGGTATGTAGTTTCTGATTTGTTTTTACTTTAGAGGACAAGTGCTTTTGCAAAGGTAGAATCTTTAGTTGTCTTTTCTGCTGTCTCATGTGAGTCATGGAAGCCCTGGTAACCACAGTTAAGTTGTTGTGAGGGGTGATGATTGGATTTTTGTTCCCCTCCCTTTATAAATGTTTTATGTATTTTTCTAAGTCTGCTGTCCTATGCTGTGGGAGGCAGACACAAGACTGCTGTTTGAAATGAAAATGACACCAATAACTAGTTTTCCAGGTGTTTCCCTCCAACAGTTCTGCCATTTGAATTTAGACATGTAACCTTTAAAAAGAAATTTAGCATTTAAATTGTTACTAATTTTATAGATAAATGAATTAAACATATTGTTTAAAGGAGTTACTCAATAGCATTTTAGGGTTTTTTTTTTCCCCTGACTTCTAGTCCCACTCAGGAAGCAAATTGATACAAAAGTAACCTAATTGATACTTCTTCTTTATGAAAGGCCTTTAAATATATATGTAATTTCTCCCTCATATTTAGAGTTGGGCAGAGGGGAGCTGGTCTTTCAGCCACCATTGCTAGGAGTGAACATGAGATTTCTGAAATTATTGATGGGCTCTCCGAACAGGAGGTAAGACGCTTAATTTATTTAATTTATGTTAATTGATTAGGCATTTTAGCTTCATACCCCATGAACTAAGGGTTTATTTGTATATATATGAGAGAATGCTTAGAGCGTTTGAGTTTTTCCAAAGTACTTGGCCAACCATCGAAGGTTTTAAACAAGGCTGCCCTGAGATCTTACTGGTGTTTTGTGAAGATGGCTTTGGAAGCAGGGAGGCCTGAAAAGAGGTGAGGACGCTGCTATGATTAAAAATAAGGGCCTGAATCAGGGCGACAGTGGTAGAAATGTGTTAAGAGGGGCCTGATAGGACAGATTAGTAGAAGGCAGAATGGATAGGACAGGAGTGGGGGGAAAAGACGAGCAGGTTAGAGGATGGGCTCCTGCTGCTGTTTTCCTGAAAGAGCAAAGGAGCCAGTGTTGGTGTGTTGGGTTGTGGACCTGAACTTCATTGGGGGTGGAGTAGGGGGTGATGTCTAGAGTGTGATCTCTAGCCAGCTGAGCCTGGGAGAGATCGATACGATGTTAATAAATCAGTTCTGAATAAGAATAAATTTCAGTTTCTAGCACTGAGTCTTCATAGTTGTGTTTACACTCTCTGAAGGTTGGTCCAAAAGCCATGTATTAACTTTTGCTAGTTTTGGTTTTAAAATGACTTTTTGAAAACCTCCTCTCTCAATTCTGAAGGGGTGGTCCTCTTAAGTAATAATCAAAGACAATTATTATATTGCTGTACATTTCAGGCTTTGTGACCGTGATCTCTGCAGTGATGACTAACTCTGCATTTAATTTCTTTGCTTACTGTTTGAAACTGATTGTATAAGGGGGGCATCTATAAGCAACCCAAGCTAGTATTAGTTGAATACTAGCTGAATGTGAAGCTAGTGAATGTCAGTGAAAGTGAAGTCACTCAGTCGTGTCCGACTCTTTGCGACCCTGTAGACTGTAGCCTACCAGGCTCCTCCGTCCATGGGGTTTTCCGGGCAGGAGTACTGGAGTGGGTTGCCATTTCCTTCTCCAAGTGAATGTCAAGCTAGTGTGTCTGTCCCAAACTACATTTTGGTGTTTAGACAGACTGAAGTTGAATGTGCTAAGTCACTCCAGTCATGTCCGACTCTTTGCGATCCCATGGACTATAGCCCTCCAGGGTCCTCTGGAGTGGGTTGCCATTTTCTCCTCCAGGGGGTCTTCTTGACCCAGGTATCAAACCTGCATCTCTTACGTCTCCTACATTGACAGGCGGGTTCTTTACCACTTGAGAGTCCCTGTAAAATGAGAAACTCTGTCAGGAGTTGACTAAGGCAATGTCCACTGCTAGGAGAAGAGTTTCAGAAGACCTAGCCTTGTGTTGGGGTCAGTAGTTATGATTTTCGGTACAGGTTTTCTCATGGAAGTTTGTGCTTATAAACTTGAATTAAGTTTTGGGAAGATAAATTGTATAGCTGAAACCAAGTTTTAGTTGAAATTTGAAGGATGATAGTCTTAAATTTGCAGTGGAAAGATTATGTAAGATTAGCAAGAAGTGTTTAATATTTCAGTATGTCTAGTTAATTTAAAATTAATGACCTTAAGATTTTGGTTCCTGTCTGTGTATTTTTCTATTTTATTTTCTATAAAATGATATTGAGACTTTTTAAAATGAGGCAATATTAATGTTAATAAGTGCTTCATATGGTCATTACTTCAGTGATCTGACATCATTGTGTGTCCTTTAGGTCAAAGATCCATTAGCTGAAGTATCTGCTGCGTTTAAGGAAAGAACTCTTCTCACATTGTAGTGGTGGATTTAAAAAAAATAGTACATGTACTTTCACACAATGAGTGTTTATTAGATCCGTATATAGTGACCATCTGTTAGATGTTATGGTACCACTGCTGTTGTTGTTAAAGTGCATATGTGGTGTTTCAGTGTCTGTTAAGATAGTTATAGTCTGTGGTCCTCTTTAAGTTTAATTCTATGTAAATTGCATTTCTTCTTTTTTTCCTTCAGAATAATGAGAAACAAATGCGACAGCTCTCTGTGATCCCGCCTATGATGTTTGATGCTGAACAGAGACGGGTCAAGTTCATTAACATGAATGGCCTCATGGAGGACCCTATGAAGGTTTATAAAGATAGGCAGTTCATGAATGTTTGGACTGACCATGAGAAGGAGATCTTTAAAGACAAGTAATTTAAATTTTAAATTATTCTCTAATAGAAGCTTATATGAGTTAGTGAAAGGTATTGACATTTACTTGTAAATTGAATTGTTTCCCCCCAAACATGGCCCCATTTTGGCATTTGAATAATGTGGGAGGCAGAGAAGACAGATAGGATGCAACCTGCCTGTAAAGTTATAGCTGGAAATGTAGGTACCAGCTTAGAACAGAGTTGTGGAGGCATTTTAAGAGTGCTACCCAAACCTGAGTGGTGTCAGAATCACTGGGGGTGCATTTTAAAGTTACTGATTTCTGTGCAATACTGTATCCCAATCCAGTCAGTTCCTGGTGGATTGTGCCCAGGAATCTGTGCCCTTTAAGAGGACATTGGCCATTAGAAGTCACTAGGAATTAGTCTACATTATATTTGTATTCCCAAGGGCTTCCCCCACCTCTTTTTAAGTTGTTAAAGTGTGTGTGTGTGTGTTGTTTTTCTTTTTTTTTTAATTTCCTCATTTATTACTTTTTTTTTCCATTTATTTTTATTAGTTGGAGGCTAATTACTTTACAACATTGCAGTGGTTTTTGTCATACATTGAAATGAATTAGCCATGGATTTACATGTATTCCCCATCCTGGTCCCCCCTCCCACCTCCCTCTCCACCCGATCCCTCTGGGTCTTCCCAGTGCACCAGGCCCGAGCACTTGTCTCATGCATCCAACCTGGGCTGGTGATCTGTTTCACCCTAGATAATATACATGTTTCGATGCTGTTCTCTTGAAACATCCCACCCTCGCCTTCTCCCACAGAGTCCACAAGTCTCTTCTATACATCTGAGTTATTTTTCTTTTACTCAGGTTTATCCAGCATCCAAAAAACTTTGGACTGATTGCATCTTACTTGGAAAGGAAGGTAGGAAATGGTTTACACTGAGATTGTTGATAGATTTGGGTTGGTTGCTGCTTTGAAGGTTTTGTGTGCTAAAGCACAGAAGTAGTTAAATAGAGTTTTTGCAAAGGGCTTGACACAGAAAAGATTCTTATGTGAATAATATAGTGGTATTTACAATCACATGATGGTAATTCTAAGCACAACACAGACTAATTTTCATGGTTAATGAAAATGACATGATACTGTGTTTCCCGAAAAACACACAGGTTACAGTGTTTTTCTGAACCTCATTAAACTTTTAATTAAAATTTCGGAGTCCTGATTTTCCCTGAATTTGTTCCACAATGTATTATTGGATGTTGGGTTTATGAACAAAATATTTAAAGAGACATTTTAAGTATTTACTTATATAGAGGAAGAAAGAGAATTTAGTTACTGGTTAATAAGAAAGTGCTTAAATGTTTCTGATAGTTTCTGGTATCTTTTACATAATTTGTATTAAGACAGCTGTAATTGTCCATCAAAACAGTATATACTATATATCTATATATATATATATATATATTTTTTTTTTTACAGCCTAGATATGCCTTAAAGAGCTAGCCATTGGTGTTTTTCTCCAGTTTATATTTTGAGAACACTAGAGATTTTCCTTGAAGATGTTATTTGATTTTTTTTTTAATTCAATCTCATTGGATCCTCAATTTTTTTATAGAGTGTTCCTGATTGTGTTTTATATTACTACTTAACCAAGAAAAATGAGAATTATAAAGCCCTAGTAAGAAGGAACTATGGAAAACGCAGAGGGAGAAATCAGGTATGTTTCATTATTGTATGGAAACTATTTCAAGGTTGGTGGAATATAAAGATGAAAAATTTTATAATAGGGGCTTTCTCTGTAATTGTACTTCAGGAATTGACCTTTCTATCAAATTAATTAGAATGTTATGAACATGCTTTGATTATTTTGAAATTAATATATATTTAATGTGTTGCATTTTCTATTTTGAATGCATTTTAAGTTTCTGGCATACCAAAATTAATGAGAAGTTTTATATTTTCATGCTATTGAAATTGTGCATGTCAGAGTTAACAGTTGTAATATATCTTAATGAATACACCACCCTTTCCAGTCCTTTGGTCTGTGAAGGGGACAGGTAGAGTAAGATGACAGGAGTCGAGGGTTGCTTGCTAAAATACTTGGAACCTGATTGTTTCAGGTTAGCTTCAGTTCTGAGGTTGAAGCACTCGATGTCAGAAGATTGTGTCTAATGCAGTGCAGTGTGTGTTTTCACAGTGGCAGTTCAGAACTTTAGAAGCTCTTTTCCTTCGAATAGCTGCTCAGCTGCCACCACAGCTCCCTCCTGCTCTTCTGTGTGCCTCATGCCCTGAGACCACTGGTAGGACGGTGGCACCTGTGGACACAACAGCTACTCCTATCATGAGTGTTCTGACATGCTTTGTTCTCCACAGCCCCCACCTGCCTTCCCTGGTCACTCTGATCTCTAGATACAGATTCTCTGATCTCCAGATACAGGTTCCCTCATGATGTGTGGTCAGAAGTGTCTTGTGTGTTCTGGGTCATTGTTTCCTCCAGAGCAATGCCACCTTTTGGGATTACATCCCAAGACTTCAGAAACAGTGTTTTTTGGTCAAGAAAAGTATAGAATGTTTGAGGAGTCAGCTGTGTAAGGGCTGCTGGAGGTCGGGGGAGTCGCGATGGGGATGAAGGGCCAGGACTGAGACCCTAGTAAGTGAGGGGCATTGGTGGGTGGTGTGTGCAGAGCACAGATGACCCCTTGCTTGTAAGGTTCTGCTGCGGGCTAGTTTCAGGCAGTAGGGCATGTGGGAGTGTTTGCTTACCTGAAGACCCTGGTTGGTATTAGGGCAGAAGAGTATTGGGGGAATACAGTTACATGTGTTGTTAAAACCCAAGGACAGTGTACCTCTTTCCTTGTCTTCAGCTGAGTTGACACCTTCCCATGGCTTCTTGGGGCTGTAAACTGTTTCTGGGTTATGCAGCCCACTTGCTAGACAGATGGCTGAGTTTGTCATTTGTGTACCATCTTGTTGTTTCAGATGACAGATGAATGCTACCTTTGTGGGGTGCAGGGTGAGGTTACTAGCATTTGAAACAGGTCTTGTGACCACTGTGGTATACTTGAGAGTTGGGGTGAATGAAACATTCCCAGTTGTAAAGCAAAACTAGTCACAATTGGAGAGTATGCATTTGAAAATCTTCCCGATTTCTTAGTTTTCTCTAAGGTGATAATGCATACCCAAAAGAAAATAAAACTTGCAATTAGAAGGGTATGAAGCTGTGAAGGTCAGATAAGGCCAGTGAGGGAGTTGTGGTATTGAAACAATCTAGCCAAAGTGCCAGAGTGGAAGAGTGGATGGATTCCATTCTTGGTGAATTGTGTAAATTTCATAGAATCAAGATCATGAGGACAGAAAGCAGGATTGGCAACAGTGGAAAGGTGGGATGGGGGGGCACTTGAGTAGATTGCAGGGTCCTGGAGGTGATGCATGCCCACTGAAGATGGTGGTGGTGATGCCCTGTGGGAGGTTTTGATGGGCATGACCTGAAAGTATTTCACACGCAGGATATCATGTTGATAGAAAAGGTAGTGACTAGCATCTTGAATCTGAAGAATAATGACAAGGCCTGATGAGCCATGTGATAAAGTCATCTCTGTGTTCCTGGGAGACTTTGAGAGTCAGTTCTTAACACTAAATGATGAAGAAAGGTGTCATAGGTAGACTCTGAAATTTATAAAAAGAAGATTTTAAACACCATGGTTGAACAGTGTTCTGGAAGGGGCGGTCGGGAACAAGACAGGTTCTGATTCTTCCTCCTTCCACCTGGGTTAGAAGAAGGCAGTGTAGGACATTTTCTGGAGAAAACTGAAGAGAAATTATCTTAAGGAAAAAGCTAATGTTAGTTTTGGGGAGTCAGTAAAAGACTTTGAGTTTCCATCAAAAATTAAGGAAAATTTTGCTTTGTTTTGGGCAAAGGTGTGAAAATGTTGGGTGTGCTGAGGGTAGCCTGAGCACAGACCCTGTGGGAAGGGGCAGAGGCTGGAAAAAGGTACTGTGCCTGGGATGGTCCTGTTTGGTTAGGCCGTTGGATTTCTTCAATAATCAAACGTAATAGAACTCAACACAAACTTAATTTTACTTTTCTCTCAGAGTCACAATTCTAGCAGTCGAGACAGCAAAGATATAAGGGTCCATATCTTATCTCTCCCAGTCTTTGTTATATGTTTATTTACAGGCACTTAGTTGTAATTACAGCTTAGATATATTTGAGTGTTTACTTTTCACTTTGTTGTATCCATAGTATTTTTCTAAATTGCTTCATTCTTGATTATGATCATGACTGTCTACTATTCTGGTAAATGAATGTTTCCCCAAAGACAAACAACATAAAGAGGTTTCTTGTAGTATTATCCATAATGATGAAAAAATTGGCAACATGTTAAATATCTAATACTAGGGGCAGTGGTTTGATAAATTATAGTTTATCAAATTTCACAGCAGAATTGAAATGTTTAAGTGACAGATTAGATGTTGGAATCAGAGTACCAACCTCAGATTTCTAAGTGGAATCCTAACATTGTCACCTCTCTGGATCCAAACATAAGGAGCATTTGTGTGTATGTACCCTTGTAAGCAATACATACAGACTACATTAAAGAGCTTTCAACTGATTTTTAATGCATGACCCCTGGTTACATTATGGAGGATTAATTAATAAGTTTAATTTGTTGCATAGATACTTATTATCATTACAATTTTAAGAGCTGTTTCTTTTACTTTCCAACTTTACAAATGATGGTTCATTCTAGCAGCAAATTGCCCGACCCTCACAAGAAGAAAAAGTAGAAGAAAAGGAAGAGGATAAAGCAGAAAAAACAGAAAAAAAAGAGGAGGAAAAGAAAGATGAAGAAGAAAAGGATGAAAAGGAGGACTCTAAGTGAGTTAGTTAAATATTATTGTTATTTGAAAATAATGAGATTGAATCTATTGAAGGTATAAAATTTTAGATTTTAGAAAAATCAATGGGATGTGTGCTTTGTTGCCTAGTGGTTATTTGACATAATTAAGGGGTGGAATATTCTAGTAAGTATAACTTTTGGATTGATGGACTTACTTGCCAGATACGACCTTGTATGTTTCAGAAGGGATGGACTAAATAATACACAGTGGTAGTTGCTTGTGTAGTTGTTAATTTCTTTTTAATATTTATTTTTTTATTTCTCTAATCTTCTTGGAAATACTGAAGCTTTGTCTGATTTTGAGGCAGTTAAAGCAGCCTAAATCATTTGTCATGGTTTTTAAAGTGTTGAATACTCATGCTATTCTAATTTTATACTTTAGGAAGAGGAAACCTATAGTTTTTTGTTTTTCTATTTTTTTTACTTATTCAGATAAAGCATTTGTCCTCACCACATGGTCAGTGGTTATAAGTTACTCATAAGTGCTTATAAGTTACTGCCACATCTCGTTTTGACTTTGTTCTTAAAATCCCTGGTTTGTTTAATGAGTGCTCGTATACTGCATCTGAGAGCTCAGTCTTCTGGAGGGTGCAGAGACCTGTATGATGTGTGCTCTTCTCTCGGGCAGTTTATAAGCCAGGAGGGGAATTAGGCAAGATCCAAGTGGGAGGGGAGGAAAATGGCCTGAAAGGCAGGTGCGGAAGCAGTAAAGTGTGCTGGGAGACTGAAAATAGCTTGAGATTTTCTTCCACCTGCATAGCCTAGAGGACTTCATGCAGGAGCTAGTGGTCAGTGTGGATACAGTAGAGGGTGTAGTGTGGATGGACAGGCCTCCTTGGGAAATGGCAGATAGTGGTTTCATTAGACTGGAACATCAGACGCCTCAGGAGAAAAGTAGGAGGAGGTTGGGGTTCGATATGTAAAGCCTTAAAGAAAGCTCAATGTGGACTTCACTCAGGGAGCAATGTGGCTCTGTTTAGGAATAGGTAGGATTAGCATTGCTGAAATGGTTTCCTGCTATAGCTCTTCCACTAGAATGTGGCTCTGTGAGCAGTTTAGGATGAACAGAGAGGTGGGGGGCAGGCGTGAAAGGCTGGGGCTGGGCTTCTGGGGCTCTGGACATGCACAATGGTGATAGAAACACAGGTGGTGGGAGAAACGTTACTGAGATGGAAGGTTCACTGACGGGGAGTGACGAGTGTGGGAGAGAACTGCAGGCGCGGTCAGGTCTGTAAACTGGGTGATGGTGAGGGTGCTGGTTCTGTTGACAGCAGGCAGTTGGGGCCCAAGGGAGCAGGAAGCAGGGTGGGAGGGCGGGCATGTATGCGGGCAGATTGAGTTTATGTTGATGAGAAGCCCAAGTGGTTATTCCAGGTAACTGAGTTTTTTTGGGGGGAGGGTTGGTTCAGTTTCTGTTTGAAGAATTCTCAAAGCTTTAATCTTTTTGGTATATGTATACTTTTAAATCACACAAAATGTTCTTTGGCCACTGTTTCTAGAGAAAATACCAAGGAAAAGGATAAGACAGAGGGGACAGCTGAAGAAACTGAGGAGAGAGAGCAGGCCACACCCCGGGGCCGGAAGACCGCCAATAGCCAGGGCCGCCGGAAGGGCCGGATCACCAGGTCCATGACCAGTGAGGCTGCCGCGGCCAGTGCTGCTGCGGCCGCGGCCACTGAGGAGCCCCCGCCACCTCTGCCACCGCCACCAGAGCCCAGTGAGTGGACAGGGCTGGAGCGAATGGGCCACAATTTTGTTTGGGATTCCATTTCAGTGCTGGGGTGTGGCAGGAGGGACATCTGATACTGGCAGCCTAGAAATACTGATCTGAAACTCTGGCTTTTACATTTGTTAGACTGTAATATCAAAGTCTTCTGAAAAACAGCACCAGCCCTGACCTCACTACCCTAACACCGTGGGTTTCCTTTGTACTTAGTTGTAATCCTAGTGTGCGTGCCACCTTGTTTTCTGAGGTTTTAACTGGGCACGTGTCATGAATGTTTTCTAGTTTCTGGGTGATCTTTATTTTCTCTTTTGATAGCTTTGAAATGTTGGCCATCTCATCCCCCTTTAAAGCTAACATAGATGGCACTGTAATGAAAAAAACTTGATTCACATGGCATTTTCTTTCTGTTAAATTAACCTTCATAGGAATAAATTCTTAGACAAGGAAATACTGGATCTAAGCACAGGCATTTTTCTCTCTTATTAGGGACTATCTTCATTAGTTTAAAAAAGGATCATATTAATGATGAGTCCTGCCACTGGTGGCTCAGTGGTACCAAGTTTATCATTATATGAAGTGTTGATGTGAAGAAAGTGCAAGTTCTGGGAATGACAAGGATAAAATGAAGGAAATAATTTAGACAGGTGGATGGGGGCAGATCATGGTGGGCTTTGTTTTGACTATATCCTGTTTTGCTTACAAAGCAAAGATTTTTAAATAGACGAGTGTTGCAATTAGATTGGTGCTTTACAAAGATAACTGGTGAGAGTGTGGAGGTATATTTGGAGTTAACAGATTATATGCTTGGTGCTGTATAATCTATGGATGATTTTACTCTGACTTACTGAGTTCTACCTTTGTTTCAGTTTCTACGGAACCTGTAGAAACTTCTCGATGGACAGAAGAAGAAATGGAAGTTGCTAAAAAAGGTAAATGATAGTAGTTCAGGTTCTTCGGGTTTGTTTTAGTTTGTTTGTTTTTAGGGTTATTAGTAATGAGTGATACGGAACTAATTTCTTTTTAATTAAAAAAAAAGTTCTTCCACAATGGAAGCAGAATTTAGAAGTACACTTAGAAGGTCTTTTTGATGGTATCCTGCTCTGTAAGGTACCCCAGTGTGTCTTGTTTGAGGGACCCATTTTTGAGGGATTTAACATACTCTCTCATTTTATTTTGAATGTCTTGTTAGAGAGCAGGTAAGCTACTTTCAGTTTTATAGAAGAGTTATGATTAAATGCTCTTAATGTTGTTTTGGAGGGTATTTGATATAAAAAGTCTCTTATTTAAAAGTTGCATTTAATAGAATGATAACTATTTCCTCAGTTTGCATTTAGTAAGGCTAAGTTTTATTACAAACTGCTAAGAAATTGTGTTATGATTCAGAGATGAGAGCATGGACTTTGCAGCCAGACAGATGAATGTTTGAGTTCTGCCTCTGACACTTGTGTAGCATGTGGTCTTCATTTTACTCTGGAACACTACGGGTTTTTTGTTCTTCTTTTCTTGCTTATAAATGACCTGTATAAAGTACAGGTCATACAGTTTGAAATTAGCTAAAATTTCTAAAAGGATAAATAATTGGTTTATAAATAAATTACTTTTTAAGTAAAATAATTTTGAGAAAGTTTAGCCAATTCTTTTGAGGGTTAAGGATTTACCTTGAAGTTCCAAAGAGAAATTATTGCTATTAGCTTGACCTTTTGGTGACACATTTCAGATTTATTTTCTATTTAGCTGGTAATGAGTAACACATTTAAGAATCATGTAAACTTTGCCTGAAATACAGCAGTTTAGAGTGTTCTGTCCTCAGAATAGTTTCATTTGAGGTGTGTTTGCCGTGACGGTTGTACTCACATGCCTTGCTGTCATCTGACCATCACAGCACAGTAAGTGGATGCCCATGTTGCCACAGTGTGGTCTGGTCAGAGGCACATCCCCACACCTGACTGCTCAGGCCCCTTCCTTTCAGCTTTTGTCATACGCTGGCAGAATCTGGAGGTGATCTTCAGTTTTCATTGTGAAGGAATCTACTGGTGTTAACCTTGAAAAGTTGATGTTTTCCCCACCAATTATTGAATTTGCACTAGAAATTCCTGCTTGGATACATCTATGTCTAATGTACAATCTCTGTGTTTATGTGTTTATATGCCCATATTTCGTGCACATATGTTTCTGTGTGCATATGTGTGTCATTTGTTGGAAGGAAGTCAGATTGAATAGGTCCCTGTGATGCATTGTATTACAGAAGGTTTAAGACAACCTGGTTGATATTTTCGAGGGGATCCTTGATTGGAAATGGACTGGGGACATGTTGATTATACCTGGAGCCTCAAGTATGTGTCTTTACTTGGTGTTAATCACTGACATTTGATTGCCTTGTTAACCTTGTGCTGATACAGTGTTCCCCAGGATCTAGAAGTACCTAACCACACAGTTGACAGTGTCTGGGCTCTCCCTGTGTGTCCGCATTGTTCTGGTCCCCTGGGAGATAACACAGCAAGGACAGGGTCACGTCCTTCCAATATTGAGCATGTTTGAACTTTGGGTAGAAAAATAGAGCTGTTAATGAGTTTGTGTCAATCACATTTTAATAAGCATTGAAATGTATCAATAAATAACTGAAAACACATTGTTAATGATGGTGAGTGCAAGGATTTAGGGGTATTGTATTATTTTTCTTGCTTGCTGTATCAGGTGACTATTCAATTAATGTTTGGTTTGTTTTTAAAATACAGGTCTAGTGGAACATGGTCGTAACTGGGCAGCAATTGCAAAGATGGTGGGAACTAAAAGTGAAGCCCAATGTAAAAACTTCTATTTTAACTATAAACGGAGGCACAATCTTGACAACCTTTTGCAGCAGCATAAACAGAAAGTGAGTATATCAGAGGTGGTGAATCTTTTACTTGTTTTGTGTGTGTGTGTGTGTGTGCTTCAAAGATTGGTTTTGAAGAAAACTTTTTTGTAGCCTTACCTATATTTCTTGGCACAAGTTGACTGTTTGTTTATTGCCCAAAGAGTAAAATTTCTGTTAGTAGTAATGGCAGTGCAGTACTTTTGAATTACTGTAAACTGGATTTGAAAAATATGAGCATTTTGGAGTTTGAATTGAAAACTTTAGAGTTCTGTTGACCATATTGAATGAGTTGATCTAGCTTATTAAAAAAGATGTTTTCTCAGAGACTCCATGGGGTAAAGACTAAAAACCAGCAAGTTTTGAAGTCTTATGGAAAAAATTATTTAAAGATTATTAGAGATTATTGAAAATGCCTTAACAGGAAGTTCCAGTGTTCTCAGAGTCTACAGAGCCCTTTGAGGGCTCCATGAATATTTTGTTTTCATAAGAAAATTATTAAGATGTTCCCTTTCCCACTATGTGGACATTTGCATCCTTGGGGTCAGAGAAGCTGTGAGTGAGAGTGCTGGTACCTTAGTGTGGACTGTGGTGGCACTGCCAAGCTCAGTGCACTCTTCATCTCCAGGCAGTTGCAGCTTTGTTTTTGTAAAAATGGCAGTTTCACTTAGTGCCCTCAGTGAAGCAAATAAAATTTGACTCTGGTAAACCTTGAGCCTTGCACACTTGTCTGTATGATAGTGGGCAGGGCAGAGAGCCCTCTGCACTGTCTTGGGCCAGGGTAGCACTCAAGGAAAGGCACACTTGGGTTGTTTGAGCTCCAAGCTAAACAAACCTCGCCTTTTTCATGGAATGTCATTTTTAAGTAAAAGAATGACACTTTTTAGACCTGAAAAGTTTGCAGACATTTTCTTGAAAATGAGTGAGCCTGTCTTGAAAGAAAACATCCATTAATATTGGTTGCCATTTTAAAATTTCGAACTTTTAGCAAAAATTAAAATTTTGGTAAATGCATCTCTCTCACCATGAGCTTAACATCTTCACACTACTCAAAGACTTTTCTGATGAGACTATCTAGCTGCTAGCATTATGAGGAATTTTTATTTTTCTCAACATAATTTTCTGTGTCATCTACATTCCATGACATTATTTTTATTAGAAAATAAATGTGTATGTTATTTTTACTAGAAAAATAACATTTTTTGGAGGGGGAGAAGAACAGGAGTCTTTAGAGCTTTGGCTGTTTGTCCATGTAGAGTGATGCTACTGCTAAGTCTTCAGTCGTGTCCGACTCTGTGCGACCCCATAGACGGCAGCCCACCAGGCTCCCCTGTCCCTGGGATTCTCCAGTCAAGAACACTGGAGTGGGTTGCCATTTCCTGCTCCAATGCATGAAAGTGAAAAGTGAAAGGGAAGTCACTCAGTCGTGTCTGACTCTGAGCGACCCCATGGACTGCAGCCCACCAGGCTTCTCCGTCCATGGGATTTTCCAGGCAAGAGGACTGGAGTGGGGTGCCATTGCCTTCTCCAATAGACTGATGAGTAGTTCCAAAAATAGTTTGGATGTGACTTTTGATCATTTTGATAAAAGCAATCCATCTGCACACAAGGCCTGTTAGTGGTCCCTGAGGGGACTGCCCCCCAGCCAGGGTGCTTGTCCGATATGCAGCTGCTGGTCTGGTGTATGCCTTCTGCCTCAGCTCAGCTGTGAGAAGGCTTGCTTCTTTCCTTTCAGTTATGTAAATTCCAAGTAACAGTATTTTTACTCTTCTAGGCCTCACGGAAGCCCCGTGAAGAGCGAGACGTGTCTCAGTGTGAAAGTGTGGCCTCCACTGTCTCAGCACAGGAGGACGAGGACATTGAAGCCTCTAATGAAGAGGAGAACCCCGAGGACAGTGAAGGTACCACCACTCGTCCGTCTGGTTGTGGTGTCTGCTGGCCCACACACATGACGGGTACCTTAGTTGTTTGGCTGTCTAGGAATTACTTCATTCAGGAAATGAGAACACAGTGTATTTATCATTCAGTCACACATGTAGCTCCTGAGATGGTCCAGGTGCTGCAATTGAAAGGTCTTGAAGGGGATGGCAGTCCTGCCTGAGACACTAAGTGCCAGCGTCCATAAGCTGTCAGTGTGTCTCTATCGTTGCCACACATATTGGTTCAGTCATTAGCTTCAGTTTCATTTTCCTCTTTCTTTATTTTATCGAGCTTGATTTATGTCAGCATTTATAAAGCTGAACATGTCATATTGATGTTTCCATGAAAAAAATGTATTAATGGCCCAGAGGCATTGGCCAAAAAAATGTCAAGAAACTTAAATAAAATCCGTTATGCTATTTGAAAAATTAATGACAACTTCCTCAAAAAAGTAAATGTTTTCTTGATTTTTTTCAAATTAAAAAAGGTACCTAATTTACTTTAGTTTACATTACTATTAAAGTTTCTGTGAATTTCTTTTAACTGTCCTCTTCTCAAGTGGGGATTTTCACAATGAGGATTCCAGTAGCTTTTAATATGTTATATCTTAAACGTGTTCATGTTTTATGTATGCAAATATTTTCTCTATCTCATTTGTTTTTTATTTTATCTTTAAATTACCAGAATTTAAGCTTCGCAGGTAATTAGAGCTATTTGCATTTTCCTTTGTAGGCTCTTACGTTTTAGGCTTAAAAGGTTCTACACCTTCCAGGAGTTTTAAAAATACTAGATTTTGGTTTCTCTACAAATTGTTGTCATTGGGTTTTAAACTTAAACATTTATCTTGAAATGGGTTTTGACTTTGAGCAATAAGTGAACTTTATTCTGTGAGGTTTTGTGAAAACCAAGGTGGTATTGCCAAAATGGAGAGACCATTGGAGCAGACTTGCCTGGGGCAAGCTGAGGGGCTGCAAGTAGTCCAAAGGGATAGCTGGCATTTGGAAAGAGGTCCTCCGAGTTTGCTGACTTCAGTAGGGTTGTAACTGGTAGCCAATATTGCCTGGGTTATAAATGTACATGAAGCCTGTATTTCACAGGACTAGGTGGGTTAAACAATAGAAACGTACCTGCTGTTTTAGTGCTTAGTCACTCAGTCGTGTCCAACTGTTTGTGACCCCAGGAACTTTAGCCCAGAAGGCTCCTCTGTTCATGGGATTCTTCAGGCAAGCATACTGGAGTGAGTTACCATTTCTTTGTCCAGGGGATCTTCCCCACCCAGGGATCGAACCTGGTCTCTTCTGCATTGTAGGCTGATTCTTTACCATTTGAGCCACCAAGGAAGCTCTTTAAATTAGGGCCCAATTTTTATGACCTCATCTAACCTTTATTATCTCCTTTTAAGGGCATTATTTCCAAATACAGTCATATTGAGAGTTAGGACTTTAACATAAATTTGGGGGTGGGGTGGGACACAGTTCAGTGCATTACAAGTCTCTTTGTCATATGAATGTTTATTTCAGAACCTGGAAACCTGTTGCGTGGGCTGACATATTCTTAAAAACTGAACACCATGAAATGACTTTTCCTTCTCTTTTCTTCCTGTTTCTTTGTCTCAGTGTGAAGCTTTTTCCAAACTGTCAAATGAGGTTGTCAGGTTAATTACAACCTGGTATGACAGCGATGTTTCCATGGGCTCTAGTGTGGACTGGCCTGGTCACATCATGCCATTTGTACATGTGTGTGTATTGTGATGTCTGGTGGTGGTGGTTTAGTTGCTAAGTCATGTCTGACTCTTGTGACCCAGTGGACTGTAGCCCGCCAGGCTCGTCTGTCCATGGGATTCTCCAGGCAAGAATACTGGAGTGGGTTGCCATTTCCTTCTCCAGGTCGTCTTTCCAACCCAGGAATTGAACCCAGGTCTCCTGCATTGCAGGCAGATTCTTTATCAACTGAACTATAAGGGAGATCCTTGGAATGGTGACATCTGGAATGGTTTTCTATTAGTAGGAAATGAACTTGCCACCAGAATGGTGGGCTCTCCACTTCCTTTGACTTAATTTCACTTGGGAAGTGTCAGAGAAGAGCAGCAAGCACAGTGCATTTTCCATGAGCCCTGATCAGTCTTAACTGCTCAGCTCAGGGAGACCCTGAAGCCACATGGGTTTGTGCCCTCCGACTCTTGCGCATGGGTGAGTGGAGACAGCTGCTAGAGGCCAAGTCTCTATGTTGGCTTCCTAGATGGGCGTCTGACCATATGAGTATCTTTCGTAATTAGATGAGTTACATCAAAAGGACCAAACCTTTGTCATAATTTAGATTTTCTCTTGGTCTGAATCATTCTTTGAGGTGTTCTGAGGGGGGAAGAAAAAGACACTCACACTTGGCTGGTGCTTGGTAAAGCTCTGTGACTTGAAAGAAGAAGATAACTGAAGGAGTGCTCATGTCAGATGATGTCATCCACATAATCACTGACATGTCTTCCTGGCTTTGGAGGAGAAATGACTTGTTAGTTTGTCCTTGAACTTGGCTTCCATCACTGTGTGAATAGAAATGAGGATGCTGCTGCCGCCACTTCTAAGTCACTTCAGTGGTGTCCGACTCTGTGCGACCCCATAGACGGCAGCCCACCCGGCTCCACCGTCCCTGGGATTCTCCAGTTAAGAATACTGGAGTGGGTTGCCATTTCCCTCTCCAGTGCATGAAAATGAAATTGAAAGTGAAGTCACTTAGTTGTGTCCGACTCTTTGCGACCCCATGGACCGCAGCCCACCAGGCTCCTCTGTCCATGGGATTCTCCAGGCAAGAGTACTGGAGTGGGGTGCCATTGCCCTCTCTGGAAATGAGGATGAAGTCTGGCTTTTTGTCTGCCTTTCAACACTGGTAGCATCTTTCACCAACCATAATTGCTGCTGTCCATTAGACCTTACAACACGTGAGGTGCTCTTCTGAGCTTTTGTCTTTTGATTCTATTTTTGTTGTTGAGACTTGAGCTCTGATCTGAGTCCTGGTCACACATCTAACTGCCTGTGTAACCTTTGTATTTGAGCACCTAAGGGTTAATAGCATCCGAAACAGACCTGTCTCTCTCACCTCCATACCTCCCTTTCCCTCCAGTCTCCCCCCTTGGTGTGTGAGTGAATCTCCTTAGATCTCCTCCTCTCCTCCATTGCTGCCACTCCACTTAGAGCTACTGTCCCTTCCTTGCGGTGGCCTCTAGATTGGTCTGCTTGCTGCTGTTTGTTCCATTATATTTTTTTTCCTCCAGAGAGCAGCCCGAGTGAACCTTGTAAAATACAAGTCAGGTCAGGTCTCTCTGCTCCACATCCTGTGATGCTTCTCCCATCTCATTCAGAATCAGAGCTGGAGGCGTGCAGCCTCCCTATAGGCACTGGCCCTTCTTACGTCTCTGGCCTCTGGTGGCCCCTTCTGCTGCTCACTCTGTTCTTTTTTACTGTGGTTAAATGAGAGAAAATTGACATATAACGTTACACTAGTTTCAGGTGAACAACATAATCATTCAGTACTTGTACTTTATGAAATAATCTAGTTCATCATATAGTAAGTCTGGTTAACTTTCATCATTGAGTAGTTACTTTTCTTGTGATGAGAATTTTTAATGTCTGCTCTTGGCAACTTTCAGATTTACAACACAGTGTAATTAACTGTAGTCATTATGCCGTATGTCACATCCGCAGGATTTAGTTAGTTTATAACTAGGTGTTTGAGTCTTTTGACACATTCATCCATTTTGCCTACTCCTCACCTCCTGCCTCTGACAACTACCAGTCTGTTCTCTCTATTGGTGCTGTTTTCTTTTTAAAGATTCCACATGTGAGTGAGATCATCCAATGTCCTTCTCTGTCTGACTTATTTCACTTAGCACAGCGCCCTCAAGTTCCATCTCTGTTGTCAGAGTGACAAGACATGTATTTATATATGTTTACATATATGTGTGTGTGTGTGTATACACACATAAACACACCACATTTTCTGAATCCTTTCATCCATTGATGGACACTTAGGTTGCTTCCATATCTTGGTTATTGTAAGTAGTGCTCCAGTGAATGTTGGGGTGCGTATGTTTTTTCAAGTTAGTGTTTTTTCCCCCCTTCAGATAATACCTAGGCATAGAATTGCTGGATCATATGGTAGTCCTGTTTTTAATTTTTTGAGGAAGCTCTTTTACATAGTGGCTACACCAGTTTCGCTTCCTACCAACAGTGCATTAAGGGCCCCCTTTTCTCCACATCCTCCTCAACCGTTGTTATTACTTGTCTTCCTGACGAGAGCACACTGACAGGTGTGAGGCGGCTGCTCCCCTGTTTTGCCCACTGTCTTCTTTGCTGCTCCCAAGCTGACAACCCCACGTGAGGGGCTTTTCCGCATGCTCATCTCTTCCTGGCATGCGCTTTCCCCACTTCCTTTGGGCCTCTGGCGATGTCATGTGAGTGCTCTCATGCTTCCATACCCACTGGGTCTCAGTTGAGTTCCATATTGACTGCGTTTATTACTACTTGATGTGTCCAGTGTTTTTTGCTCATTGCCTGTTTCACCCTAGATTTCTTCTACAGCTGGGTTACCAGGACCTCAAACAGCTTCTTATGTGGCAGGTGTTAGGCACATATTTGAATGAATGAAAGCATGAATTTGTCAAGTTATTAAATGTTATGTTATGCGTGAAAAGTATTTGTTCTTATATGATCATTTAAGTTTTTTTTTTTTTACTGTTTTTTATGTAAAAATGATACATTTATGGCATCAGAGTTTCCTATTTTGCTTAAAATATTTCTTCATACCTCTTGAGGTTATTTGTATTTCATGCTAGATTATCTTCTTAAGAGTTTTAAAAGGATTTATCCCATCTGGAATTCTTTTTCTGCATTATGTAAGGGAGTGTTCGTGTTTTTCTTCCACACAAAGGACCAGTTCTGAGAAATTGCACTCATTAGCTGTTGTCCTGCCTCAGAGATTTAAGGCACTGGCTCTGGCATGTATCAGTTCCTCACATCCATCAGGACCTGTTCCTGACCTTCTCTTCTGTACCACTGGTTTGTCTTGTCTGTCTCTGGGGCAGCCCCAAACGTGTCGTAATACATTGGCTTCATAGTGAGTTTAAGTGTCTGAGGACTAAGTCTCTCCCATGCTGATAACATTTTCTAATTTTCTTGAATTTTCTCAGGGACTTATTTTTTCACATAAATTTTAAATTGATCTTACACACTGTTGGGATTCTCATTGGAGTTATATGTATTAATTTTAGGGAGATGTAAATTTTTGTGTTGTCTTGTAATCTGTTTTAAGAAAATAATCGAAAACATGATGTTGAAGTGAGTATCTCTATATCCTGGTCATAGCAGTGTCACGTTGAAAGTAGCCCAAGGGTCCAGTAATAGAGGAAAGGTGACATAAACTTAAAGACATGTTCAGAGCCACTCATTCATTTCACACTGCATCAGGTATGTGAGCCTGCTCTGTGCCAGGATCTCGGCCTTGTGCTGGACACTAGGACTAAATGAAAAGCAAAATGTGTAATCCTTGCCCTTATGGTGTTCACAGGCTCATGAGCGCAACAGCCAGGAGTCACGTAATTGTGAGCAAAAGTAAAATTGTAGCTGCAGTCAGTACATGTGCTGTGGGTACATGTACAGTACATGTGCATCAGTAGCAAAGTTCAGCTTTGTTGAGGAAATGATAGGCTTTTAAAATTTTATTTATTTATTTTTCATTTATTTTTATTAGTTGGAGGCCAGTTACTTTACGTTATTGTAGTGGTTTTTGCCATACATTGACATGAATCAGCCATGGATTTACGTGTGTTCCCCATCCTGAACCCCCCTCCCGCCTCCCTCCCCATCCCATCCTTCTGGGTCATCCCAGTGCACCAGCCCCGAGCACTTGTCTCATGCATCCAACCTGGACTGGCGATCTCTTTCACCATAGATAATATACATGTTTCGATGCTCTTCTCTCAGATCATCCCACCCTTGCCTTCTCCCACAGAGTCCAAAAGTCTGTTCTATACATCTGTGTCTCTTTTTCTGTCTTGCATATAGGGTTATCATTACCATCTTTCTAAATTCCATATATATACGTTAGTATACTGTATTGGTAGTTATCCTTCTGGCTTACTTCACTGTGTATAATGGGCTCCAGTTTTATCCATCTCATTAGAACTGATTAAAATGTATTCTTTTTAATGGCTTAGTAATATTCCATTGTGTATATGTACCATAGCTTTATTATCCATTCGTCTGCTGATGGGCATCTAGGTTGCTTCCATGTCCTGGCTGTTATAAACAGTGCTGCAATGAACATTGGGGTACACGTGTCTGTTTCAGTTCTGGTTTCCTCAGTGTGTATGCCCAGGAGTGGTATTGCTGGGTCATATGGCAGTTCTATTTCCAGTTTTTTAGGGCATCTCCACACTGTTCCATAGTGGCTGTACTAGTTTGCATTCCCACCAACAGTGTAAGAAGGTTCCCTTTTCTCCACACCCTCTCCAGCATTTATTGCTTGTAGACTTTTGGATAGCGGCCATTCTGACTGGCGTGTAATGGTACCTCATTGTGGTTTTGATTTGCATTTCTCTGATAATGAGTGATGTTGAGCATCTTTTCATGTGTTTGTTAGCCATCTGTATGTCTTCTTTGGAGAAATGTCTGTTTAGTTCTTTGGCCCATTTTTTGATTGGGTCATTTATTTTTCTGAAATTGAGCTGCAGGAGTTGCTTGTATATTTTTGAGACTAATCCTTTGTTTCTTCGTTTGCTATTATTTTCTCCCATTCTGAAGGCTGTCTTTTCACCTTGCTTATAGATTCCTTTGTTGTGCAAAAGCTTTTAAGTTTCATTAGATCCCATTTGTTTATTTTTGCTTTTATTTCCAATATTCTGGGATGTGGGTCATAGAGGATCTTGCTGTGATTTATGTCGGAGAGTGTTTTGCCTATGTTCTCCTCTAGGAGTTTTATAGTTTCTGGTCTTACATTTAGATCTTTAATCCATTTTGAGTTTATTTTTGTGTATGGTGTTAGAAAGTGTTCTAGTTTCATTCTTTTACAAGTGGTTGACCAGTTTTCCCAGCACCACTTGTTAAAGAGGTTGTCTTTTTTCCGTTGCATATTCTTGCCTCCTTTGTCGAAGATAAGCCATAGGTTCGTGGATTTATCTCTGGGCTTTCTATTTTGTTCCATTGATCTATATTTCTGTCTTTGTGCCAGTACCATACTGTCTTGATGACTGTGGCTTTGTAGTAGAGCCTGAAGTCAGGCAGGTTGATTCCTCCAGTTCCATTCTTCTTTCTCAAGTTTGCTTTGGCTATTTGAGATTTTTTTCTATATCCATACAAATTGTGAAATTATTTGTTCTAGTTCTGTGAAGAATACTGTTGGTACCTTCATAGCGATTGCATTGAATCTATAGATTGCTTTAGGTAGTATACTCACTTTCATAATAGAAGGCTTTTTTTAAAGCATGTGGTAGTTGATCTAATATCCAAAGGGAAGAGTAGATGAAAGCCATTCAGAATGTGTGTAGTCAATGGTGGGGGTTGCATGGACCTTCACAGAACTGAAAGAAGGCCACAGAGAAGGCGGGGCTGGAGAGGGAGCTGGCAGCTCGCAAGCTTGGCCACACCCAGCAGCTTGGGACTGGATCCTGGGAGCAGCAAGGCTCCTGGAGATGTTTTAAGCAAGAGAGAGTGGGAATGAGTTTTGGTAAGATTTGGCTTTTAAATTGACTCTGGTTTTGTGGTAGAGAGGAGTCTGGGATGGTGGTGAGAAGAGTCGTTTCTGGAGTCAAGTGGCAGTTGTGAAATTGAACAGAAATGACTGGATTTGAGGGATATTTTTATTTTTTTTTAGTTCTACCAGTTTATTGCTACCAACCCATCTCCCTCCACTCTCGTGCACACATGCTCAGTCATGTAACCCCATGGACTGCAGCCCACCAGGCTCCTCTATCCATGGACTTTCCTAGGCAAGAATACTGGAGTGGCTTGCCATTTCCTTCTCCATGGGGGATATTTTTAGAGAGAAATTTATGACTCATCAAGGTGCAGAATCTGGAGATAAATGAGAGGAACATGTGAAAGATGACTCCTGGGTTCCTAGTTTGTTTGCTGGATACTAAACTCTAAAAAAGAGCTTGATTTGAGACTTGGGAGAGTTGAATACCAGTCCAGAGTAAGACATAGAGAATTTGTAATTCCTTTGTGAAATCTAGGTAAAAGCATTAAAAGTACATGTATGAGATGGAACAAACGGTGGGAAAGACCAGTGTTACAGCAAATTAAATGACAGAACCTATGTAATATTGTCCTAGAGCTTTGCTGTCCAGTGAGGTAGCCACTGGACACACGTGTGGTTGCCACTGGACACGTGTGGTTGTTCTTAAAAAGTGATTGCAGTCTTCCCTCCACCTGAGAATCCCGCATATGCGGGTTCAACCAGCTGCGGGTCCAAATATTAAAAAAAAAAAAAAAAAACTTCAGAAGGTGCCCCAAAGCAGAATTCTACACCTTGGCAACTATTTATACAGCATTTGCATTGTTTGTACAGCTCTTCAGACAGAAGTTTTATTAGTTGTCATAAGTCATCTAGAGATGATGTGAAGAGTACTGGAGGATGTGCATAGGTTGTATGCAAACACTACACCCTTTTCTATAAGGGACTTATATATAAGCATCCGTGGATTTTGGTATCTGTGGTGGGGTGTAGGGGTTTTCCTGGAATCAGTCCCCTCCAGACACCAAGGGACAGCTGTCGACCAAATTGAGATGTGTTGAAATGTGAAATTGCAAATTTTGAAGACTTAGTACCAAAAAAGGTAAAACACCTTATTACTAGGTTTCTATGTTGGTTACGTTTAAAATGGTAATATTTTGCACATATTGGGTTGGGTTAAATAAAATTATTGTTGAATTTTACCTGTCTCTCTTCTTACTTTTTTAACATGGCCACAAGAAGAATTACAGATGTAATGTGCATTAGGTTCTTCTTTGGATGCTGCTGTTCTAATGTCAGCTCTCCTGGGTTAAAAAAAGCACAGAGACAGGACTGGTAGAAATAAATCAAAATGTCATCTTTTATGGAAATGTTTTTGGTTTAGTTTTATTTTTTAATCTATCTTTTTCAAATTTCATATGAATTATTTTTGGACATTAAAAGCTCTTATGCTTTCTGTTTCCAAAGACTGAGGCAATTTGAGCTTTCCCTTTCGTACTTTGTAGAAAACTTGTTTTCCCAGTGCTGTGGTACTTCAGGGAGGTCATCACAGGAGGATAACCCATCCTAAACAAGTACTTTCAAGCATGGCTTCTGTCACCACCTGACACGTGTTCATTATCAGATTTTTATGCTGTATCATTATCTTTAAGGTGCTGAAAATAGTTCTGATACAGAAAGTGCTCCTTCTCCTTCACCAGTTGAAGCTGTCAAGCCTGGCGAAGACAGCACTGAAAATGCGCCTCCTGGAGGGACTGCTGAGGCTGTGGCTGAGCTGGAGGCTACCCCTGACGCCGTGCCCAGGCCTTCTCCCTCGCCGGCAGCTGCGAGCACAAAAGCAGCCGAGGATGACAGTGTGGAAGCCCCGGTGAATGATAGCATCACAGTGGACACGGCCGAGCCGATGGAGGTGGAGCATGAGGAGCGCGGGGCTGAAGGCACTTCTGCTCTTGACCTCCCCTCGGCCGCCAAGGCCAATGCTGTGGATGTTGAAATGCGGGTGCCAGAAAGCAGTCCATCCAGAGTCGAAGGGGACCTCAAAGACAGAGACCTGGAGAGGAGCGGCGAGAAGCCAGAGCCTGGAGAGGATGATCTGGGGGTAGCCCAGCAGCTGAGCGCCCCGAGGCCTGAGCCCCTGTCTGACCACGATTCCAGCGCCACTTGCAGTGCAGACGAGGACGTGGATGGGGAGCCCGAGAGGCAGCGGTGAGGCTCCCTCCTTGACCTCCCCTGTCTTTACTCTGCTGGTCGCAGACTGAACCCAGGGTGGTGCTGGCTGCCAAGGTTGCTCCTGTGTGAATACTGGCCAGTGAGAGAGTCTGTCTGCTTTTACTGTTGGGTTCTGATGCTGGTCACCTGATTAACCAAAAAGAACTGTGTAGTCATTTTTTAAAGACTTTTAACTTCTTTCCATATCAATCGTTAGGTACATCCCATATGATAGCAGAGAAGGGCGGTCAGCTCCCAGAGCTGTGACCAGAACCGCAGTTGCCTGCCGCTATGGTGGCCGAGCCATGTGACGTGGTGAAGGGGCAGGCGGGAGGCAGGGGCCCTAGCTCTGCCCTCGGATGGAACAGCCTCGGAGCAAGGCCTCAGTGCTTGTGTGTGAGATGTGAGAGGTGCTGAGGGCAAAGATGGGGACTGGAGGAAAAGTGTGTTAGAAAGCATAATCTGATTCAAGTTAGTGGTAATTGTAATGATCACCTTTTTGTATCACTTAAAACTGTAGATTATTCATATTTGTAATTTAAAGTACAGGTATGATACAAATTAACTTAAGTACTTTAGTCAAATTAGTATTACGGAAATACAATCTTTATGGTTTTTGTAACAATTGCTGTAAAAAAAGTAAATTTTACAGGAGTAGATACTACCTTCTTTAGTATACTCAGTTTCTTGGGTGTTTACTTTTCCTTGAAAGAAATGCAGTCACCTAGAATCACAGTATCACTTGTACCATGTTGAATTGATTGGTGCAAATTGTAGAATGAATTAGACTAAAATCTCATTTGACCAGAAACCCAACTCAGCTCTTTTTTTCTATTTTCCCCTTTTTAATAAGAAATAGGCTCTCAGGAGACAGCCAGATTCTGCTCAGAGCTCCGCTTCTATAGTGTGTCCTGGTGTCACTGTGCTTTTGGTCCATTTCCAGTATATTGTACATCTTATATACTTAAGAATGGGACTTGATACTAGAATGATACTGAACATAACAGTGATGATTTCCCCAAGGAGATTTTTATGTAGTAGATAATAGAATTTTAATCAGCAAAAATAGAAATAATATAGGGCTCCTACTTAACATGGTTTTTTCAGAAAATTGAAGGTTCTAGCACTCTTTTTCTCATGTCTCAATACTGTGGATTTTAACTGTTCCAAACTTTAAACATAAATGGATTCAAGCTGTATGGTCCTTTTTTAAGCATGCTTTACTGAAATATGTCATCTAAAATAAGAGTTATGTGTTCTGTGCTGTTGGTTTTAAGTGACTTATTTATAAATTTATGAGTGAAGGGAAAATTAGGATGGCAGTAATCATAAAGGGGAGGAGCACCTAAGGGCTGACTGTGATAGTGGTCGTGAAATTCTGACGTTCCTTATCAACACATGGCACTCTCTGGATGATCCTCTAGTTCACTTCGCTTCCAAGCTGTCAAAATGACACTTTCTGTTGTCTCTGTCTTTAATATTATCTTGATTCTTTGTGTAAAAAGTTGTTTTCTTTTACACATTCTAGTTTTCCTACCAGTTTATACCTTTTCAAATGTTCACCTTCCCCAGTAACTGACAACACTGGGAAATATGATGGCGCCTGTAAGGTATAATGTTCCAGTTCCTATTCTGGACATCCTTTACTCAAGTGTGGGTCCTGAAACTGAATGAAGTGGTGCAGTGTGAGACAGCAGAGGATGAACGGGGAGCGCGGACTGGGTAGGGAGCATGGACTGGGTGGGGAGCACGGGCAGCCTTGTGAGCTCAACCTGCTGTTGCCTTGTGGGAGTGCTGCTCTGCGGTGCCGTTTCTCCCCAGTTTTCATGAGAAACCAGGAATCTGGAATTATGGGTGAAATTCTTTTTTTTGTTTGTTTTTCTTTCTTTCTTTTTGGCATTGCTGGGTCTTTGTTGCTGTGTGCAGGCTTGTTTTCGCTAGTTGTGGTGAGTGGGGCCTGCTCTCTGTTGCAGTGCGTGGGCCTCTCATAGAGGTGGCTTCTCTTGTTGTGGAGCTTGGGCTCTAGGCTCAGGCTTTGGTAGTGGTGGTGCTCGTGGGCTTATTTGCCCTGTGGCATGTTGGGTCTTCCTGAACCACAAATGGAACCCACGTCTCCTGCATTGACAGGCGGATTCTTAACCACTGGACCACCGGGGAAGTCCCTGGGTGAAATTCTTGATTTTAAAATGATGGTGATTTATTCAGATGTTTTAAAAAGACTCTCTCATCTTAGCAAAACACTAGTTTGTAACCTATGTTAATGGTAAATTAGGACCTGACATTCCCTAATGGCCCTTGTTCAGACTGTTCTGTTGGTTAGATGCAGATGAATATCAACCTATAAATTAACATTAGGTTTCTTTACCTGAAAGTTTAGCCTTGTAGATTTTTTTCCTTAGTATTCAAATATGTAAGGTTACTGTGATATATGTTTGTGTATGTGTACATGTTAACTTACAAGGAATTATGGTGATTGTATGTTTAAAGTCTTTAATAAGAATATATTGATTAGTCATTTTTAATTGCATTTTCAGAATGTTTCCTATGGATTCGAAACCTTCATTGTTAAATCCCGCTGGGTCTATACTGGTCTCATCACCCATAAAACCAAACCCACTGGACCTGCCTCAGCTTCAACATCGAGCTGCTGTCATCCCACCAATGGTAAGTTTTCAATGTGAGTAAGAAAAGTAGAGTTGAAAACAAAGTCCTTTAGAGACATTTCTTTTCAAATCAGTGCTTGATTTTTTTTTAAATTGTAGTAAACATCACATAACATGAAATTTACATCTTAACTCTTAAGTGTACAGTTCAGTAGGGTTAAGTATATCCATTAAACCATCATTCTCCCCTGCACCCAGCACCCTACACTTTTCTACCTTCTGTTTTATAAATTTGGCTATTTACATAAGTGAACTCATACAGTATTTGTGTTTTTTTGTGCCTGTTTTATTTCACTTTGCCTAATGTCCTCAAGATTATTCATATTGTGGCACATATCGATTCTCCTTCTATTTTAAGACTGTGTGTATAGACCACATTTGATTTATTCATTCATCTGATGAATATGTTGCCTTTTGAAATGAATTCATGTGAGAACTGATTGAAATGATCCATTTCCAGTTAAGGAAAAGAGAGAAATGTAGTGCTCTAGCCATAAATGTTACTAAGTTTTGTGTTTGTTTTGTTTTGCTATAAGATAATAGTAAATATAAATGAGTAAATAGTATATCTAGATGTTGAATGTTTAGAATAAATTATAAAGATTATGGTTAGCTTTAGTATACAGTTCAAACCTAGTTTTATTTGCATTTTACCTTATTAATCTCTGTGAATTTGACTCCCTTTTGATCCTGAATTCTGGTCTTGAGTATTGATCCTTTACTTAGTTATGTTCTAGCTCTTTATTTCAGAGGATAAAAATTTGTTCCCTAGGTCACATGACAATATGTAAAAGTTAAGTGTGTGCCTCTGATAAATAAAAGGCTCACCAAAAAAAACATTTGTTCATTCATTGATTTACCCAAATGGACATAAATTGAGGGTTTGCCAAGTTCAAGGTAACATTTTTTTATGTTTTGTGAAATGTCATAATCTCTGACTTCAGAAAATTTAGATTGGTTAGACATAGAAAAAAATCTTGTTTCTTTTTCTGCCTCAACTTTTTAAAATTCATTTATTATAATTGGAGGATAATTGCAATGTTGTGTTGGTTTCTGCCATACATCAGTGTGAATCAGCCATAGGTATATGTATGTCCCCTCTGCACAATAAAAATTTAAAAGAATTAAAATGTGATGCTCTGTTAGGTTGAAAAATATACTATGAATGATTCAGAGGAAGGAGCACTTCCTGGTTAAAGAGACACTTAAAGAAGACTCTTTGTAGGAAATAATGTTTTGATTGGGCCAATGCAGTTCATTTTGCTTTATAGTAAAACAAGGAAAAGACATATTTACATATAAGCTAAAACCCAAAGGCAAGAAAATTATGTGTGTATTATGAGTGCAGTGAAAAATCCTACCTACAGCAGTGGAAAAAACTGTGGGTCTTTAGATAACAGGTTCTAAAAAGGGTCTGCTCTCTGCTAGTCTCAGGATGCTCATATTCATGAAGTGAGGGGCTGTGTTAGGGGCTGTTTGTTTAGTGTTGGGACAAAGCAGCTTGGATTCTTTTCTTTATGAGGTGGGAGAGAGAGAAAACAGAGAAAACAAGCATCTAAGCTGCCCCATGGTGTTGAGTGATGTGCACTGTGAGAGAGGAGCAGGCTGCAGCAAGAAGGAATGCAGGAGGGATGGCAGTGTGGTGTTGGATGGTGGGGCTGGCCTGTCTGAAGAAAACTGGCCTCTTAAGGAGTTGGTGGTGGAGGGGAGGAGCTGGGTGAGGCCAGGGCAGCCACCAGACTTCTGGCTGAAGCTGCTGGGGTTCTGCTTTGTATGAGAAGCCAGAGAAGTGTTCGGTATAGCAAATGAGAAGCTCCATTTTGAATGTGAGTTTTGAGGTGCTTTGAGGTATCTGAGTGGAGTTGTTAAGGGCAGTGAGTGTGGAACTTGGAGAAAATGTCTCAGAAATATTTGCTTATGAGCCATTAACATAGAGGTGACATTTAAATCCATACAAGTGGGTGTGAGCACCTATGAGGGTCAGGAAGAGGGTGGGCCAGACCTGAGCTACCAGGGGCTCAACGTCTTGAGTTAAAAGCAGATGGAAATACTCTGATTTCTGACTTTGATTTGTCTTACCACAACTTTGGGATTTATATCATGTTCAAGTCTGAAAATAATTGTTTAGCGTTTTAAGAATAAAGCTTGAAGATTACTTTGATTAAAAAAATGGTATAACCACTTCAAGCAGTCTGATTATATAGAAATAAGGGTTACTTGCAACAGATGGTAACGGCTACTTTTTGGTGTCTGGCGTATTTAGATTTTTTTCTCCCTATAGGTTTCCTGCACCCCATGTAACATCCCAATTGGGACCCCCGTGAGCGGCTATGCCCTCTACCAGCGGCACATCAAAGCCATGCACGAGTCGGCGCTCCTGGAGGAGCAGCGGCAACGGCAGGAGCAGCTGGACCTAGAGTGTCGGAGCTCGACCAGCCCGTGCGGTGCCGCGCGGAGCCCCGGCAGAGACTGGGAAGGTGGGTAGCGTGCACACCGCCCAGGACACAAATGCAGGTGGTGGGAAACGGCTGCGTTTGAAACCTGGCTCATGGCGCTGTCCTGAAGAGATACAGTTCCTTACCTTATCCTCGGTTAAGACTGTCAAGGGATGTCGGTGTTTTTGATCACTGAAGGATAGCAGTGATGTTTTCTTTTGTTTTTTTTTTGTTTGTTTGCTTGCTTGTTTGTTTTGTAGCCGTGATGTTTTCAAAAGACTTCTTGTTAATGTGAATTTTGTGATGTTCACCTTACTACTGATGACTGTGTAATGGCCATTCTTTCTGCTACATTCATCTGAGTTTTCAGAGTCAGTGAGATTTACCTGTCCTCCAAGCAAGTCAGGGAAATATTCTAAATCTCTGATATGGTGAGATCAGCTTTGTGTGGCACATTCAATCAGACCTTGACTTACCCCTCACTCTGGTCGTGGGCAAGCCACTTGACCTTCTCAGCTTTAGTAAACTGCAAATACATGTCTGTCTAATCTAGCTATATCTCTGCCTTTCTGAGAAAGAATGTGCATTCAGTATTGTTTTATAACACGTAGTTCAGCATTATTTTACATACAGTATAATAAGTAGCAGTAGTATATTAGCATATGCATAGTGTAATAGACACCTTGAAGAGTGCTGTTATCCTCTGTGTCACTGTTGTTACTTCAAGTGACAGATTTGAGTTGTGCATGTTGTTTTTAGTTGGTGCATGATATACTTAGTTTGTTTTAAAACAATAAGGAAGGGAGCCATTATTAAATTTTAGTAAATTCTTCTGTTAGGATTAGAAAATGGCACCTAGTAGTCAGTAGTCTGTAGTAGTCTGGTTGATAGTAACCAATGGCCTGCCTAGTACGACATACTTAGAATATGAGACCATTAAAGTCTTCTTTGACTATGGTTTCATTTTTTGTAATGATTCAGTCAACTGTTGGTAGTACCTTATATAAGATAAGGGCTGTTAGCTGTAGAACACCGTGCATTTCAAGGACTATTTAACGTAAAAGTGGAACTGGGGTGCTTAACTGACCCTGCTGACTCCTTGTCCCCATCCCACCAGGAGTAAACAGTTAGTTACTGTACCTCCTGTGTCAGAGTTTAACATATAAGATTGCTAGTGTTTTAAATATAAATCTTAGGCTATTAAAAATGTGAACCAGATTAATACCCACCACAGCTGTATGTATAATAGGTGCTAAATGAATATTTCTTGAATGAAGGTAGAAAAAGTATTGTTAACTTGTGAGCTTTTAGTATATTGCCTCTAGAGAATCCTTAATCCCTAACTCAGTAATTGACATAATGTGTACTCAGCAATTACATTTTAAAGGAATGATTTAAATGAAGTAAGATAAAAATGGATTTAGCAGAAGTACTTATCTTTTGAGTATTCCAGTGATGAGAAAAATCTGTCAGTATGAAAATGATAAATTATAGAATAATTTGTCTTTTGATCTATTCCTTACATAAATGATTTAGAATAAATTTTTTGAAACAGAATTAAAATGTGGAAAAAATAACAAATAGTGTTTTCTCAACTTATGCTAAAGCTTAGCATTATTCAGCTGACAACACCTGAATCATTCTAATATGTCTGTATAATTGTTTTAAGAACTGAGGCTCTTTTCTTGATCTCCGTTACAAAGTGGGTTGTATTGGCAGCTGGAGAGGCTGAAGTAGGCTAGCCCCAAGTTCTGAGACTTCAGACTCTGAATTGCATTTCTCCATGATCAGTCCCATTAATCCATGTGGTTTAGATCTGAATGGTATCCTTTTTTAAACAGTGATGCAGTGGTGTTAAACCCAGGCTGTCATTATTTATGTGATCAGTATGACACTAAAGTGTTTGTTAATATGACATCACTTTGGTTCAAGGTGATGTCTACAAACTGGGGTCTACCTCTCTACAAACTGGGGTGGTTGATTACATTTTATTTCAAGATTAGGTTTTGTTTTAGCTAATCTAGCTAGTATGTTCATCCAGTAATTCCTTTAACAAGTGCTGAAGGCTCTCCTGAATTTATAGCTATTTTGTAGTTTGCTTAAAAGGATAATCTCCCAAATAACATTTATATGTTTGCAATTAATTTGCTTGTATGTAGAGTATTTAGTAGGAATATTTTTGGTGCAGCATCATAGAATAGTTTATAGAATGGTAAATACAGTGAGAATGAATTACCAACTGGTGTTGTCCATGTGAGGTAGGAACACAGTTCTGGCTTTTCTCTTCACAGGCTCATTTAGAAGGTAACAGGCAGCACCTGTTGTCCACCTGTTGGATTGTGTTCACCTTCTGTTTATGAGATAGGCGGTCTAAGCCTTTCCATTTGTAGAAAAGCTTGAAAAAGCCTCAGAGAAAAATTGTTTTCATTTTCCAGTAACATTTACACAAGCTGACTCCTGCTTTAGTTGGAAACCTTTTTTATGCAGTGAAAGAACTCAGACTTGACACGTGTAAAGGTAGTTAGAAGTGAAGTTATAATGCAGGTTTTAACAAAATCCAATCAGAATAAGAGTTAATGAATGCTTCTGTGCAACTGAATCTGGTTTCTTTTTTTAAAATTTTTTCAACTGAGTACATGATGACTTAAATGGTTGTATTTAGAACCATCTAAAATTTCGTCTTTTTATTTAACACTATTATGACAAGTATATTTATTTTTCTGTATGTTTATAAACTTATAAAGCCATCCTTCACTGAATATATATATAGTGAATATATATATATAGTGAATATATATATGTATATTGTGAATATATATATATTATGTGCTCTTGTGTTAAATTGTCTAGAAAGGGAGACATGATTTTCTTTTGTAGTTGGTTTATTTCATAAATCTGCACAGTATTAGGACACTTATTGATCAGTTAGAGAAGGAATGAATGGGTAGCGTCATCCTGATGGTGACCCCAGAGGCATGTGAAATTTCTGCACCCAGTGCTCAGGAAGCCATCACTGCACTGCAGCTCAGAGCTCAGGCCAGGAACTGCACTGCTGTAGGAAAGTCTCCAATCTCTGTTGAGCAGTTAGGGTGTGATTCTTTGAGCCTCAATTGCCTCCTCTGTCAAACGGTGTTAATGATCTCATTAGTCCTGAGAGCTTAACGAGATACTTCTGTAGTCTCAGTGCTCTGCGCATAGTACAGATTCCTATTAGCTGACATTACTTTCACTGTTTCTGGTTTTTAAAAATACCTTAATAAGCTAAAGAACATTTTAATTGTGCTAGTCAATTCTCTGCTTGAAACCAGTCACAGACCTCCCACTTCACAGTGAGAGGCTGGAGACCTTCTCTTCAGAAAGGACTTGTGAGGATGCCCATGTCACTGCGGTTAAGGGAGAAGGGAATCGAGCAAAAGGGCTACTGTTGAAGGGAGAAGGCAAATTATTTTTCACAGGGGAAGATTATCCAGCTTGGAAGCCTGAAGAATTAACTGAGAAGTTATTAGAGCTAAGAGGAAAGTTCATTAAGTTTCTCAGAAAAAATTGATATACAGAGATCTATATTTATCTTTCTTATATCTGCAGAAGTCAGTGTGTAAAATATATATACATATATTTTCCCACGTATACGAAACAAATGGTTTTACTCACAATATAAAAATACATATATATTAATAATTTTATGAAATTATGAAAAATGACCTATATGAAAAACTCAAGGTTCCTCAATTGGAAAACTCACTATAAAATGTCAAGTCTTCTGTAAATACACATCCAGTGAAAATTCCAGTGATACATTGGGGAGGAAGTACTCAAAATGATTTAAATTTAGATTTATCTGAAAGAACAAGTGGATAAAACTAGGTAAGCAAAAGAATAAAACATGAATGGGAATTTGTTCTGACAGACATTAAAATGCCACAGACATTTAAATGCCACAGTTTACAAGGTACAGATGATTTTTACTTTCTTTTCTAAAATTATAGTATTTCAATTTTACTTTCTTTAAAAAAAAGATATATATATAATATAGAAAATTATATAATTATATATATTTGTGTTTTTTAATTCTTAATATGACTCTGCATATCTGATATGCCCTTGAAATGCTTAAAGTTTATTTTTATACTTCATGTGGAGGCAAATTAGTAGAATAATTTTCATTAGCATTATTATAGTAAAATTCATAAGTTTGCATAGCCATTAAAAATTATTTTGATCTGCATATTTTGAAATCCTTCTTCTGTTTCTTGATTGCATTTATTTCTCTAATACTAAGCAGTGGGCTTCAACAGGCTAATTATAAAAGTCAAAATCCTCAGCATTCTGGCCTCTAATTCCGGGTATACTTGAATTCATAGAATGGCTGGATAATCCACTGTTTGCCTGTTGTGATCTTTACTGCATGTGAAAAGACTTGATTCTCCTAATGAGAGGACAGATAAGTTCTTTGAGCTTTGAAAGAAGAAATTGTCATTGGATTTTTGTGGATTTCATTAGGTCAGAGTACTGGTGCTTACACAGAAGATTTGGATGTGTAGGGTTTTGTAACCCAGACCTCTATAGTAGTATAGAGTTGGATCCGCCTCCGGACAGTGTGGGCTGGTCCTATCACACTTGCTATTTCAGTCTGGGGTTCTTCCCTTATGTTGGTAACTTTAACTTCCATAGGAAAATCAGTCGCCTATATGCCCTATGCTGAGGCCACACGTGCTCTAGAGCAGGAGGCACAGATGCATAGTACCACGGCCAGGTCAGCGTCACCGTGTAGGCTCTCTCCGCAGCCCGGTGTGAGTGCAGCCCGCTCTAGTGGCCCGCCAGGTAAATACCAATCCTCCTGCCGTGGCTGCTGGCCATCCACCTATACTGCTGGCAGGGGTGGTTTGCTCCCAGGACGCGTCCCCGCTGTTTCAGAATTCCTTTCTTGTTTCTCTGCATCCCATCTTCAGTTGTATTCAGTTGAGATTCACTGGGCCACCGGGAGGTTTGTGTTCATACCTATATACTGTGACGTTGACTGCCTGTTCTCCTATGAGTACATGTACTTTGTAAAAATCTTGAGATCCACCCCCTGCTAAAAAATATTCAAGTGTCTATGAGAGTCAGAATCAGTGTTTCTCAAATTATGCAAGATGCAAAGAGGACATATAACTGGCTGTCAGTTATATCTGTATATTTTCTAGAGTTGTACTATCAGCTGTCCCTAAGAAACATCCTTCTTTTCACCTCCTGTGTGAGGTCCAAGGAGTGGTGCAGAGAGAGAAAAAATCACTAAAGATTGCTGTTTGCATAAGCTGAACAGAAATAGTCTGAAATGGACATCAGCCTGAAAGCTCTGGTTTGACAGGGAGTTGAGTATTTCAATGTCACAGATACCATTTGTGACCCGAGTATGGATACAGATTTAATCTAAGTGAAGGAAATTTAAAATAGAAATGTTCATCCTCGAATTCATCTTGCACATACAACTGAATTGTGATTGAAAAAATAATTGAGATAGGTGGGACATCACAAACTAGGAAATTGACTATTTTGAATAATTTTTTTCTTCCTTTTAAAAGTCCTCCAGCCTGCTCCACATCAGGTGATAACTAACCTTCCTGAAGGGGTTCGGCTTCCAACAACTCGGCCCACTCGGCCGCCGCCTCCTCTCATCCCGTCATCCAAAACCACAGTGGCTTCTGAGAAACCATCGTTTTTACTGGGAGGCTCCATCTCGCAGGTAAGAAGGCTGGCTTCTCTTCCCAGGAGATTCTCTGTTGGTTACTGCTTTGTAAAGATTTTCTCTCCCTCCCATATTAATTTGTCAGAGTCTAAATGAAAATCTATTTATGACGAGACATTGACTTAAAAATGCAACAGTTGCTTTGTCTTCCACGGCGCATGCAAGTTTGTTCAAGTTAGGTCCCCAAACTGAGTGACAGTGTCATGTGTGGCCACTCAGATCTCTGGGTGCCTAATTGGTGGTCAGCTAATGATCAGGGAGCTTTGTGTCCGGAAGGACTTAAATTTCCCAGTCTTTACCAAGGGGCTCATCAACCAGGCAGCCGACAACACTGCCTTCCTCCTCAATTCCTGCTATCACAGAGCCTTGAGGTGGGACCACACACAGTGAGGAAGCACGGCCTTCTGGAGTCTCCCCTGGCCAGTGTGCAGCCTGCACATGTGTATGGCCTTCTAGGTCCCCAGGGAGATGTTGGACCTCTGCAGACCCCTGTGGACATCTCATTCTTTAGCTTTTCCTTTTTGTGGGGAGGGGTGGGGCATACCTCAAATGATGCAGGATTTTAGTTCCCTGACCAGGGATGGAACCCTTACCCTTCGCCGTGGAAACATGGAGTCTTAACCACTGGACCACTAAGGATGTCCCTCTTACAGTTTATGGTTAGCCTGATTGTTTGCTCTGACTGCCTTGGCCAGGGGAGGAGTCCATTGACTCTAATTGTTTCTGACAAGCCTATACCTGCTTCCCCACCCCGTCAGGCCAGTTTAAGACAGCTTTGTAAGTGGGGTGTCTCAGAGAACCGCTCAGCCAGTCTGATAATGACAGTCACCTGAGACTGACCCCCCACCCCGTACTTTCATGTGACCAGAGCTGTGGGTTCTAAGGGCTGAAGCAGACCAGCAATGGGGGTCAGCAGAGCAAGTTTACAGGTCACAGAGCTCACAGTTCTCACCAGAGTTCACCATTTTCCTGAATAAATGCTCCCAGACTTCTACCGGTGTTTGGTTATAGATTTGGAAAAGAGTTCTTAAAGGGCTGATTCTTAACCTTCCTGCTAGTTTTCTGGTTGCCTTTGTGGAGGAGGGTCTTTGGAAGTTCTTCCTCTACCATTTTTTCGAGGGATAAAAGCAATTAATAATGGTAGCTACATCTGAGGGTATGGTTAAGTGTTTTCAGTTATGTAATTTGTTAATAATACACATTAATCTACCTAAAATTTAGGGTGATTTTGGAAGATGTTTTGCTCCTTTTAAAAGCTTTTAAAATTTAACCAATCTGCGACAAGGATTTTCTTGCTTTATGTATACCTATTCTTAGTTTCGGTGGAGGGTGGATGGGTGGTAAGTTTTCTAAGCAGAAATGTGTACCTTAACTCTAGAGCTGACCTTGTGAAGAGACAGTGTTATTCTAGTCCTTTAACATTATTTTTAGGGAACACCCGGCACTTACTTGCCTTCTCCTAATCAGGCCTCCTACGCCCCTGAGGCAGCGAAGCCCTCGGCAGGCTCCATCTCTCTGGGACTGCCGCGGCAGCAGGAGGCCGCCAAGCCAGGTCAGTGAGGAGGGGGCGGACTGTAGCCGCTTTTGTGGCGCACCAGTCGGGGACTTGGCACTTGAGTTCACTCTGTCTTGCTCCGGCCCACAGCCACCGTGCCCTACATCAAGCAGGAGGAGTTCTCTCCCCGAAGCCAGAACTCACAGCCTGAGGGTTTACTGGTCAGAGCCCAGCACGAAGGGGTGGTCAGAGGTAAGACACGCTGTAGGGCAGAAATATTATACTCTGGTCCCCAGTAAATGGGTTAAGGGAAGTCAGTAATATGTTTTAAAGATGGGCTCTTAAATTAGAGCCTTTAAATTCTAAGTTTAAGTTTTCTTTCCATATAAAAATCATTTTAAGACTTTGAAATTTTGTGTTTCTGCAGTTCTTTTTAAAAATTGTGAAATTATTTTTAAAGTACGTTTCAGTAAAACACTTTTGGCTGCGTTTCTCTCTTTTTCTCCTCTCTCCCAAGCAGGGGCTGGTTTTGTTGGCCTGTTTTTCTTGTAGGTGTGGGGGTGTGATTGGCTGGTGATTCTGTTGTTATCCAGGTACCTCAGGAGCCATTCAAGAAGGAAGCATAACTCGGGGAACACCCTCTAGCAAACTCTCTGTGGAGAGCATCCCGTCCCTCCGAGGTTCCATCACCCAGGTCAGTTGTTCTCCTTCCCAAGACCCAAACCACAGCTGGTGAGAAAAGCAGAAGTGAAGTCTCAAATGGGTTGGCTGTTTTAACACAAGTTGTGACAAAGTTGTTCATTGTTCTGGGATTTGGGACAGGTCTCTGTGATAAACCTCAGATGATAAACCACAAGCCAAATCACCTATACTGTGTTTCATTGAAAAAGGTGGATTATTTGCAAATTGGCAGAAAAAACAAGTTATAATTGATGCAACTCTGCCTGGCAAAGCTTTTAACATGTGTTCAGCTTAAACAGAAATTGAGAGGAAAATCATAAATTATTGGCTTGTCATTGTATTTTTCTTAGATATTTTGAAAAAGCTTGATTACATTTGCATGAATTTAGGCCTTAGGACAAATTTTGTTTCTGAGAGTTAAGTACTTTCATAGTGGTTTAACTTTGAGGTGGGGAAGAAGGCTGACTCAACTCATATACCTATTGGCATTTTAGGAAGTTTTGCATGGCAGTGTTCAAGGACCAAGGTTCAGTCTTTCTTTATGTTTATAAAACATGTCCAATTTCCCGTCATGTGCTGGCCTTTCTCATTTGAGGTCATGGCTTGATCTGATGCTTCGTGTGCCAGGTTACATTTTCTGAGCGTTTGTGTCTTGTCAACTGAAGTGATGCTCATGCTGCCTGTGTTTGATTGAATGGCAGGGAACCCCAGCTCTGTCCCAGGCTGGCATACCAACTGAGGCATTGGTGAAAGGACCTGTTTCTAGACTGTCCATTGAAGAGAGCAGTCCTGAGAAAGGCCGGGAGGAAGCCGCCTCCAAAGGCCATGTTATTTACGAAGGCAAAAGTGGACACATCTTATCCTATGACAGTAAGTATCGCCTCTCCACTCCAAGGCTGGTGCTGTCACATGTGACAGGGGTGTGGGGCTAGCTCCTTACCTGCTGGCTTTGGGAAAGTGAGTTTTCTTTCCCCAAGCCCAGGTTTCCTCTCTGTAATATAAAAAGGGTTAACGTGAGTACTTCTCTTGAAACCTTGGTGAAAAATAAACTGAGACAGTCAGTGAAAAGTGCTTAACAGCATGGAGCCCATAGTAAGTGTCCCCTGAGTGGTGGCTTCCACTGCCAGCTGTGGTCATTAGACTTAGCCTAGGAAAAGAATCTCTGTTTAATAGAATCACAGCTAAATGTCTGCTCAGCAAAAACAAGTCCCTGTGAATGCGATTTGACCCCCTTCTATTTTAAAGGAATGCCAGTTTTACGTGTTAAGAATTAAGGAGTAGATAGTAGTCTGATAATCCTAGAAAGAGTATTGAATTTAAATTCACCTTAAATGTAACTGTTTTAATGTCTGTCTCTAAACGTTCCTCTTTAGATGTGTTCATGAGTTTAAGTTTCAGCTTGCGCACTGTTCTGAGCAGTGTGCTGAAATCTCACTGTCCTGCCCAGACGTGCATCTCCCCTTTTTCCACCATGTCCAACCGGCTCAGCTGGTGATGACTATTGTCAGTCGCAGTGCTGTGTCCAGTGACCCTTACCTGAAATTTCATGTGCCCAGATCCCTTTCCAGCATTTTCATTGCCCGCTGTCTGTAGTACCGGTTACTCAGTGGTAACTGCCATTAGTTAACCTGGACCCACCGCTATTGTTAAGTTCCTTGAGGGAAGGGACCTAATTTACACCCTATATCTGAAATCCTGGTTTATGCCTGACCCTCAGTAAATATATTTGAATCAATGAAAACATTTTTATAAGTATCATATACAGAGGTAGGTATGTAGTAGATTAAGACCAGTTTTTATATTATCTTCATGAGATCATGAGATTAAAGTAACTTATTTAGGCCTTGGGCTCTATCCGAGCAGTACTTGTGTCTGTGTTCTGCAGATATTAAGAATGCCCGAGACGGGACGAGGAGTCCAAGAACAGCTCATGAAATCAGTCTCAAAAGAAGCTATGAATCAGTGGAAGGAACAATAAAACAAGGGTTGTCTATGAGGGAATCTCCCGTATCAGCACCGCTGGAGGGTAAGGTGTTGTTTCCAGAGCTCTGTTTAGATACGTACAGCCAATTTGCATTGTTGAGTTTGGTTGCATTTAATATCTGTCATTTCTATGTGAAATTTATATCAGTATATAAATGAAACATAAATATGTTAATATATTATACATACATGTGGTATAAAATGTATAATAGTTAATATACTAATATGAAAGTTATTAGTAAACATTTAAATTCATGTTCATCTCTACATCTAAATCAAGCAGTACATGACAGTGAAGGGGGAAGTAAAGACAAAAGTGAGCTTATCATAGGTAACTGTTAGAATGCTCATATAATTTGTAGATTGATCCTGTTTAATTGAGTTTAAAAATGTGAAGTTCATCATGAGCACTTGTTTTTATTGTGGGGCAGGCAGAGAGGTATATAACGTACAGAGCAGAGACATGTTTGAATCTCGCTCTTTCCAGGTGCGTCTGTCTGTGCCCATCTCTTGCTCTGTCAGTTGAGGGGTTGTACCTGCAGTCATGTGAGGAAGAGAGAGCTGTGTGGCTCTGTGCTGATCATGTGGCATGCCTTCATCACATGATCACCATGGTTTGTTTTGTGAATGGTTCACTTTCCTTAAGTCTTAACCTGACTCAACTATTTTATTTTAATCTAGATGAGAAACGGGAAACAGGGTAAGGATTCCTCAGTCTTGAAGGCCAGTTTAAATTTTCTAAGCGCTGAATTTTCTCTATAATTAAAAAAAAAAAACTCTCACTTTCCTCCATTCAAATTTGTTGGCAATGTAACATGAAACATCTGAAAAGGTTATTTACATGTGTTTCATTTTGGTTTGCATCTTTAGTGTATTTTATCTGTTTTTGAGGTATCCATCGTTCATGTTTTTCTCTTCAGAGCTTAACAGTGATTTCCAGCCCCTCTGTGTTTTCTCTCGCCTTGATAAAAAAGCACTGAGGGTTTAGACTTAGCTTTGAAAGTATTGTTCTCTACGCTTTGACTTAGATGTCTTCCTTGGCCATTTTCTATTTGTGAAAATGTTTGAAAAGAAGCAGTTTTAAAAGTGGATACTTCCAGCTTTTATTTTTTCCATGATGTTCTTCTGATTAGTTTGCAAATCTACAACGGTTCTCCTTTTTCCATGGAGCTTTTGTCTGAAGTGTGTCCTCTTAGAACAGTTAGTTGTGTTCCTGAGTTGACATCTGTGCTGTGTCTAACACCAAAACCACCTGCTTGTTTTGAAAGGGCTCATCTGCCGCGCGCTGCCCAGAGGGAGCCCTCACTCTGACCTCAAGGACAGGACCGTGCTGTCTGGGTCCATCATGCACGGTAAACTCTCTGCTCGCTTGCTTCTGTTCACAGCTGTCTCAGGGCCAAAGTAGTTTGCAGGGTATGAAGCCTGTTTTTCAAGGTATCTTCCCTTTTGACATCTTAGGTATTTAAACCCTAACTATAACTCTTCTTCTCTGAGTTTCATAGTTTATTTGAAGATGATCATTGCTTAATCTTTGAATACAGACATCTTTATTATGTAAGAACCACTCTTGATTGTGATGAATGATATATTAAGTCTTGAACAACCCCCCCAAAGTAATGGCCATGAGTATTTACATAAGGATCTTACTGTAAACAGAAAACTGATTAGAAACTGCAAACAGCAAGGCATTGATTTCTTTATATTATGGTAATTTATATGCAACAAAATTTACTATTACAACAGTTTTTTGAAGTATAGTTCAGTGGCATTAATTTACCAAGTGTTTCTTGAATCCTTCTTTGAAGGCACACCAAGAGCGACAACTGAAAGTTTCGAGGATGGCCTTAAGTACCCCAAACAGATTAAAAGGGAGAGTCCACCCATCCGAGCGTTTGAAGGTGCCATCACCAAAGGAAAGCCCTATGATGGCATCACCACCATCAAAGAGATGGGGCGCTCCGTTCACGAGATCCCCCGGCAGGACATGTTGGCTCAGGAGAGTCGGAAAACCCCCGAGGTGGTGCCGAGTGCTCGGCCCGTCATTGAGGGCTCCATCTCCCAGGTACCGTCCGCTTTGGACCACAGTGCAGCAGTAGTTATCAGTGGTTCTAGATCATTGTAAACATTGGATCTCCTGGAAGTAAACGTGGAGGTCTCTGTGACATCAGTTCTGGTGTGGGAGCATGTGCGGCATGGGCACTCAGCTGCCCTTCACTGGCACATGCCAGTGTGGCACCTTAGATGGAGCCCGGCCACAGGGCTGCCTGTGACACTTGTCTCTTGACCCACAGGGCACACCCATCAAGTTCGACAGCAGCTCGGGTCAGTCTGCCATCAAACACAATGTCAAGTCCCTGATCACGGGGCCTAGCAAATTGCCCCGTGGGATGCCTCCATTGGAAATTGTGCCTGAGAATGTTAAAGTGGTAGAAAGGGGCAAGTATGAGGATGTGAAGGCAGGAGAGCCCGTGCGGTCCCGGCACACGTCGGTGGTGAGCTCCGGCCCCTCAGTCCTCAGGTCCACTCTCCACGAAGCTCCCAAAGCACAGCTGAGCCCGGGAATTTATGAGGACGCCAGCGCACGGCGCACACCGGGGAGCTACACCAGCACTGTGTCCCGGGGCTCGCCCATGCTGAGCAGACCTTCTGAAGGTGTGTTGCTCTTGTATGCTGTCTGACCATTCATGCTGTCCACTGCAGCACTTGGCCTGGCGTTGGTTCCAGGGTCTTGTAGCCTGTCTGCTGTGCTCTGGGAGATTGGCTGCCCATGAAAATAGGCATAATTACAAGTAAAATGCCTAATGTTTTCATTAAGTGCACAGTGCACTGGAGTCCAGAAATGGTGGAACAGGTCATGCTTGGCTTGGATTTTCAACTAAACCATGAGAATTTCTGAAAGTCGGTCTGGACGGTCAGCTCTCCTCACTGTCTGCTGTGTGTCTGCTGTCTGAGTGCTCAGGCCATGGAGCTGGCTGCTTAAGGGTGAATTGAGGTTCTTACTGCACAGAGTTGAATACATTCCTTAGGTTTTTTGTGCTCTAATGTCCTCATCTGTGAATTGGTGGTGTAATACCAAGGCTGGCCTCATAGGATTGCTATGCAGATAAAATGAGGTGATATTTTGAAAGGATTTTGGCAGAATAGTGCACAGAGTGTAGGAAAGACTTGGTAATTGTGAATTGTGAACTGTTATTACTGTCGGTTCTGTTTTATGACCAGAACCTGCCCCTCCTAGGGGTTCATGCTGCTGCAGAGACATCTGGGGGATGAGAGGTGTGGATTTTTACCAGGTGGTCTGTGAACAATCTAAGGCCCTTAGAAGTGTTTCCACTGAGCATTTTACATTGTAGTGCAGTACTCGTTTATCGAGGGCTTATGTGCAGGCTCCCGTGGGTGGTTGGAGGGGCCACACAGAGGGAGGAGAAGAGGGAAATGTCCATCTGGGGCCCTGGCATAAACCTACACCCTGTTGGTTCTGGTCTTGAAGGAGGAGAATTGCCCTGCAGAGGGAGAGGCTCTGCCTGTTAGAGTGATCTGCGGCAGGGAGGGGAGGTGATAAACCAGCATGATTTCTTGGCTTCCACACATAGGTTTGTGTGATCACAACAAAGTCAATATTATCAAAATAGTAATTGGATTGTGCACATGGTTGCACAGTGTTGTTGCACAGTGTGTTACTGTTGTTGAAGTATACCCTATGAAATGGCCAAACTTGTAAATTTTATCCCCTGTGTGTTTCACCACAGTTTCTGAAACAGTGGAAGGTGATGGCTGGTAGGGTTTTGGTTTGGACTCAGTAGCACTGATGAGATAATCAAACTTCTGAATAATGTCCTGTAGAGAAGAAGCTGGAGCAGGGAGGAGGCCAGTGCTGGCGAGGAAGTCTGTGTGGCAGCACAGAGCAGGGAACACTGTGTGACCCAGCAAGGAGCCGGGCAGCCAGGCAGAGAGAGGGTGGAGGCTTGGTATGGGCAGGGTCCGGAGGAGTTAGTGTGTCAGGTCAGAGATGACAAAGCACTGAGCGTCACCTTTCATTCGTAATTTTAGGTGATAAACTGGGCTGTGACCTGAAAGGGGGCAGTCTCCCAACCCAAAGGTGCCCGCATGTTCTGCAAGATTGATTGTTTCATGTTTAGTAGAAAGAGAAGATCAAAGAGATATTTGTATATGGTGTGTATTGGAATGGTTGAGAAATAGATTAACATTATCCTATTTAACAAGCTTGCTTAAGGATTTGTGGTGTTGGCCATTTTTTCTAGTTACAATTTCTTCTGGCAAGTCTGCTAATCATGAGAGGAAGTCAACCCTGACCCCTACCCAGAGGGAGAGCATCACAGCCAAGTCTCCGGTGCCTGGCGTGGACCCTGCAGTGAGCCACAGCCCCTTTGAGCCGCACCACAGGGGCGGCACCCCCGGGGAGGTGTACCGGAGCCACCTGCCGGCACACTTGGACCCAGCCATGCCCTTTCACCGGGCTCTGGATCCTGGTAAGCATAGTATGCAGTGAAAACTGAAGGCAGAGCAGTGACATGGCTGTGTGCCTCTTTAGACATTCTGTTTATTAAAGTACAGAATGCAGACAGTCATGTGTGTTATTAGGATACAGTTCAGTGGATTTTCACAAACTCTACAGCTCAAGCCCCCAGATCAAGACACAGAATACTGGGTACATGGAAAGGCCTCTTGTGTGATGGCATTTGATTGAAAAGTGGGTTCTGTGAAGAACTATTTTTAAATAACACAGGCATACTTCATACATTTTAGTTCACAACAGAGACTTTCTTCACCAGTATTCTGATCTCTAGTCAGGGCACTGGTTACACCTCACAACTGCTTCTGAGGTAAATGATCCATCTCCAGGTTTGTTTTTTTAAGTGAAGTTGGAGTTTAAAGACACACTAAAGGAATCTATCAATAAATATGTATACTTCTAGATTTTTTCCCTCATCTTTTATAATTATCTGCTGCTAAGTCGCTTCAGTCGTGTCCAACTCTGTGTGACCCCATAGACGGCAGCCCACCAGGTTCTCCCGTCCCTGGGATTCTCCAGGCAAGAGCACTGGAGTGGGTTGCCATTTCCTTCTCCAGTGCATGAAAGTGAAAAGTGAAAGTGAAGTCACTCAGTTGTGTCCAACTCTTCGTGACCCCATGGACTGCAGGCTACTAGGCTCCTCTGCCCATTTTCCAGGCAAGAGTACTGGAGTGGGTTGCCATTGCCTTCTCCGTTAAAATTATCTAGTCCATACCTAATTCAGATTCTGTATTGAGTCTTTCCAAAGCAGCAGCATAGTTTTTTCATTGTTTCATTATTGTGGTAGCAATTATAACTGGAAGGAACTTTTGAACAGATACCACTGACCATGAGTGAACATGGTCTTAGTAGGTGTAGAAGCATGTAGGTTTTCTGGGGGGGCAGCCTGCCCTGGCACAGCAGTGCTGCCTGCGCAGCCTGGGCCAGTGGACTCTGCCCGGAAAAGGGCATCCTGTCCACGGGTGGTGGAGCATCTCTGCTGGACTGTGGTGAGGTCAGTACCATCACATTGTCTGTCACCTGAAAACGTCAGGTCCCTGAGGCGCCCACACATGTCTGATTGTTCAGGGACTGTCCCCAGAGCTGGGGCGGGAGCCTCACCCCTACCCCCCACTGTCAGCTGACAGACCCCGCTGGGAGGGCTAGAGGAAGGGGGAGCAGACACTCCGAGAGTTTGTCATTTGTTCTTCTCAGGAGAAAATGTGTGCATAAACTCTTCAGTCAAACTCTCAGACAGAAGTGAATGTTTATACTTTCATTTAGTGTGTATCATAATCCTTTATTTTATAGCAGTTTTCTTTGCTTGTCATTATTGAGCTTGAGCTGGATTATCAGTATTTTGAGGATAGAGGCATTATCTCCTGTTGTCATTTTGTTGGGATATAGTGGACCTCCGGCACTGTATTAAGTTCACTGTGTGTGCTCAGCTCATGACCAGCGTCCCAGCACCTGCGTCATGGGGGCCCGGTCCTGCTGCTGCCTGTTGGTGCAAATAAAGTTTTATTAGAACACAAGTCATTCCTGCTTGTTTTGTCTGTGGCGGCTTTTATACTGTAATGACAGAGTTGAGTCAGTGTGACAGAGCCATAGTGTCCACAAATCCTCACATACTGACCATCTGGCACTTTGACTAATCTCTGCCTTACAGGCACACACTGATAGTGAAATTCGCTCAGTCATGTCTAACTCTTTGCGACACCACAGACTATACAGTCCATGGAATTCTCCAGGCCAGAATATTGGAGTGGGTAGCCTTTCCCTTCTCCAGGGGATCTTCCCAACCTAGGGATTGAACCCAGGTCTCCTGCATTGCAGACGGATTCTTTATCAGCTGAGCCACAAGGGAAGCCCATGGACAGTTGATTTTTAGCGCCCTTCCCCCCCACCCCCACCCCGGAAAAGTAAAGTTACCATTTGTTATAAAGTGTCTCATATATTTTTCCATTTCTTTGTGTTAGATGATCTATACTACAAAAAATAAATTTTTTTCAAACACAGCTTTTGGAAACTTCAGGTGAAAAATCTAATAAAGTTACATGTCAAAGACTGCAAGTGAAACTACTTGAGAGTAGTTTTTAGCTGCTGTTCTAGTGGTCAAGGTTAATATTCTTGTTTTGTCTGACCTGTTGTCCCCGTTTTCGTTATGTCTGACATTAGGATGTTTATATTCACACTGCTCTTCTGTCAAGGTCCAAAAGGAATCTGCCGTAATCCTGTGTCCCCCCCTCCCCCTGCCCCAACCCTGAAGTAGGTAGAAGCTGATTGTGCTTAGTAGCTCAGCAGATGGTTCTTTTCCTTACTCTTTCTGTGGGTGATGTTTAGCAAGTGGATTCTGCATGGACTCAACTACATACCTATCTTTCCTCTCTCCATCAGCAGCCGCTGCTTACCTGTTCCAGAGGCAGCTGTCACCGACCCCTGGCTACCCCAGTCAGTACCAGCTCTACGCGATGGAGAACACGCGCCAGACCATTCTCAACGATTACATCACCTCCCAGCAGATGCAAGTGGGCCTTCGGCCTGACGTGGCCAGGGGGCTGTCCCCCCGGGAACAGCAGCTGGGGCTCCCATACCCGGCGACCAGGGGTGTGTGTCTGTGTCCAGGACGGGTGCTTGGTGGGCGGATGATGGGAGGAAGGAAAAGCAGGCTCTGTAGCCGTTAGCCTTGAAGGCAGACGGGATGATACATTGAAACAGGCTATTCTGGCAACACTGGAATAATGAGGCCAGATTGATGTCCTTGAGGTTGGAAGCCGTGGTCTCGCCAGCTTCACTCTCTCCTCTCTCCACATGTATGGGGTGGGGTTGGGGGAGTGGGGTGGTGTTCATCTCTCCCTGTCGATGAAGCAAGTCTTACAGAGTCATGCTGAACTTTAGCACTGTATTTGTCCTGTATGCAAATTATTTTGGGATTAGAGAAACCCAGGAGCCATGTGCAGCTTTGTATCTTTAGAATAATACTTGAAACATAATTTTGTTGTGTTTCTTTTGAACAGGAATTATTGACCTGACCAACATGCCTCCAGCAATTTTAGTGCCTCACCCTGGGGGAACGAGCACCCCTCCCATGGACAGAATCACATATATTCCCGGTACACAGATCACCTTCCCACCCAGACCTTACAGCTCCGCGTCCGTAAGTCCAGGTGGGTCTGCACGCGCCCCTCTCTGCTGGGAGCATTGTGCTTCTGTGTTGCCAGCACAGCCTCTATGGATGTTTTGGGCACTCTTCCACAGTTAGTCTGCTGTTTTTCATTTACTCTCTAGTCATAGGTCCTCCACAGTATCTGTCCCTAGATCCTCTGAGAGCTCCTGGGAGCTTGTGTTATGCTCCATTATCATTGAAACTCTTAACAAAGCATATTTCCTACTGCTCAGATTTTGAGCTTTCTGAAAAATGTTCAGTCACTAGAGAAGGTAAAGCTTGTTTGATGCACTTGCCAGGTTGGCGTTATTGTCCTCAGGCTGTAGGTTTGTGTGTTTTCCAGGACACTCAACACACCTCGCTGCCGCAGCCAGTGCTGAGAGAGAGCGGGAGCGGGAGAAGGAGCGGGAGCGCCTTGCCGCAGCCTCCTCGGACCTCTACCTGCGGCCGGGTGGGTGGAGGCGCCGGCCTTGTGCTCAGGGTGGGATGCCCTCAGACACAGAGCAGCGGGGCCCTTGCATGTGTAAGCTGTTGAGGAGCCGACAGGGCGGAGGCAGTGGCGTTGTCATGGGGACAGTGGCATTTGGATTTAGCAATAGTAGTTGGGTCTTAAAACACTGGGTTCAGAGCTCATTAAAGCTGAAGCCGTCCAGCAGAGGCTTCCAGAAGATTCCTGAAGATAGATGTGGCATTGGGCTGGCGTGTAGAGGGAGGATGCAGAGTGTGCTTAGAAGGTTGTCTGATTAATGTAAACGAAGTCCCTCAGTGTCTGACCATAGGAGGTGCTTTAATGAATCATGAGCTGTTCTTATTGTTGTTTAATCACTCAATCGTGTTCTGCTCTCTGCATCCCCATGGACTGTAGCTGCCATCCTTGGGGTTTTCCAGGCAAGAATACTGGAGTGGGTTGCCATTTCCTTCTTCAGGAGATTTTCCTACCTAGGAATTGAACCCACGGGTCTTGCATCTCCTGCATTGGCTGGTGGATTCTTAACCACTGAGCCACCTGAGAAGTGGATCATGAACTAGCACCATAGTATTGATTGTATGTTGATTGTACAGAAACTGCAGAAATTGACTTAACTGAAGAGAGCCAGGTACAAATCCTACATAATTTCTGTAAGAACTATGTTTTAAAAATGCTTGTCATCCCACTGATGAATAACATGCAGCTTTAAGTCCATCAAACATCATTTTTCTCCATCAGACATTTGAAAGATTGATAGATTGTGTTGTGGTGTTTGAGGAAACACTGCCTCTTACACACTGTCAGTGGTAGTATAAACAGGGATAACTTTTTCAGAGACATAAAAATGTGAGCAATAATTCAGTCCTAGGAATGCACCCCTGTGGGAACTGCTCACATAAACTGCTGTGTGGTCAGATGGGAGAGAATCGCTGGAATGGTTGTGCTAAGTGGTACCTGCTCTGAAAAAAAAATATGGCTGTTTGCTAGAACTGCCCGCTCAAGTGAGAAAGAGTGAGTCTGAGAGCCCGAGGAGGTGGAGGAGAAAGTGAGGAAAAGGAACTTGAGGTCCTGCGAGTGAAGGAGCTTTGCTGTGGGAGCCACGGTCAAGTGGAGGAGCCACGGAGCTGTGGGCCGGACAGCCTCAGGCCCTGCTGCAGCAGAAGCTCATCATTTGCATTGTGATTCAGAGACAGTTGTTCCAGACTTGATTTTGGAAATAAACACCAGAGTTCAAGGAAAAGTCAGAGACAAACTTACCTGATTTGTATTAGTGCCTCAGTATTGGTGGTTTTTTTTTGTTTCTCTTTGGGATCAAGATAGAGACTTGTCACAGGAATGGGAATGAGAGTCAAGTGGTAGCTGATGATTTTGTTTCAAGTTACTAGTGTGGTTTTATTGCATCTTTATGGGAAAACTCTTAAAGCATTGATTTCTCAAAAGGCCAGAAAGCAGGGTACCGAGTTTCTCCACTTGCTTTCCTGTCTTCTATTTGGGAATGTGAGGAAGTCAGCGCCGCCCTGTGCTACCATCCAGCCTCTTCCTGATGGCTGGTCCCTGCATCCCTCTGCCCCGCAGGCTCAGAGCAGCCTGGCCGGCCCAGCAGCCACGGCTACGTGCGCTCCCCATCCCCATCGGTCAGAACTCAGGAGGCCCTGCTGCAGCAGAGACCCAGCGTCTTCCAGGGAACCAACGGGACCAGCGTGATCACCCCACTGGACCCTAGTGCACAGCTGCGGATCATGTAAGCCTCCGTGTGCACTTGGACCAGACATGCCATCTGCTGCACATGCTTGTCAGCGTGTGACTGCAATAGCACTGCACACTGTGCTCACTGCAGTCTGTCCTCCTGACACCCCAACACCCCAGGAGAGTCTTCCCCATCACAGACTTGTGCTTTGGTTTTCTTTTCAGGCCACTGCCTGCCGGGGGCCCTTCCATCAGCCAGGGCCTGCCGGCCTCCCGTTACAACACCGCTGCGGATGCCCTGGCTGCTCTTGTGGATGCTGCTGCATCTGCTCCCCAGATGGATGTGTCCAAAACGAAAGAGAGTAAGCACGACGCCACCAGGTTAGAAGAGAATGTGAGGAGCAGGGCACCAGTCAGTGAGCAGCAGCTAGAGCAGAAAAGCCTGGAGGCGGAGAAGAGAGCCGGTCAGTGTCTGTACACCTCTTCAGCCCTGCCGAGTGGCAAGCCCCAGCCTCACTCTGCAGTAATTTACTCTGAGGCTGGGAAAGAGAAAGGGCCTCCTCCCAAGTCCAGATATGAGGAAGAGCTAAGGACTCGAGGAAAGACCACCATTACCGCAGCTAACTTCATAGACGTGATCATCACCCGGCAGATTGCCTCGGACAAGGACAGCAGGGACCGTGGCTCCCAGAGCTCAGACTCTTCCAGTAGCTGTATGTATCTCGGCCCGAGCCCGCCCCACGGGACCACACATGGAGTCACCTGACTCCAGGGGAAGTGAAGCACACGGTGTGAATGTAATGGAGAGGTTGTGTGGGTTAGTGGTGCACGAAAGTCTCTCCTGCTGTTATGCCTTTAAATATCTGAGCATCTTAAGTACACTGTCACGTGTTTGCTTGAGGAACTTGGCCTTTCTGGGGATGAAGTCAAAGGGAGGCAGTCGGAGGCAGAGCTGCTCACATTTCAGGTTCTGCGAATGGCTTCAAGACCTCATTCCTCAGGAGACCCTTCTAAGGCACGCATCAGGGTCTAGGGTGGTTCCCCAAAGCCACTAGTAACCTTTTTCTAAGATACAGATTTTTTTAAAAGACCACCTTATTGATAATTATGATTATTGGTAATTGGTATTTCTTATAAGTTGGATTTTGAGCAAGTGTAAGAATTCAGCAACCTACAGTAAAATGCTAGAAAACTTGTTTTAAATGTATCTTAAACTACATCCTAAATTCTCTATTGAATTTCTGAAGGCAAGTATTTAAACACATATCCCTTAGTATTGAAGTAATGTAACCACACATAGTAATCTCTCATTTCCATTCGTGAATCAAGTAGAGTCGGAGACCATGACCAGTGGGTCCTGTGCACTGCCCAGCGTGCAATGCAAGGTTCTGGCTAGTCTGCACCTGATCCTGACTTGTTTGGGTAAATAAATAGCCCCGTGGCTGAGGTCTGGAGAGAAGCTTGGTAGCCCTTTGTGTCCATGAAAGATATCTATTAGCCTGGACTGTGGAAATCTGCAAAATCGATGCTATACCTACAGAAAATTGGGACAGTCTCTAGTTGTGTGACTGGGCCATCTGGCAAGAAGTCACCAGCACACATGTGGTGACCATCCTGGGGCCTGAGGAATGCTTGCTAATTACCTGACATCACTTCCTTTTTGCGTCACAGAATGTCTGCAAGCAGTCTGGCTGCATTTCTGAGGGTTTATGTTTCTGAGCATAGTTTTATTTTCATCACTGACTCGATTGCTTGTGTGAAGCGCCCAGGCTTCTCCTGGTTACCCAGCATGGCTTTCAGTTCTTCCTCAAACCCCCTCCTCCTGGCCCCCGCCCCAGACATCAAGAGCACTGAGCTCCCAGGAGCACCAGGCCTCCTGCCTCCTGTGCTGCCCTGGGGAGCAGACTTTGGGAACTACACCCAAACAGTGAACAGTGATTGCTGCCCATCCCAAAGTAGTACCACTTAGTTTACATATAGTGTCGTATTTTAGTTTCCAAGCGAGTTTCCACCCTTGTTACCAGATCTCTGTCCTGAGTATACTAGAGGCAGGTCCTTGCAGCTTCTATGACCTGGTGGGGGCAGGAGAGGGCTGTTGAGTCGAGGTTGAGGAGTGGGTGGTGCACTAGTAGTAGAGTTCTTTCCCACCTTCTGCCCTGTGTCCAGGACCTGACCACGCTTGCTGATCTAGCCAGGGTCACATACCCTTTGGGCCTCTAATCATTTCCTCAGATGCTTCAGTGCACCCAAAAGTACACACAGCACTCTTGAGTCAGAAGGGTCCTGAGCAGGAGGTCACACCCCTCCCTAGCAGCTCCCCTGTTCTCGACTCTGAGGCCCTGGCAGGACTGAGGAAAGCGCCTGGACCCCCACTGCCTAGACCCTCAGTTACCAAGGGCACCGTCTCTTGGAGGGCCCTGCCATGACAGGCGCATGCTCCCTTCCTCCCTGCGGACATTCACCGCCACCTCTGTTCATGTTCACACTGTAACATGGGGCTAAAGATGGGATTCATTTTTGTCAGCAGCACTCAATGATTTGAGAAAATTATTACATGATGTTAATTAATCCACAGCTTTGAAGTTGTCCTGGTGAAGAAGAGCAGACTATCCGGGATGGAAGTGACTTGGAAGTGTGTACTGTTGAGGTCTCCTCTTGCTGGTTTAATCTCTTGTGATGAATTTCCTGGTAATTTTCTTTTTCAGCCCCCAGGAGAAGGTCAAGCTCTGTTTCTGATCTTCACCTCAAGGTTTTAGAGCCTGCAGATTTTCAGGAAACTCTGTACCTTGCCAAGAGGAAGCGATTAACTGACCTTTGCCACCATGCATTGAACTCCTTGTTTATTTGTTTTGTTTTGTTTTTTTCCCATTAACCTGAGGTGCCATTGAACATTTCTGACGAGTAAAAACTGAAAATATGCAAATAGGTTTGAAGAGCTTGGGACTTCTGAGCTTGACATAAGATTAGTTTTAAAATAGATTCTTTTCTTTTCTTTAAGTATCTTCTCACCGGTATGAAACACCTGGCGATGCTATTGAGGTGATAAGCCCTGCCAGCTCTCCCGCACCACCCCAGGAGAGGCTGCCGGCCTACCAGCCGGAGGTCGTGAAGGCGAGCCAGGCAGAAAGTGGGTCTCCTATGTCTTCACATGTGCTTCCTGTAGTCTGTCCAGGGCATGTTCAGAAGTAGCTTTTTGTTAGTTTTGTTTTAGAGTAATCTTCTGTGAGTCTAGAAATGTTTTAAGACTGCTCTAATGGAAAACTATTTTTAAGTCATTGATGACTTTTTTAATATGTTTTAATGATATTGAAAATAGTTGATATTAATTTTGTTTGCCCACTTGTGCTTTCGCATTTTATTCTATGCTAATCTTCTGATGTCTGTCAGTGAATAAATATTTTTTCTTCAAAATTAAGATATGAATTCCCCCTCCTGTGTTTCTCTGAGCTATGTTTAATCTTTGCTCATGAGTGAAAGGTGGGCCTCCCTGCAGTAAGACATCTGTCTGTCCCCTGTCAGATGAAGCCCCCAGACAGTACGAAGGACCACTGCATCACTACCGGCCGCAGCAGGAGTCCCCGTCCCCGCAGCAGCCACCGCCCCCACCCTCACAGGCCGAGGGGGCGGGGCAAGTACCCCGGACACACCGGCTCATCACACTTGCTGACCACATCTGCGTGAGTTTCTCACTACTTTTATTAGCTAGCAGGGTCTTTGTTTGTACAAGATCACACAGAAGGCCACATTTCACATAGAACCACAGTAAAGATATCTAGATTTATGTTACACTTCTTTTTTTTTTGGAAGTGCTCAATGGATTTAACCAGTTCCTCCTTTTCTCTTTCACAGCAAATTATCACACAAGATTTTGCTAGAAATCAAGTTTCCTCGCAGCCCCCCCAGCAGCCTTCCACTTCTACATTCCAGAGTTCACCATCTGCCTTGGTGTCTACACCTGTGAGGACGAAAACATCAAACCGCTACAGCCCAGAATCCCAGTCTCAATCTGCTCACCATCAGAGACCAGGCTCGAGGGTCTCTCCAGAAACTCTAGTGGACAAATCCAGGGCCAGGTATGGTCTCCCTCGGCCACACACAGGTTCCCCAGCAGTGAGACAGTCAGACTCTACCTTCACGTTGGGGATTCATTTCTTACCCAGAGTTTCTTTACCTTCATTCCCTGGAAAGTGTAATTGAGAGTTTTTCCTTTGTGTATTATTCTTGGAATGTCCACTGTCTAGGCAGTTGGTCCTATATGTTTTTATTATGTGTCCACAAGTTGATTGCTGTCCTCTGTCTGTGGGTTTGCAGACAGTGCTGTGGCATGGATGGTTGGGTGGTAATGCTGGGACACTGCCTGGGTCTTCAGAATCACAGTGTGTTCAGATGTTTAGGAAGCTGGCATTAAATAATGTGAGGCTGCTCAGTACAGGGCTCTTGCCAGTGTTCTCCCCAGTGCTCTGCACTTGGAAGTTGAAGGTTGTGGGCTGAGTGTTGGTGTGCAAGTTAGTTGATGGAGAGCAAGCAGCACACAGATTTGTAAAGTTCATAAAGATGCTGAGAACAAGTCTGGGGGTCAGCAGGTCAAGGACTCTGCAAATATCTGGAGACACATGGCAGGTGGATGGAACAGGGCAGTGGAAACAGCAGTTGATTTTGTAGCAGGCCTGGTTCTCCAGCCTGCCTGCCAACCCCTAAGTTAGCAGAGAACATAAAGGAGTAAGAACAGTATATTAGCTGAACAATACTCCTTGGGAAAAAACTTTATTGTGGGATTTTTTTGAACATACAAAAGTAGAGAAAGTGTAACATGCCAGCACCCAGCACAGGCCCCATGTGTTTCATTATCCCCACCTCAAGCTGGAGTGTTCTGAAGCAAATTGCAAATGACATAAGTCATCTCAAGCAGCTGGATGATCTTAAGGATATAATGAAAGCATTCTCTTTTAACAAAAAAGAGCTTCAGTTATCAAAGAACAGAAAGTTAAAACAGTCATTCATGATACATTCTTGATACAAAGTGCTATGTAGATTTTGAACAGTTGATGGCCATTTATGAAAAACAAATTGTTTTTATTTTTTCACTTATCATTTCCACATCACTGCACCTTGCTTTTGAATGAGGAAGGTTACATTTCTTTCATTGATTTTAGTCAGATTACCTGGTTTTACAGTTTAAAATATTTACATAATTCATACTGTTATAAAACAGTATTATTGATTTTTCAACCTATGAGCAAAACACAGAGCAGTTGTTCTAGAGTTCTGGAACAATGTAAATGCTGTAAATCACATAAAAATGGCTGAGTAGGCTATATAAAGTAGACAAAGATTAAAATCAATGTAGAGAAGGTAGTAAAATCCTTCATCTTTCCTGGTAGGAGACTGATAGTTACTGTTTCAAGTTTTGATACACAAAGAAAGGTATACTATTTTGGTAAAGTGTGAAAGTCACTCAGTCATGTCCAATTCTTTGCAACCTCATGGACTGTACAGTCTGTGGAATTCTCTAGGCCAGAATACTGAAGTGTGGGTAGCCTTTGCGTTCTCCAGGGGATCTTCCCAATCCAGGGATTGAACCCAGGTCTCGATCCTGCATTGCAGGCGAATTCTTTACCAGCTGAGCCCCAAGGGAAGCCTAAGATTGGTAGTTACCTCTAAATCATCTAAATAATCAAAAAGCTAAAAGAAATGATAAAAAATGGCCACCTCTAATTGGATGGGGTAGATTGGGGAAAGAAATGACCAACAATACTAACCTATTGAAAGTGTGAATGTGAAGTAAGTGTGAATGTAATGAAAGTGTGAAAGTGAAGTCGCTCAGTCGTGTGCGACTCTTTGCGACCCCATAGGTTGTAGCCTACCAGGATCCTCAGTCCATGGGATTTTCCAGGCATGAATACTGGAGTGGGTTGCCATTTCCTTCTTCAGGGGATCTTCCCGACCCAGGGATCGAACCTGGGTCTCCCACATTGTAGGCAGACGCTTTACTGTCTGAGCTGCCAGGGACGCAATAATAATGAAAGCATATATTAAAGGTCACTGATGGCTTTTATTCATTTTTTAAAAAAAATTAGAATGTGCTGGGTCTTAATTGTGGCACTCAGGATCTTTAGTTGTGATAAGTGGGATCTATTAATAGTTCACAGTATTTGAGGCGACTTTTTTCTAATACTCAGTGTCAGCTTTTGTTCTCTGAAATGACTGAAGTAACCAGCTAACCAGTGTGTGTGTGTAGGCTGAGCCGAGGTGAGCCCGGGGAAGACAGTCTCACATTTCATATGTTGCAGCATCAGGCCCGGAAAGTCCCCAGAGAGGAGTCACATCTCTTCGGAGCCATATGAGCCCATCTCCCCGCCTCAGGTTCCTGTTGTGCATGAGAAGCAGGACAGTGTGCTGCTGCTGGCCCAGCGTGGAGCCGAGCCCGTGGAGCAGAGGTACGCAGGGGCAGGGCCGCGTGGCCGTGCGTGCGTGCGTGTGCTCGCACTTGGTGCCTGCCGTTTTCCTGAAGTCAATGCAGTTTTTTCTCTTTGGATCACGTGTCAGGAGAATCACTTTGTTTTCCTAGTGATCAAATGCTAGTGGATTTTACTGAAGAAATTATAATATTTAAATAGATGATAGAAAATAATTGGTCATTATTCTTCTTGAAATTCCTTCTGGATCTTTTTTAAAACCTTTTTGTCTGTGTGGACATTGAGCCCCTAAAGTGCCCGCCAGGCACCTGGTGTCATATGCAGTGCATGGAAGGTTGCAGTGAGCACTGCTTGCTATTTTCTCACCAGTTTCTAATCCTTACCCCACCCTGTGAATTAGTAGATATTTATTCCACTGGGTTTAGATGCTTTTGGTTTGGCTCCTTTCAGTGAAATGAGGAAGAAATCCAGTTTTGGAAAGGGAATGATGTTAACTTCAATTATACGTTTACATGTTTTCCCCTAAGCTTGTGAGTTTTTGAGGACAGAGACATCTTAGTCATTTTTCTGTCACCTTCCTTGTTACGTTTGAGTGATGGACCCAATTAGGTTATCAGCACCTTTTGTGTGTTCTCTGTTACTGTCTCTGGCACTCGTTGACTCCTGGGTAGTCCTGAGCTAGTTGAGGAGACTTGTGTTTCTAAATGTGTTAGCATAGGAAGCTGCAGACGAAATGTGAAAGCCTTTACATGATGCTCAGCTCATGCAGGGCTGAAAAGATTCTAACAAATACACAGTTTTATTTCTGTATTGTCGCTATGCTGTTAGGTCTAATTTGTCTACTGCTTAGGTGTGAGTGCTTGCTATTTTATAGGCAGGTATGCTAGTAGTTACAATCTTACCGTACTTCAAAGTAATTTTGCTGGTTAAACAGTCCCCAGATTATGTGGTCACCCTCAATACACCAGGGTCTGTGCTGCAGAGAAGACAGGAGCATGGCAAGCTCTTTTGAGGGCTCCTGTTACCACCTGTTCACTCTCTTGGTTCTAGACTGTCTCCACTCCAGGGCTCCTTTTCTTATATCCCCTTGGCCCCAAATATGTCAGTGTTCAGATGGAGAGGGCCTTGGGCCTGGCACTCGGGGTGGGGGTGGGGGGGTGGGCAGGGAAGGGAGTAGGAGTGCGTGGTGGTAACACGTGACTGTTCCCAGCAGGAATGACTCCCGCTCACCAGGCAGCATAAGCTACCTGCCTTCATTCTTCACCAAGCTTGAGAGCACATCCCCCATGGTGAAGTCAAAGAAGCAAGAGATTTTTCGTAAGTTGAACTCCTCTGGTGGAGGTGACTCTGATATGGGTAAGTGGGATTTCTTTCATGAACCCCCATAAAATGCGCATAAATAATGATAGCTCCATGTCGCCTCTCACGTTACCCTCGAGTATAAGGACTCTGGCAGGCTGGTCCAAGTGCATATGATCCTGAACTCCTCTGTAGGCCTCTGTCGGCTCTGCTTGGGGGGCTTTCTGTGAGGGAGCCCCACCCAGTACATGTGCTGCTGCCTGTTTTCTCTTTGAACAAGTGTGGGTCTCGGAAGTGTGTGTCTTACGTGGGGCTGGATTGGCTCTCTAGTGTTTACCCCCTGGTCTGCCCCTCATTTGGGTAGGTAGACCATCCAGCTGTCTGCAGACAAGGTCGTGCTCCTCCAGTTGTCTTTCCTCTGTGGATGTGCACAGGCGGCCAGCTCTAAGCATTCCTACCATCTCATGTGCTAGTCACTAAAAACCTTTCATTCAGTTAGCCTTTCAGTCGGTTCTGAGTACTGTGGTAGGACCCATCCCTAATTCATCATCTTAAGGGGGTCTGAGACGACACTGGGTGTTTCGATGACCTATGTGTTCAGTTCCAGTGACTGGATGTTGGTACCAACACCAGCCTCCTGCGATGAGCTGCCTATGGACTGTGCCTCTCCCTCTGTCCTCTGTGTCTGTCACACCAAGCGTGGGACCAGGTTGTGTGTGCTTGTTTGCCCCTTTATCTGCTCTGCCAGTCTTTGTGGATTACCTTCAAAGCGCACCTCCCCACCACTGAGGATGGTGCCAGCCTCAAGGCAGTGGAAACAGATGGTGCACGGCCTGGGTATCACTGCCTGCTCCAGGCCCTGTTGTCAGCATGAATGTGGATTATCTCCTGTCACCTTCAAAACACTCTCCAGGCCACATGTTGGCATCATCTCCACTTAGTAGATGAGGACACTGAGGCTTGGGTTTAGTGACTGTTGACGAGACAGGGCTGTGGTTCAGACTCATGGATGCCAGCTCTGGAGTCCATGTCTCCAGTAGTTCTACACTTGACACCCTCACCAGGGCTGTCCATAAATGCCCATGAGGACAGAACTCTTAACAGCTGGGCTGGAACCTTCCTCGCCTGCTGTTTTCATACTCACGCCATCAGCCAGGTTCACTCGTCCCCTTCTCCTCACATGTATCCAGTGATCCAAGGCTCTGGGGAAGCCCTGCAGAACCCAGGGTTTCTACCATCAGTAACCCTTCCAACTAGGAACTGCCAGGTGGAGTTATGTTTGGGTCTGTGACACTGTGATTAACAAAAGTTGAAAGTTCCAGAGGAGAAAGGATGAGCCCAGTGTCACTTGTTTGTGTAGTTATCCCAGCTCTTAATTACTAGATTCGAGAAGTCCAAGTCCTTGGCAACCAAGATGGCTTCGCTTCAGCTCAGGGCTCCCACTGAGGACATCAGTGCTTTTATTCTGCGGAAGCCTTCATGCTCTAAACTTAGCAAATCTGTTCTCCCTGCTGCTGTTAACACTACTGAACAACTTATCCCTTCCAGAAATGCTCTATTCCCTTGGTTTTCAGTATTGCTGTTTCCAGTTTCTTCCTCTGCTTCTTCGGCTGATTCTTGTGTCTCCTCAGAAGCCAGGTCTTGCTCAGCAGGGCTCTGATATGGTGGTTTGCCTCTGGCACTGTTATTCTCTGAGCCATTTCATCCACTCTTGGCGGTTTAAACTGAGTCTGAAAACTCCCAAACTTGCATCTGGAGTTTAGCTTTTTTCTATTAGCACTGAACTCTACTTAAATCTTTGCAACCATATTTCTTCTTGAAGGTCTCACTGGTGCCTTAAGTGTCTAAAAACACTCTGCACACCATGTCTCCCCACAGAGTGCTGCGGTCCTCCCCTCCTGCGTCCTCATGTCCTGGGCAGCCCCTGAACTGCCTTTCCCCACCTCTGAGGAACGGTCATGTCCTCTCATAAGCCTGTCTTACTCCCATTAGTCCTGAGCGATGCAGGGATTTGGGAATGGGCGTTTCACTCAGCTCCCAGGTGATTCTGTTCTGAGGGCCTCAGGAAGTACCTTCTGACCTAAACCCCACAGGTATAGGAAAGAGTGTATTTAAGTTCAGTATGTTATTGTTGGTTGAACAATGAAATTGTCTTCATCTGACCATTTTTGATCAATAAGAACATGATGCTTTTCTTATTCAGCCAAATAATGGCTTGGTATGTATTTGTGAAATGAATGAGTCCTATTCTCCAAGTTTCTATGAGAACTACAAGGCCCTCCTTACCCCCTCGTACTATTTCAGGTTCAGTCGGTTTACTGTTCCCTGATCCGTGAGTGAGGAGCCTTCTCCCCGCCCCTCAGTCTCCCTGTCCCAGGAGTCGGCATCCAGGCTCCTTCACTCTAATCTGCGTGGACAGGCCTTCTCCCTGGTGCAGGCCCACCCTTCTCTGAGACAGTGCTTGTCTGGCCACTAACTTACTTCCTGGATTCTTTTTCTTTCAAGTTCTCAACCTTGAGTTGGAAGGCATGATAAAAACACTGTTTCTGTTCCCAAACTTCTTCCATTTTTGGGCACAGTGCTTTACAAGTAGTTCCCAGGTTGTCCGAGTTGCTGTCAAATAGAGCAAATGACAGACTGCACAGTTAGCAGGAATGAACAGAACTGACAGGCAGGATTTCTGCCTCACCCTGGCAACTGCAGCAGGGACACGTGGTCATGTTTGTTCCTTTCACGGGGGTGTTCTCCCCAGGATCTCATCTCACACCTGCTGTTTGCAGGGTCTCTTCCCTGGAAGCTTGGGTTCCTGTCCTGAGGCCAGCTTTTCCCTATGTGTGTTTCTCTGGCGCTGCAAAAGTTCCTTTCCTTCCTGAGCTGTATTACTCCTGTTCTGATTTCCTTAAGAAAGTAATTATTTCTCTTTACCTTCACTTAATGGGTAAAAAGTAAAGTTGATCATGGAAAATAAGGTTAATTTACCGTAGAATTTTTTTGGAGACTTTACCTCTTTCCGTGTACGTGATCATCACATCTCAGTTAATTAACTTGAATGTTTGTTTTAAATACAGCAGCTGCTCAGCCAGGAACTGAGATCTTTAATCTGCCAGCAGTCACCACCTCAGGTAAGATTCAGAAAACTCATACAGTAGCAGTCAGTCCAGCAAACAGGCAATGCGTACTGGCTGCATGCCAGGAACATCATTTAGTCGGGGAGGGACACGGAGGCAGTCACAGTAGAAAGTGAACTGAGATCAATAAGTACTTATTGAAAACATAAATGAACAGAGAATCAAAACTACTGAGCTAAAAAGAGAAGAAAACCGTCGAGCAACTTTCACACCAGTGGGTGCCTGATTTAACACAGGAAAGCACACACTCTCGGGGGATTAGCCGCCTCTGGGGGGGCTGTGCTGCCAACACTGTGCCAGGGCATGTGTCCTGGGCGGTTCCTGCTCCTGTCCTCCCTCAGAGTCAGGCAGGTGCTGTGCCATCTCCTGCAGGCTCCGTGAGCTCCAGAGGCCACTCCTTTGCTGACCCTGCCAGTAACCTGGGGCTGGAGGACATCATCCGGAAGGCGCTCATGGGGAGCTTTGATGACAAAGTGGAGGATCACGGGGTGGTCATGCCCCAGCCAGTGGCAGTGGGGCCTGGGGGCGCCAGCACCTCGGTGGTGACCAGCGGCGAGATCCGGAGGGAGGAAGGGGACCCATCGCCTCACTCAGGTAAGGGGCTCATTTTTGTGCTTTTCACCATGTCTCCCAAGAAAAAGCCAGTCCATACCCCAGGTTCAGATGGGTCATGAAGAGATTTCATTTATGTGCTCAGTCACCTCAATGTTTTTCAACCTCTTCAGACATGTTACAAGTGACATAAAATTAAAAGGGGTGAAAGTTTCTACCCAGAATGTCACCCTCCAGTGTATCAGTGTTTTTGTTTTCATCTAGTCATTATCTGTGTGCATACATTGTAATACTGATGCAATTTCATATTCTGCTTTTGAATCAAAGTGACTTGCTATTGTAATAAAAGTGACAGGCCCCGTGTAAAAGAAATTTTAAGCCACAGGAAAAAATAAGGGGAAAAAATCCTTCAGATCACATTGTATAGAAAGCTAGTGTTAAAAAGGGTAGCTTACTGGAATGAGGTCATTATACATCCTGTTATAAGCATACAAAAAACCATGACTCTATGCTTTATATGTTTATATATAACCTTTTTTCTTAATCTGTTGAGAATCTCTCTTATGCCTTACTTAAAAATAAAGGTCAGCAACATTTCAAGTTTATTCTCCTGTTATGGTCACGCAAAAGATCTCACTAAGGATTAAGAAAATGATTAAAGAGATGAGTGGTTTTATTTACTTTTCCCTATATATGTTAACGTTAGGACAATATAAATTCACTTCCTGCTCTCAAAGATGAGACACTGTCTTCTGCTCTAACCTTCAAGTGTTATTGATTTTAAATGTGTGTGTGTGTGTTTTAAGTTATAGTATTGGTGACTTACAGAGTTCTCCTTGTTGTGTAGTCTTTCTGTCACAGCATTTCTTGGTGGTGAGGTTTCATACCCTGTTTTTACAAAAAGGCTGCTGTGTCCTGAGGTCCTTCCTGCTCAAGGTCTCTTGCTGCCTTTGTTTGAGATAATGGTTTGGCAGGTGTTACAATACTAGGTTGGTGCAAAAGTAATTAAGAGTTTTTGCATGGTTGAAATTTGCTGTTTGATATTGGAATACTTTCAAGAATGTTATGTTATACATCATTTTAATGTACATTTCTTTATGTTTTTTTGCTAATGACTTGTTACTTGCTGTTTATGTTTATTTTAGACTATGGAAATGATGTTAGACAAAAAGCAAATTCAAGCGATTTTCTTATTCGAGTTCAAAATGGGTCATAAAGCAGTGGAGACAACTCACAACAACAGTGAATTTGGCCCAGGAACTGCTAACAAATATACAGTATAAGTGGTGGTTCAACAAGTTTTGCAAAGGAGATGAGAGCCTTGAAGATAAGGAGCATAGTGTCCGGCCACCCCAGTTGACAACAAGCGAGAGCCATCATCGAAGCTGATCCTCTCACAAGCACACAAGGGATTGCTAAAGAACTCAGGGTTGACCATTCTACAGCTATTTGAAGCAAATTAGAAAAGTGAAAAAGCTGGATAAGTGGGTACCATATGAGCTGACAAAAAAATTGTTTTAAAGTGTTGTCTTCTCTCATTCTACACAACAATGAACCATTTCATGGATTGTGACATGAAATGAAAAGTGGGTTTTATATGACAGCCAGCAACAACCAGCTCAGTGGTTGGAAGCAGCAGCTCCAAAAGCACTTCCCAGAGTGAAACTCGCACCGAAGAAAAAGGTCATGGTCACTGGTGGTCTGCTGCCCATCTGATCCACTACAGCTTTGAGTCCTGGTGAAACCATTACATCTGAGAAGTATGCTCAGAAAATCGATGAGATGCACCGAAAACTGCAACGCCTGCAACTGGCAAAAAAGCCCAATTCTCCACCAAGTCTGACTGTTCAACTTCTGAAGCATTGGTTCTATGACGTGCAAACTGGGCTATTAAGTTTTGTCTCATCTGCCATATTCCCCCGACCTCTCGCCCACTGACTACCATTTTTTCAAGCATCCTGACAACTTTTTGCAGGGAAAATGCTTTCCAAGAGTTCGTTGAATTGCAAAGTACGGATTTTTACGCTACAGAAATAAACAAACTCACTTCTCAATGGCAAAAATGTGTTGATTGTAAGGGTTCCTATTTTGATTAATAAAGATCTGTTTGAGCTTAGTTACAATGATTTAAAATTCACGGTCTGAAACTGCAATTACATTTGCACCAACCTACTATTAAGACACATACTTTTCTCAAAACCTCCTGTAAACATGGTTGTATTCATTCTGGTGTTCATTGTTGTGTAAGAAGTAAGACCAGATTCCCCCCCACCTCCTTTTTTAGTGATGACATTTTATCTGCCCAGAGAATCCTTTTTTCCTCAACTTCAATAAGTATCACATTGTGTTAAGTGTTCTCTGGCCTGTGTAGATTCCCTGATCACGGAAGGGTGTGTGCACCTTCCCAGTTTCTGTGTTCAGGGGAAGAAATTCTATCAGATGTTCCTTAGTTATTTTCTCCATTTGAGAAAGCTGCCTTTTCGCTGGATAGGCTTTTGTACTCTGTTACCTTCTCATTGTTTTAATCATCGTGATACTTTTTCTGTTGCTTTTACTCTTAAATTTTTCCTTTGCACCAGTATTTTCTTTTCCTTCATGGCTTGACTTCCTAATAAGTCTTTTCATAAGCCTCATTCATTTTGGTGATCACTTCTTTGAGCTTCTTTTGTAAATGGGCTTCATGTATTGTGACGTTTTCCCCCAGTGTTTGAAGTACACCCCCACCTCCATTTTCTGTTGGGTTATATTGTCCTCCTTATCACCAAGGACTTGCATTTCTTCTCTCTCCAGATAGAGGGGTACAAAATGCTTTCTCTCCCTTTTTTTCTGTACCCCAAGGATTGGGGGCAGGATGAAACCATTCTGCTGGGGCTGCTGACCTGGGCTCTGGTCTCTTCTGAGATCCTTTTAATATTCTATGGAAGAGCCCAGTTGGGGCTTCCCAGTCCTGCAAACCAACTAAAGAGCCTGGAGAGGCTGAAAGGGATTCCTTGACTTGCCTGGCCCAGCTGATGTCCAACAGCTTGAAGGGGCTTCTCTTGTGCAGATTTTCTTCCTCTCTTCACTCTCCTGTAGATTGGTAAGGGCAGAGATACTGAGGATTTAAGATTTTTGTCAGTTTTCGGCTTCTTAGCAGTTTCTGCTCCAAGGCCAAGAAAGAAACGATGTTCTAGAAATGTTAATTTCTTGTTACCTGTTTCTGAGTTTATGGCAATGAGGACCTACCCCCTTTGACTTTAGTTGCTGCAAGTGAGTTCTGCCTCTTTTGTATGTTACCAGGGTCTGGATTCTTCATGCTCCCATCCTGCTTTCTCTTGTAGCAGATGGTCAGCAGCACTAGGGTGCCCTTTCAGTTTGCAAATGTGACTGCTGTGTGTCAGTAATGACAGTTTATTCCACTTTCAGGAGGAGTTTGCAAACCAAAGCTGCTCAGCAAGGCTAACAGCAGGAAATCGAAATCGCCTGTCCCGGGGCAGGGCTACCTGGGAGCGGAGCGGCCCTCATCGGTCTCCTCTGTGCACTCAGAAGGGGACTACCACAGGCAGACGCCAGGCTGGGCCTGGGAGGACAGACCCTCTTCGACAGGTGAGGGGCTGCTGCCAGGACGCAGGTCTGCATGCCGCTGGCGTCAGGGCCTTGGTTAGTGCTGCTCCTAAAATCAGATGCTCTGTTAGGAAAATGCTTTCCATTGTGGTATGGTTAAAGGGTTCCACTGTTCTTAACAGAAACTGAATGTATATAATCTGAAAAATTTTAAGAATATAGGTTTGATTACCAGCCCAGCTGCCCTCAGGCCCCTTGCATCTGTGGAGAGCTGGCGGCGGCACCTGACATAGGTGCACAACTGGGACCTGTGGCTTCAGCTCTCCCACACCTTCTGCACAGATAGCCTCAGAGGAAGTTCTTAGGAGCTAATGGGAACCAAGGCCAGAAATGGAAGAAAGCCGTCACCCCTCTGTAGGCTGTCTTTACAGACAGAAAAACAAAACTGTAGGATATTTTTAACGTTGGCCCTTTTATGACTATTTATAAGCTTTTTTCCTCTTTGGCTGCACTGGGTCTTGGTTGTGGTGCTTGGACTTCCCTCTTCTGCCGTGCGAGGGTTTCTTATTGCGGTGTGGCAGCCTGTCTAGTTGTTGCCTGCTAGCTTAGTAGTGGGGTTGACCTGTGTGTGGCATCTGAGTTCCCTGCATTGGAAGCAGGTTCTTAACCACTGGTCCACCAGGGAAGTCCCCATTTTGTAAGCTTTTAAAAATTACAAATAGCCATGATAATAATGGTGGGCTTCCCTGGTGGCTCAGACTGTAAAGAATCCACCTACAATGCAGGAAACTCAGGTTTGATCTCTGGGTCGGGAAGATCCCTTGGAGAAGGGAATGGCTACCCACGCCAGTATTCTTGCCTGGAAAATTCCATGGACAGAGACTGGTGGGCTGTAGTCCATGGGGTCACAAAGAGTCGGACATGACTGAGTAATGAACAGTTTCACTATAATAGTCATCTTGAAAATGAACAATTTTTTTAAGTAAAACTGGGATAGTTGCTGTGGATTTTAGAGTTTCATCTGTTCTTTTCAGAGGAGTTAACTCCACAAATAGATCAATGAAAAAATCTAAATTGTGTCCTCATTAAGTTATAAATTTCATATAGGTATTATAAAACATCATAATTTAAGGTTCACTTAATCACTTTATAGTTTCTCCCACCACATGCAGAGTGGGGGCTTACTGGTTTGAAAACTTCCTAGAGCAATGACTGTTTCTTCTTTTGTCTCTTTGATGCTGTGCTGTGTGCTCTGGTCTTAGCATTTCTTAGATTGTAGGTGGCTTCCTGGAGACAATGACACGATCTAGGAATTGGCAGAAGGTGCAGTGCTGTTGTGAGGCTTGTGTGTCCCCCTCTGAAGCCTGTCCCTGGGTCTGTCTGCCCCTGACCAGCTGAACCTCCTGCTTCCTCCTGTGTTACCAGAGTCTTAGTTTGAGCCAAAAATTCAGGAGTTCCACTTGGATTCAGCAGCAGCCCAGCCTCCAGTGCTCAACTCACTGGCTTTGTGTCCTTCTGGACGGTTGGTTGCTTGGGAACAGCGCAGCAGGGGAGGTCTGTTCTGCCCCCACCCACTCAGATGTGCTAACCTCTCTCCGCAGGCTCGACACAGTTCCCCTACAACCCCCTGACCATGCGGATGCTCAGCAGCACGCCCCCCGCGCCCGTCGCCTGCACTCCCACCTCGGCCAACCCGGCTGCCCCGCACCAGCCGAGTAGGATCTGGGAGCGGGAGCCGGCCCCGCTGCTATCCGCGCAGTACGAGACGCTGTCTGACAGCGACGACTGACCTGTGGGCAGGGGTCCCAGGGTGCGGGGGGCTCCAGTTTCTGGTAGCTTCCTCTCTAACTGCAGGCCCGAAGCCTGCCCGCCTAGGATTTGTGCCCAGAGACTTTTCTGGAGAGCCTGGACCATGGACAGTGAAGAGACAATGGAAATTCATTTTGGGGTCAAATGAGGGGAAAAGGCTGTCTTGATACAGGCAGTTCTGTGGATGATAGTAATAGTGGAGGGTCGACATGTAGAGTTTTTAAAAAGTGGATAATTCCTGTTCTTACATCTGTTTGTAAAGAAACCATGATGTCTCTAATCACTCTGTAAATAGAGGACCTTTTTGCAGTGTTCCCCTCGCTGTAGTATATCTGGTGTACTTATGTTCAATCAGCACATCAACTTGGGGGTGATTTTTAAAAAATCTCTCGTCTACCTTTTTAACCCTTGCCTTCCAAACAACGTCATACAGCCCAGTTCCATGGTGTTGGCTGTCACGGGCATTGTACTTTTATCCAATTTTGTCTCCTCTAAGCTCAGATTCCCAGTGATGTTTAAAATCTTGTGGAGATGTTTAGATTTTTAACACATGCTGCCATAAAATCTGTACATTAACGTATTAGGGTCTAAAGGAGAAACAAAATTCTGCCATATTGTAAATTTCCAGGGCAGTCTTTTTTAAATTAGAAGCACTGAAAACATAGTACTGCATGGGTATTGTTCTAGTTCAGTTTCTGACATTTTAAAGGCTTATTTGAGGTGTACGTACCTCGCTGTTACGCACACTAGTAATTAACCCCACCCTGGGTATTTGCCTGCATTTGATGCAGCAAAGCTTTTGGTTTGGAAATAAATCTGACTGCCCTGTCCACCTGTCCATAGCTACAGTAGATGATTGTGACTGAAGGCTTTGGTGTCTCAGGTTAGCAGACGTGTCACTGGCTGAGTTGGAAGGTGACACCTGGTATAGAGCCTCTCAGCCATGTGTCCTCCTGGGCTTAGGAGAAGCAGACGGCCCTTCCACTGCATGCCACCCTGTGCTTACACTTTCACTTTGATTCCTTGTGGGCAAGTGTTTGTCATCAACTGTTTTCATTTCACCAAATCTCAAGGAGCAAATATTTAAAAGACTGATACTGGAGGACCAGTCTTAATCTTCATTAGTAACTGCTTGTTGAATTAAATTTTTTTCATACACTCAAGCATAGCACTGACACATCCTTCTGTAGCACATGGATGCTAATGGTTTGGGAGGTGTTTAGAATGGAAAGAGGTCCCAGGATGATAAACACTAGGACTTCACAGACTCCAAACTAGCCGTGAGTTTTTCACAGAAGTCCTCAAGCCTCTAAATACAGCAGCTGTCTGACAGCTGGAGGAGGAGACGCCTCCTTTGTAGTGACCGAGACCCTCCATCCCTTGGCATCAAGTCCCTGTTTAACAGGTGTTGACACAGGTTCAGTACTTTGCCCAAGTTGTTGAAAAAGCAACAAGGACAGGAACACTAGCCAACACCTCTTGAGGCCTGTGGCTGCACCCACATGTAAGTGAGCTCAAAATAAGCTTCAGGTGGGGTGGGCAGGGCAGCACTGCCTGGGCCCAGTCCGTGAAGGCTAGTCCTCTTTGCTCTGGGGCCTCAGTGCAGGGAACTGTACAACAGGCTCTGCAAACTCGGACCGTGTCACTGAGGGGGAGAAATTCCTCAGTGAAACTTGCACGGCAGAGAATACCTCCCTTTCAGCAACTCATGTAGCTGTGAAAAGGTAAACGCGCTAGATGCTGAAGGTGAGTAGTTACGACCGGCTTGCACTGAAACTTGAGTTTCTCTGAGTTAGACTTGATTAAAGGAATTAACCTGTTGAGACAATGAGAAGATACTTATATCAGCAAAATAGATTATTCTAATAGAAGATTCTGATCTGAGCCTAATTCCTGTGTTTTTAATTCTAAAGAGTCAATGACCTTTTTATGAGAAACTCAAAAGACTTCAGTATTGAATACATACAATACTGTTGTGGCATCTCCCGGTTTATTAGGAAGGGAGCCTTCGTGTGTACACAGGAGCCAAAGGCACCAGTTTATCCTCCCCGCCCCCACACCAGAAGGACTGCAGACCTGCCCCGAGGCAGGGACAACGCTCAAGACACACTATTCAGGTTAGGCCACTGACCTTCTCCTTGGGCTGAAAGAGTCCAAAGACCCCCATGGGGAGACTGAGAACCAAAACTCCCGAGAGCTAGGGCTGGGGTCCAGGCAGTGCTTCCTCTATGGCCCCATTACTGTCAGTATGACACCCCCAGGGTTCCCCTCTGAGCCAGGGGACCTGGCAGCCCTCAGACAACTCTGACCTGTGACTGGGTCCAGAGGGGGTGCATGCTCAGAGGGGAGAGACCGTAGGAATTGTCATTCCTTTTTCTCCTTTTTTCACAGTAGTCTACAACCAGATAGGTACAAAAACAGGCAGTTCACTTAGTCCACTTTTATATATAATCTAAAGGGCACACTACTACTTCCAAGTGCCCGATTCCCACTTTAAAGCTTCACATCTGATGCTTTGTGGCAACCAAGATACTACTCTTCTATGCATTAAATCCCACAGTGGTCTTCATGAGACAGAGAATGAGAGCAAGCAACTCGCCATCATGAGACTGGTAGCTCTGGTCTGCCAGGTCTTGATAAAATAAGACATAGCAGCAAATCAATGAACCAAAACCTTATAGTAGAGATGCCCCCACCCCAGATGAACGCTGGCCCCTCAATCTGGCACGGTTCAGCACCTCCCCAACCATCCATTAGAACAGAACACCGCCTGACAGCAGTCCTGAGAAACAGTCAGTCAGGGGAGGGGGGGTGTGCAAAACAAACAGCACAGCTTGTCCTCCACCAAGGCTTAGTTGAGGGGATGTGCATGTCATGGACAGAGGATTTAAGCCACTGATTGGGGGCCGCCAGGACTGGAACAGAGGTATCAGTCATGACAAAGGTCTGCTTTTTCTTGCCAGCTCGGCCAGCTCTTCCCTGATGTGCTGCACAGAAGCCTCGTCTCTCTTCAGTTCCGCTTGCCTCAGTGCTTCCCTATAGGTCTCTTCTGCTTGTGCATACAGTTCTGGAACAGCCCGAGAGAAGGGAGAAAATGCATGTTTCATCGTGATGCTAAAACATTCTGAAGAGGAAGCACATGTGACGGGACAGCTCTAGTTCATGGTGTGAGACAAGTTATGACCCTGGGACGCCCAGACCTCAGGGAGCCCTTCCCTGATGGAAGTTCCGGTAAGGGACGTGTCCCTGCAGGTTTCTGAGCAGAGGGCAGAGCTTCCTGAGGACACATCAAGCTGTCCACATGCCAACAAGGAGGAGCCTGCAGAGCACTCCAAAAACAAGGGACCATGGCCTCACTGCCTGCCCTCAGCCCACCACCCAGGTCCCCGACCCACCGAGGGGCACCCCGCGCCCCGCACCTCTATGCGTCAGGACTGCAGCCAGGTTGCTGAGCAGCATGTGCAGTTCAGGGTGTCCCACCTGCCTCGCCAGGTCTGACGCCCTCTGTGCGTGAACACAGGCCTCGCCAGTGTGGCCCTGTGTGTCCAGGGTAGTGGCCAGGTCACTGAGCAGCACGATGGTCTACATGGGAGAAAACAGCTGCTGCTTGCAAGTGAAGATTTGCTGGAGAAGGGAACAGCTGCCCACTCCAGTATGCTTGGGCCTCCCTGGGGGCTCAGCTGGTAAAGAATCTGCCCGTAGTGCAGGAGACCTGGGTTCAATCCCTGGGTGCGAAGATCCCACAGAGAAGGGAACGGCTACCCACTCCAGTATTCTGGCCTGGAGAATGCCATTGACTTGTCCATGGGGTTGCAAAGAGTCAGACACGACTGAGCGACTCTTCACTTTCCACAGCCCTAGTGTCTGGTGCTCTGTGGATGCCCTGAAAGGCTGTCTTTCCTAGCGGTGCCCCTTGGGGTCAGGTGTGAGCCTCTGTAAGTCAGGTGCATTTATCATTTGCACTACACTGCACAGCAGCAGTCTGACCCTCTGGAAAATGATACAAACCTGGAAACTAGGTAGCAGGATGAATATTACTTATTAATTAATTGTCCAAAAAACAGCAGCAAATAAACATAGCAGAAAGTAGTGACAGGGTGTGACGCATCCTATGGCAAACCAGTACTCACGGTGACCTCTGGGCAGACCTAGTACCTCCCTGGCAGCCTCAGACCCTTCCTAGAAGGGAGGGCAGGAGGAGTGGATGCGGCAGGGCCCTGTGCTGAGGGTCTGTCTGCATTTCCTATTCTGGATTCTGAAAACTTCATCTTAAAACACCTGCTGTTGTTAGACGCCCCCCGCCCCCTTACCTGTGGGTGTCTTTCTCCGAGTATTTCCTCAGAAATCTGCAGCGCTTTTTCATACATCCTCTGTGCCTGAGATGGCTGCTGGGAGAAGAGCAGGTAGCGCGCGTAGGTGTCCAGACACATGCCCAGAAGGAGCCGTGTGTTGGCCTTGTCGTCCGCTGAGAAGGAAAGGCGAGCAGTTCTGGGTGCAATGAGCACAACCAGAAGTGGGGGCAGAGACGGGGCCAAGCGCCCTGAACACTGTCACTAAACAAGTCCTCTTGACCTATACTTTAACACAAGGTGATTAACATCTACACTGGTTCTTGGACCAGTGTGTGTTGGGAAGGGGGGATTCGCCAAACCAACAAATAGGTGTATACAAGAATTCAACTCCCCTGACACCACCTACCCAGAGAGTCCCCAGGTAACCCCCCACCCCACTCCAGACACCAGTCCAGGGTGTCACCTGGAGATCAGAGGTTCCCAGGACCCCTACCCTCAGGTTCAATCAGTTTGCTCGGGTGGCTCACAGATCACCTGTTTCTATAAGGGTTCAACTCAGGAACAGGTGAGGTGTGGGGGAGGGGCGTCCGCCCTCTCCAGGTGCCACTGTCCCTGTGCCCTCCAGAAGAGCCCCAAGCCCCACCCTCTGGGGAGTTGATGGTGGCGTCTTTATGAAAGCACTCAGAACTGAGTCACCTTCCACCCCAGTCAGGGGTGAGACTGAAGGCTCCATCCCTCCAACCACACGGTTGGCTCCACGGGCAACCAGCCCCTGTGCTTTAACAATAAGCTAAATCACTGAAATCACTTAAATTACTAAATCACTCCACACTTAGGAAATCTGAAGCATCTGGGGAGTTCTGAGGCAGGAACTATGATGAACAAAGACCAATGCATGAGACATTTTCATCATCTGAAATAGATGATGAAACAGATATTTCATCAACCAAATAGATATTTCTTATAAGTCACAATTACTGTAACATAATTAATGAACCTTTCCAAACCTTTTAAGACAAAGTCCACAGATAGATTAAAACAGTATTATTTTTAGTTTGAAACTAATATTACCTAGCATGAACCAGGTGAGAAGATAAACTAGAATGACAACAAAAAGCCTAGGGCCAATACAATTTTCTGGTATGAAAACAGCACTACAGAAAAGAACCAGAGAACATTCAGAATCCTGGGATGGAGAGTCACAACCCAATTTAAAAAACAGCTAATCTATTTTTTGAAGAACAGTAATAAAGGCTGCATTGTATGGCAGCTTCCAGCGTACCATGTCTGAAAAAGAGCCAGACAGCAGGGCTGGCGACCAGCAGCTAACAGCAGTCGGCCAAGTAAAAGGCCTTGGAGCCATGACACAAACAGCACATGAGTGGTGGTGAGCCGCGGAAAGGACACACTGCAGACAGCTCAGCGCAGGGGAATGTTCACACGAAGGACTCAGAGGTTCCCTCGGATAACCTCACGGAGCACGATTACTGGACGCCCACGTGAAGGGGTTCAGACGGGTCTGTTTACCAACAAAGGGACTGCCACACTGAATACAACTCCTTCCGTATCTTCCAAGTTTAAATGGTGCATAGACTTTAAAGATGGCAATGTTGCCAAATAAGTGTATGATCAGTTACTGAGGGGATAGTTTAAATAAAACAATGCAAATAAAGTATCTATAAAAATAATCTCAGACAGTAAAAGTGAAAATAAAACTTCTAGTAAAAATCCAAAGTTCTTAATCTAACCTAGTTATATATAAAAGGTAAATGATAATCACTTTAAAACCAAATTAGGAATAGTTTTAAATAGATCACCTTACAAATTTTAAATTATTTTTAAACAAAAAGCACATATAAATTTATGGATAGGGACTTCCCTGCTGGCCCAGTGGTTAAGACTCTGAGCTCCTAATGTAGGGAGCCCAGGTTCAATCCCTGGTCAGGGAACTAAATCCCACATGCTGCAACTAAGACCTGGTGCAGCCAAATAAATGAATAAATTTTTTAAAAATTTAAAATATTTATGAATAAATATAACCAATATAAAAAAGTAAAACATAAAATGGCACCAAATATCATTTAAGATACTATTTTTCTGTATTAAAAGGAAATGCTGAAACAATAAAAATAGATCTTACTAGAAGCACTCTTTAAATGCTGAGCAAAAAGCTTGTAAAATCAGCAATTTAAGATCCACACTATTGGGAGGTAACAGCGTGGATAAAGGCCCAGGCAGAGAAGCTCTGTGCCCTCCCCAGGTACTAACACAGGCCCGAGGAGACTGGAAGATTCACAACACCTACAGACACTTAAAATCTGCATTCCTGGAGAACAAGGCAAAGATGTTTACCATATACCAAAACTATCACAAAATAATGCGTACATTATTCCAATTCTGAAAACTGTTTAAAAAATGACTGCTGACTCATTACTGGAACGTGTGCTAATTCTCTTTAAATACTTCTACATTAAAAAAAGTATACTCTTTGTATACTTTAAAATTAGAATATATGTTCAATACTATAACTCAAAAGTACAAGAATAAAGTGACAAGTAATTCTAGTGGAAAATTATTACCCCTGATACCAGTAATGGTAATTAAACTAGAATAGCAGAAAAGATAGTAAAGCTTTTTAGAAGGAATTAACTGGTGAGGTAAATTTTAGCTATTAATATTTCATTATTAAGAAAATACATTTTAAATTCACAGTACACTCTAATCATAGTAACATAGAAAGGTTTTTAAACATACATCTCTAAATATAGGACCTAAGGAGAAATAAAGACTGCATAGCGAGACCACCAGCACTCAATAAGGTACCAGAGTTCCTTTTTCTAATAATAATTAAAACATGCTTCTTTGAAATACCAATATAAACACACACCACTAGAAGTCACACACCAAAGAAACCTACTGACAGCTGAGAAACCACTGCCCCCAAAGGGCTATTTAAATCTGAGGGGAGGAAAGTGTATTTATCTCTTCAGACTTTAATTATAAATAATACTTGATCACAAATCACTCCTAGGAGAAAAATATGAGGTAAGCTAAAATCAGTCTATGAAAAAGATTTACCACAGAAATCTTTATAGTCAAAATACAAGCAAACTGAATTTTCAAGTGCACTAAGGATAAATGCACCAAGCAGCTTTTATTCCAGGAATGCTTAGAATGACTCAGTATACTTAATGTATCTGTGTACCAAATCAGGCTTGCATAAATGCAGATTCTCCATCAGTGAGAAGAAGAGCATCTCTGATTTGGGAGAACTTGAGCACGGGCACCCAGCTAGCTCCCGCACCCTCAGCAATAATAATCTGGGAGAAGCTACAGGATCTTTGAAGCTAAAGGCATTTGCTGCTCATGCTCCAGGAACGTCCTCGACCTTCTGCCAGGCTGCATCTCATCACCTGACTGACTAATTACCTTGACACTTCCCGAGACCACTAATGGTACCAGTGGAAGGAGTTTTGCTTCCAGTAACATGACAGATAACCTGAAAACCCTCCTGCTTCAAATATTAGATAAATCATAATACATATATTTTTACCTGCACAACTGAGCTCCTGAGAGAAGGAAATCCTGAGGGCCAGCAATTACGAAGGAGCTAAAAACCAAAGGGGACAGCATGAAGCAGGGCCCAGTTCTGGCTGGTTGTGTGGTGGCTTGAGTGTCTCTGAATCCAGAACTGGGTTCTTATCTCACACAGGACACAGAAGTAGATCTGAACTCCCTATAAAGCCAGGATGACCCCAGAGGCTACAGGGGGACAGGGACCACATGGAAACCCATCACTGACACCCCCACCCTACCCCACCATGCTCAATTTGATGTCTAAATCTGAGCCATCCCTTCGAGGCTCGGACCTGAGAGCCTGGAAAAACAAAGCTAGCCTGGAGACTCATTTCTAAAAGCTGCTGAAGAGTCTGTAACTCCGAGTATGTAAGCATGCAGACACAGCTCAGGTGGGAATCAGAGAAAGCCTCCCCTGAAGATAACTGAGTGACCCCGGCTGGAACTCGTCCTCAGAGGTCAGGGGCTCCACCTATGAGCCCTGCGCCGGCCCCTCTAGTCCTCATCCCTCAGCTTACACCCCCACTCTTTAGCCATCCTCAGATATGCAACCACTTCAGTGGATGTTTGCTATGTTTTTCCTCCACTAGAAACGGAGGCAGCACCGACTAGGTGTTACTTACAGCTGTATCTAATAATGTGCATCCCAGTGTTTCCTGACTGGTTGAATGAACGAAAGAGAAACAAGAAGGTATGAATTAAACACGGGAGGTATGATGACACCAAACATTAATTTTACCTACGGAAGTCACAGCAGCAGGACGTGAATCTCTGGAAGCTCAACACAGAGGTATCATTACACACCAGTGAGAAAGGGACTCACTACCAAAACGGTCCTGAATTAAAACCCAGTCTGGGGGAGGAAAAGATAACCTCACACCACAGTAAAAACAAATTCCAGGTAACTGAAGACTCATTGGAAAAGAACCAAGTACTTATTTCCTTGTGGATTATTAGCATGTAATTGGTTTCCTTTGGATTGTTGTTGATTCCTGGTTGCATGGAGTATCAAAGAATTATTATGAAGCTCCATTAGGAAAAAATAAAAATGGCAAAATTTACCTCTGAGGTCTGCACACACAACCCCATCATGACACACAGGTTTTAACATCCTAATACTGGTATTCTCTAATTTTTCAGTCATTTTGCAGGTATCTGGACACCAAACCACTGTTACAAGCAATATGTGGAGATCATGGTTTCCAAACAGCGTCACTTTTGGCTATTGATATTTTGACAGATAATTTCTGTGAATTAGAGTGTTTAACTTAGATTTAGTTAGATGCCTATTAGATGTCCACCTCCCCTCCGACCCCAGCTGTAACAACCAAACTATCTCCAGATGGTGCCAGGTGGAAGCCAAGCCTTTAGAAGAGACTATTTTTCTGACCTTAGAAAGTGAAGGATTTTATTAAACAAGACTCAGAAAGCACAAACCGTAAAGGAAAATACCAAAAGATTCTGCAATCTGTCAAATACCCTAAAGGGAAAAGACAAGACTACAAAGAAAGAATAACCAACAAAGTAGATGCTCCAAAAAAAAAAAAAAGGATGCTTAAATACATTAAGAACTATTTACAAATCATTAAGAAAAACA